CTTGTTCGAGGTAAACCCTCCACCGTCCCTCAGATAATTAAGGTCAAGCCTAATAACTCATCAAGTTACACCTATACAGACATCTGCTGATTTTACTGCAAGATCCATATAAGACAACGATACCGTACTAATTAAGAAACGAGACGGGGAATACAATAATAAAGGCAAACTGAACTTTAACAATTTTCAATAAAACTTACATTTGCTCAATAACATATCTCCCAGTAGTTACTAATTAGCAAACACAGGTCGGAAGAAGCCTATACTCCATATACATTTACAAAGACTATGGCGATATTTACAAAGACAATTACAATATTTACAAAGACAATTACGGTTACAAAGACAATTACAGTATTTACGAAGACAATTACGATATTTACAAAGACAATTACGATGTTTACAAAGACAATTAAAGTATTTACAAAGACAATTACGATGTCAGTGTGTGTAAATCACAACTAAATAAAGCGCATTACAAGTAAGAGTAAATCAGTTATCAGCATAACTGATAAGACCAGCTCCGGTTCTCACAAAACTATACCAAACCTTCATTAATCTTTAAAACATATAATCAACAACTTCCTATTTCCCACATAACGAGTCTCTGTCACCATCTGTAGCTTGTTCTATGCGAAGAGAGTTGTTTGGTGTTATTTAGGGGGGAGATAAGAAGCACTTAAGGGTTGGGTATAGGTACTGACCTTTAAGGGAGAGGGTGAGGGAGCGCGGGTCGACACGTCCTACTCTCACCACGGCCAGAGGCACACTGAACCATGCAGCGATCCGGTCAGTTATAGTTACTGACCAATGTTATAGTTCTCCCACTGTCTGTCTGTCTCCCGATGTGGTACTCCCAGTGTGGTACTCCCACTGTGGTACTCCCACTGTCTGTCACTCTCCCACTGTGGTACTCTCACTATGTCTCCCTCCCACTGTGGTACTCCCACTGTGGTACTCCCACTATCTGTCTCCCTCCCACTGTGGTACTCCCACTATCTGTCTCCCTCTCACTGTGGTACTCCCACTATCTGTCTCCCTCCCACTGTGGTACTCCCACTATCTGTCTCCCTCCCACTGTGGTACTCCCACTATCTGTCTCTCTCCCACTGTGGTACTCCCACTATCTGTCTCTCTCCCACTGTGGTACTCCCACTATCTGTCTCTCTCCCACTGTGGTACTCCCACTACCTGTCTCTCTCCCACTGTGGTACTCCCACTATCTGTCTCCCTCCCACTGTGGTACTCCCACTATCTGTCTCTCTCCCATTGTGGTACTCCCACTATCTGTCTCTCTCCCATTGTGATACTCCCACTATCTGTCTCTCTCCCATTGTGGTACTCCCACTACCTGTCTCTCTCCCACTGTGGTACTCCCACTATCTGTCTCCCTCCCACTGTGGTACTCCCACTATCTGTCTCTCTCCCATTGTGGTACTCCCACTATCTGTCTCTCTTCCATTGTGATACTCCCACTATCTGTCTCTCTCCCATTGTGGTACGCCCACTACCTGTCTCTCTCCCACTGTGGTACTCCCACTATATGTCTCCCTCCCACTGTGGTACTCCCGCTATCTGTCTCCCTCCCACTGTGGTACTCCCACTATCTGTCTCCCTCCCACTGTGGTACTCCCACTATCTGTCTCCCTCCCACTGTGGTACTCCCACTATCTGTCTCCCTCTCACTGTGGTACTCCCACTACCTGTCTCCCTCCCACTGTGGTACTCCCACTATCTGTCTCCCTCTCACTGTGGTACTCCCACTACCTGTCTCCCTCCCACTGTGGTACTCCCACTATCTGTCTCCCTCCCACTGTGGTCCAAACTGTATAAACCATTACTAATATTCATGTTATATTGCTTTGTCATTGGTATTAGCAGATTTGTTAGAAAATTATCACCAAATTATATAGGATAAGTCTTCTTTAGCCATAACTTGTTAAAGTTTGCAATATGATGATATCCACAAGAATGAATAAAGTAAATGCAAAGCTTAAGGAATGAGTTAATAAAAATACCAAATATCAGCAGGGTATTTAACCTTATTAAGCTACGGGGTTTATATATCAGTGTTTAATGTAATTTAAACACTGATATTTAATGGGAATTTAATGGTAAATAATAATACAGCTGGTGCCATCTATTTGCATAAAAATGCACTATCAACAGGTTAGGTTAACAGCAGCCCATAAGGTACAGCTGATGCCATCTGTTGGCGTAAAATTACACTCTTAACAAATAGCATGTAAGATACAAGTGGTGACATCTATTGGCAGAATATTGCACTATCAACAGGCGAACAGCAGCCCATAAAGGCCGAGTGTTGTGCTGAAGGAACCCTTCCCCGAGCTTGTATCTCATTGGTAGAAACTCTTTGTTGACATTCCCTGACAGCCAATCACAGCAAGGGATCAGCCAAATGCTCCAACACTTAATAATAAAAATCTCCTGTGTACAGCACACCAACCCCGCTTATGCCATTTCTTACAAACTTTAATCTGCCGAAAATATGAACTTTTCAAACATTGAAATTTGTCAAGTAAATGGTAATTAATTAATGTAGGATTTAACAGTGATAAAAGAATGGCTTGGCTACTTGACTTGTGACGTCATCAGTGGGGCTAGCAGCAGCCCATAAGGTACAGCTGATGCCATCTGTTGGCATAAAATTAAACTATCAACAGGCCAACACGTAAGATACAGGTGGTGCCATCTGTTGTCAGAACATTGCACTATCAACAGGCGAATAGCAGCCCATAAAGGACGGGTGTTGTGCTGAAGGAACCCTTCCCCGAGCTTGTATCTCATTGGTAGACACTCTTTGTTGACATTCCCTGATAGCCAATCACAGCAAGGGATCAGCCAAATGCTCCAACCCTTAATAATTACATTTCCCGTGTACAGCACACCAACCCCACTTATGACATTTTCCTACAACTTTAATCTGCCCAAAATGTGAACTTTTCAGCCATTTAAATTTGTCAAGTTAATAATAGTTTATATTGTTGGATATAACAGTGATAAAAGAATGGCTTGGCTACTTGACTTGTGACGTCATCAGTGAGGCTAGCAGCAGCCCATAAGGTACAGCTGATGCCATCTGTTGGAATAAAATTAAACTATCAACAGGTCAACCCATAAGATACCGGTGGTGCCATCTGTTGTCAGAACATTGCACTATCAACAGGCGAATAGCAGCCCATAAAGGCCGGGTGTTGTGCTGAAGGAACCCTTCCCCGAGCTTGTATCTTATTGGTAGAAACTCACTCACTCAAAAACAATGTGGAAATGCACCTCACCTCATTTAGCTAAGCAAGTTACAGTCTTGATGAGCTAGTTACAAAATTTAATGTATAGTGTTGCATTATTAGTGGGTTCGAGGCCAACCACGTGTATATAGTCTCCAAACTGAGCAACTGACATGTGTGGAGAGATAGTGTCACAATTGATATGTTTATCCTGCTCACCGCCCCCCTTCCTGTGGGCAGTGGTGGAAAGGTTACAATTCACTCACTTGGGGAATGTTTGTCTAAAATTTTTGATAGTAAAACATTTTTTTATTAAATATTTACAAATTTCTTGAACATTTGTTATATAATTGTCTCAGAATTCACGTATCTTTTCGCACGCCATCACATAGTGACGGAGGGTTTGCGAATAATTTTGTTGACAGTTTACATTTGGTCAGGTCTACATCAGCAGATAACTAAAATTCGCAGAGATACTTGTAACAGAGTCTAAGCCGAGCAGTAGTAACATCTAGAAGTCTGCTGATTTTATTGGATTAACCATAGATGTGTAACTCATCTTGCATGATAGTATGATGATAGATGGAATTACTGGTGTCGATTTCACTTTGCCTCAGATCTACAAGATTTTGTTGAAGTTCTCGGTGTACTGCTGCTCTCAGATTGCTCATTGACAATCCAAAGTTATACTCAACTCCTTGTTGGAAAGCAGATTCTTTGGCTAACTCATCCTCTATCATGCATTTGAAGGCCAACTTGGGAAGGACTCCTCATAAAACTACTTATACTACAATAGTTATAACTTGAGAAGAATCTCTGTTTACGACAAAGGTTTATTTGCCAGTTTACATGTAGATTATTACTGGAACCATAATATGCCCTCAGACCATTACAAATATGGAGATAACTATCCAGGGGGGAGGTTTCTCATGGTAATGGATCCTGAGAACCGGCTCCATTATCCACTAAAGATCTAATGTATGCAAGGTACTCTACATCATTTTAACAATTCTGACATTGGCACCACGAGTATAAAGAGTTATGATATGTTTAGAACTGAGAACTAGAGTACGGACAGCACAGAACATCCACTAAATGTGTGACATTGTAATTGCCAGAATTAGGCTGGGATATCCATAGCTATGGCAGGTGGCTGCAGGAATTAAATCCCGTAATAGTTAGCACTTCAGTTGTAAATTATGTGAACAACAGCTATAGGACATACTCCAGCACTATATCTTTGATTGCCCTGGTAAGGATTTCATACCAGATGGCATGAGATATTTTGAGAGCTGTAACTACTTTAAACACACGAATATTGAGAATATTCTTGTGTTCTAGCTACTCAGAGTTTGTTAGTGCTGGCTAATAGAGTAGACGCGCATTTTCACATTCTCTCCTGATTCCATGAATGACTAACCATCCTGTGAGTTGGGGAGATTATTTATTTATTCATTCAAATACAAGAAGGCACAATGGGTTGCTATAGGGGTACATATGCGGTGGGTGAGTACTGTAGTACATTCTTACAAAGCAAGCATAACGTTTCAGGCAGGTCTAACAAGTAAGGGTAATGATAGTTACTGTACATTGCAACAGAATTTGAACTCATAGGTAGATTTTGACCTACACTCTGCAATATTTCATATAGAATAGAGTAGCAGTACAATGCTGTGCATAACTAAGCCTGTTGAAACAAAAAATAGAGATGATGTAGTGTGAGAAAACAACGCCGCCGCGCGAGAGGTTTTTGTTTCAGCCACAAGTTTCAACTTTGTTTACACTTGGGAGGAGGGCGAGGGTGGCTAGTGAACGAGGCACTTTACTAGGTCCTGGAGGCTACAGCGAGGAGTAACGAGCGAGTTTTAGGTTTGTGACTGGTGGAAGGAGGTTAGAGAGGCGGTGAAGTGATGTGTCGGGGTGAGGTAACGAGGCTTAAGGCTTTCTAAGCCTCGCCAGAGTCCACAATATTTGAATACGCAGCCCCCTGTATATTTATTTATTTAAATATTTATTCATATACAAGAAGGAACATTGGGTTTGTCAATACATAACATTAATATTCTTGCATTTTTGCAAAGCCACTGACACGCATAGCGTTTTGGGCAGGCTTAATTTGATGAAAGCTTCCCAGTTTCGCTACATGTTTAATTTGCCTGTGTGTTCTATGTGGACTTTATATATGTAAATAAACCTATGTACTGTATTTGAATACATAGGTCTATACTGTTTCGATCTATTGTCGAGAATGTTTTTTTCCTGTTTGTGCAGGTTCAGTTCAGTATCCAAACAGCAAAGTGCCCCACTGGCCAAAACTCGACTGTATATCCATAGTCATAGATTTGCTAGGTTGTATTATTCAGATAATTAATATTAGTATATTTAAAGAGGTCCTAACACTTCTGGGGCCAAGTTGTATTCAGTCATGTTGATGCCTAAGTTTTTTTTCTGCAGGTGCCCAATAACTTGGCTCGAAACGCTTTGCGTAATAGTGGCTTTAGGCATTGTATATACTAGCTCTATCTATAAATCTATCAATTTTTGTAAAACCTCTTGTATGTATGTACCTTACCTGAATAAACATTTATTTATTTATTTATTTATTTATAACTTAGGAGTCAGTCTGTTGACTATAGGACAAAGTTTTATGCAATTATTAGTCGCTTACAAATTTATGTAGTGAAGTTTAGGTTCACCTCATTTTGGCAAAGTTAATTGTTGTATTTTGCTCCTGATTTTAAGGTTTAAGGGTGCAAAGCTCTTACTTTTTTACTTAAAACATTGGTAAAACAAAATGCCTTATTTCCAAGACTTTCTGTAAAATGTGCATGTTAAATATGTCAGACTTGGAAAAACAGTGCAGAAATGTAATATTTTGGATTATAACTAAATCACATGCTTTAAAATTTTGTGTTTGTGAAAAATTTATTGCATGTGGCATTATAAATTAAATTAGTTGAAGAATCGTAAGCATAAGGAACCCTAACCTAATCTAAGAATAGTGAATGTGTTAGGAACAGGTCCACAGGGCACTGTGCAACTTATTTGTACTGATGCATCTTATGTTTGGCTTATATACTGTTTTATTTTTTACATTTATGTGAGATAAAGTTGCTAATACTGTATATGGCCTGCAGCTGAAAAGAATTAAAAAAAAAAAGCTGTCAGTGCATAGAAGGAATCAACAAAACTATCAGTATCTTGTCACATATACCCTAATAATATATTAAAACATGAAAGGTATCCAAGGTGAAGTTGACAGTCTATGGATACTTAAGAAATCTATTGGTTAACTTTATGATATTAACCACAGGATGAGACATTGTTTAGTGAAATGACACTGTAATGGATGGGGTGCACACAATACCCACTGAGATATTGAGCAGATGGCAGTGTGTAAGAGTTTGACCGTTATGCAAGTTCATCTGCCCGAAACGCTTTGCGTAATAGTGGCTTTAGGCATTGTATGTACTAGCTCTATCTATAATCCATCAACTTTTGTATCTTACCTTGTATGTATGTACCTTATCTGAATAAAAATTTATTTATTAATTATTTATAAGTGTTATGACCCTCCCCTAAGGCTGGCCTTCAGATGGTGAGACGCATCACCCAGTGTTCAAGGAGGCCATTTCCGTACAACATGGTAGCAATATTTGTCACTATACTTTGGTGGTGGTTTCAATACTGTATGTTTGGTGGCATTTTTGTGTTTCCCTCAACTTCTTCCCATGCTTCAGTAGAATAGGACCAGACAGCCATGTTTAGTGATTCACTTCAGTACTGTACCTGTCTCTGGTCACCTTTTATTACAAACAGTTCATCTTTCTGTGTCTACTTCTATGTCTTTCTATCGTTTAAGTAACCATATACAGTACTGTATCCCTCAATAACAAGAGTACAGTAATTAAATTGAATATTTGACAAAAAAAAAAGTTTTGTAAGAACTATATGGAAATTTGATTATAATATTTATTCTAGTGGGTTTATATTAGATAATTTGTTGCTTGTTTCAGTATGTTGTAGCACTTTGAGAGTTCCTTGCATTACTGGCTAGTGATAAAGTATTGTACAGTCGATAGCTTTGGAGACTGCAGGAAACTGCAGAGGGCCTGTTGGCCCACAGGAAAAAAGGTCTTATTTATATCCACTCTTAATATTCATATTTGTTTAATCTATAGAACAGTAAAGACTTGCTTTAACCAATATGGAGGCGGCCAAGATAAAGATACCATCGGGGAAGTTGCCCAGTGACACACTCTGCCACTTGGATGACGATGATCTCGCAATAAAGATCAGGTATGGTGTCCTTTTGATCTCTTATGGAACTTAAATATGTCATGTATTTACAATATGTGCATTTTAATTATTTTTATTGAATGCAACTTGCCAGACTTTTTTGTAAATTAAGAGCTAACGGTAATCGACTTGAGAATGGTTCAGGACGGACCAAAATGTCATTGTTCCTTCATTTTCTAGTGTGTGGATTGGTCAACGCGCTTCATTTCTATATTTTATTGAGAGAACTAGTTTAAATGGTAATAAGAATTTTTGGAATGTGTCTTAAAATTAGTAAATTTCAGCAACATAAACTTAAGGCTTTCATGAGATGCACCTGTCACCCACAGGCATAGCAAGTGCTGTGACTACTACATTTTACATTAAATATGTTTATACTGTTATTTTCTTCATGTATTCTGTAATTTATTTTTCTTCCTGTAATCTCAGCATCAAATGTGCATTGTGTGTCCTGAAGTATAATTTGTTATTAAAACACATTTTTCTGATATTGCTGTACAGAAATTTAATGCAACAAAAAGAGGAACTTCAGAACAAAATTGACCAAAAAGCTCTATCAGCGGATGCGTGGCTACAGGTTCTAAACAGCTCATCAACCACCGAGATTGAAGAACTTGCAGTCTCTCTTCCCTCCGTTACTGCCATGATGACAAGGCAGCAAGAGGTTCTGAAAAACTACCTCAAGGTTTCAACGGAGCTGCAGGCCTACACATTTCTAGGTGTGTTTTCAGTTTTTTGTATACAGGCTGTAAAGCTTCAAGGGATGATGAATAAGGATTTTCTTGGCAGTTATGATAATATAGCAACAGCATTGAAGTTATTAGGTATTCCATGTAGAGATAACTTGTAGTTTTGGTTTCCCATTTCCTGTTGTCAGAGACAGGAAGCCTGTTAAGCTCATCCAGGTTCCCCTAGCACAAGGCCAGTGACACTTTTCTCAGAATGCAGCCCACAACAGTTGCCTAACTCCCATGGTTGAGCTAATTGTGTTTACTACTTGGCTATCATATTCAGGTTCTTCCTATGGTAAGATCCCATTGTGGCCTTGGGCAGGTGTATGCTATAGTCATTCAGACTGGCAGTGGCTCCACAGGTAACTTTTAAAATGGTCACTACATTGTTATTATAGGTGCTTGGGAGGTATCAAGCCAGAAAGATATGAAAGCAGTAAAAGTATAGGAAAATGATGGGTAAAGTTATTGAAAATTGGGCAGAGTCTTTCATCATATCTTACAGAATACACAGCATTACAGAAAAGCATTACATTTCAGCTAATTTATCCACAGCAGTGCCTCATTGCTTCATAAGATTAGTATAGTGTTCTTCACGAGTTTTAATATACAATCATGACTAATATTGTCATAAAATGCTGCCACCTAGTTTTATTACATATCACATATTGTTTACACACAAGTCTTTAATTCCTCATGCACTGCGTGCCCGTGGACAGAGCAATTTAACCCTTTTGCTTCAAAGTTTAACTGTATTCATTAGATTCATAATTTGCTATTAATATTGGGCATTAAGATATGCCCCAGAGAGTATGGGATGTCTTGAGCCAAGAATCGTGCTGACATGTGAAGGACCACTAGCTTCATTTTGAAACTGATTAAACAATTTTTCATTTATAATCTAGTTGCTGACAAACAGCAGCTGGGAATGGACCTATTTAATCCTTCTGAATTCAATTAAGCAGCAAAAAGGATGAATAGTGGAAATGTGAGACATAAACTATTAATGTCTTCACTGAACTGGTTCTGACGATGTTTTGATTGAAGACTAAACCACACACCAGAAGACGAGGAGATGGCGACGTTTTGGTCCGTTCTGAACCATTATCAAGTTGATTGTGATAAACTTGTGATGAAGATAGTCTTCATATCTTCAGCCACATTATTGTGACCCATCATATGCATGTTTTGATTGTTTTCATGCTGCTGAAGCTTGCATGGCATTTGACAAATAACTACCCCAGTATCTGAAATTTTCTTTTAATTTTCCTTCAAGTGCAATTGGTTTACATTGGCAGCATTTAGTCTCCATAAACTCTGTTATTTTCTCCAAAAAGCCATTTTTATCCCCATCAAAGAGATGATTACTACTCTATTGACTCCCACAGAGAGTACAGCTGCGTACATAACAGAAGGAGGAGACATATTGCTGAAATTTTTGCGGCCATCACGTCAGGAACAATTTTCAACACTCCTGATATCACTCAACACAAGTAATGAGGCTACGTACAGGCAAGTACCTTGTATATTTCTAGAGCTGTAGACTGTGACTGAAGTTACTTACCTAGTATAAATCCTTTGAATAAAAGGCATAATTGATAATTCAGTATGTTGCTGAATTTTTTAAACAGTCATAATTTGCAAATTAATGATGAAACCATTATCATGGGTTATTGATAATGGTTAGGAAAATAATGATTATTAAACTTAGTAACTGATTGGGGGCTTCAGCAGTACCTTGGGAAATATTTTTTTTTGCAGCTTTGAAGCAATTCTTCCTTGGTAATGCATTCTGTCTTGATTATTGCTTGTACGAGGTTTTGCCTTGAATTATGCAATTGTGCTATATATATTTATTTTAATGTACACTCACTAGAATATATCTTTGAAATTAATAGTCTGCACACACTAGTATGTTGGTAACTCTGTACTTAGTACAAAACATGCTTGACAGCAATGATAAGTGCATAAATATGTCTATACAGTATACCATTTTTACGATAAATACTTAAAAGGTAAATACTCCCCTTCAGCGTGCGCTATCACAACATGCCAGAAATTGTGCCGGTTGCTAAATACGAGGAACAATATCTGAAGAATGTACGTGTTGAAGGTAAGAAACAGTGAAAACTGCATTGAGCTTTATATTATTGTAGTTTCTTAATGAAAAAAGATATTGAAAGCTTATCACTTGAGTTTTTTCCAAAATAAATAGCTAAGGTGTGGATAACTTCTATAAGATGTGTTAACTGCTCCTTCAGGTTTTTTTCAACACTGCGAGGTAATTAAGCTCTCTAGGGAATGACATGTATGTTATAGAATTACAGTAGTTCTTTTAACTGTTGATACGAGAAGCTATTAAAGTATAGTATAGCGAATTATGATGATTTATTGTGTTGAGGGACAGGCAGCCAGTGTATATAATTCTGTGTATAATAATAAATATAGTATAATACTGTATTAGGTTTATATCGAGGTCACCCCCCCCTCCCTTCCAAGGTGGAACTACTGACTCTCCTCAGGATGCAACGCCACAACGAGCTGACTAACTCTGAGTATACCTATTGCTTGGTGAACAGACGCATTAGGTGATAAGAAACGTTCCCAATCATTTCTGTCCCACCGAGATTCGAACCCAAAATTTTCAATTGTGAGTTGAGAACGAATCTGATTACTAATAGGATACTATATTATGAGGGGGTTGTGTAGTTTAGTGCAACCGTTAAAGAATCAAAATAAGATATCTAGAAAATGGTTATACTGTATCTTGTTTTATTAGACGAGGAGGAGGAAAAAGATTATATTTTGTTCTGGCATGAATGTTTTTGTCATTAATACATTCATTGCAATAATCTGCATGCAAACGTTGTGGTTTTAATTTGCAACTAAATGATTTTCCAGTTAGTAAATACTCAAATACTTGCGTGACGTGTTCTTTCAGCGGATAAGAATGAGAGACTCAAAAAGTTCATCACAGCCATCACTCAGTACACGAGAGCACTCTACACACGGCAAGAACAGATCGTTTCTGTGGAGGTATGTCAACCCCTTCATAAGTCGAAATTAGCTGGTTAATGTCGTCATTGGTCAGAATTGATGCCATGCCCATAGGTAATTGTCACAACATTATTAGTATTATCAAACTATAGACAATTTAAAAATTAGCATGTAAAATAGTTAAGATATTTGTAGTGTTTATTTACCTATCAACACTTTACAGTAAGGGTTAAAACAAAGTAAATGGCCAAATGTCTTACATTAGCGAACACGTGCATAAACCTTTCCCGAGACCTCTCGAATGCCTTATTGGGCTATATGTCTTGAAGGAACACTTGAAACATTTGTCAAGACAGTAATGCTAGTATTGTTTATGGGTGGGTAAAAGTTGAATGATGGCATTGGCTTTTCTGTAATATTTTCTGATAGTCTTTGTCGCTTAGCAAATATAAAGTAGCCAAGTTTTGCTGGGCTCCCACAGCCATATTGGTTTTTCATCTAATGGTCATGTGGCTGCAGTTGCTCAAGCAGCCATTCATGTCTTTCCCCATCTTCCAGAGGGGGAAAGGGGTATCTTTCATAATACCATTTGCAACAGGTGGTGGAGAGGGAGGGAAGGGAAGGGGAGGTGGTCAGCTAGTCCAAATTACATAATTGAATGTACTGGGGAAGAAGACTGCAAATTTCTCCCTAGATCACCTTAATTCAATCAGATCACATAAAGGGTTCATTATGATTGATAATTTATATGGCTTTATATTGTAATTGCCAATATTAATAATTGGGTTATAATTTATATTAATATAATTATTTAAACATTATTGTTTTCTTCATAACTAGTATGGTTCAGTTCAGTGGGTTTATTAATGTGTTCCAACCACATACTGTTGAAAAAAAAAAAGGGAGAAGTCTTACCATCTGACGTGTGTCTAACATTCTTCAACAGAAATCGGAAATCTTGGAAAACACTCACGTGCACCACAGCAGCGGCTGCACCTTTCTGACCTTCTTGGTGGAAGTGAAGGAGGTACAGTATGTCATTCTTCTTTATCCAGGAACATCTTCACATACTGAGGATTTGTTATTTTTTGGAATTGGATATAATACCTTATTTTGATAACAAATGGAGCTTTGCAATACATGTTTGGCTCTAGAATGCTTTAGAGCTGTTGAGAGTTTGTTAGCTCATTGTAAGTGTACATATTTGTATTACTGTACAGTAATTCTGAATTATAATGTTACATATTTAACAACTTATCCAGGAAAAGGTGAAGATTTAGGAAGAAAGGTACCTCAAATTATTGTTGTTACATGGATATAATAATTTTATTTTACATAAGTTTTTAATTTGTATACATTACTTAATTTGTATCAATATTGAGCCTTTTAAATTTATTTCCTGCCCCTTTTTTTTTATTTGTAAATTTGATACTGTTGCTCTTCAAACCTGTGTCTAAATCATATACTGTACTGTATATATATATTTAAGGAAAACAACAGAGGTCCTGGCACAGAGTTTTGGGGTACTTCACTAACAGTGGTTTACGTCGATTTGACAAAATTTATGCTTGTCCTCGGTATCCATTGAATAATAACTTGATTACATACCAAGTTTGGAAATTGTGTTTTTGATTTATGTAATGGCAAATGCAATGGTCATGGGATTGTTTCAAGTGTGGGTTTGACAATTGAGTTTGATTAGGTATAAAAGTTGCCTCACTTGTGCCAACAAGCTTTCTGTTGTTTTCCTCTATTCTTGTGTTCTTATCAAGTCCCAGTTTACTTCTCCATATTATGACATCCAAATTACAGTGGCACCTCGATTAATGAGCGGCTCTATCTACGAGCATTTCGAGTAACGAGCGAGCCACTCGGAACATTTGTCTCTACTAACGAGCGTTTCTGCTGGTTCTCGGACACCTTTTATGACAGTTTTGTTGTTGTTCACAAGATGAGTTTTCCACATGACGAGCTCGGTGCCGGAACGAATTAAACTCGTTAATCAAGGTGCCACTGTATTTGAATGACTATCATTCTCTGCCTTCTTCATATTAGAGTAACCTCTTTATCTAATTTGTTGTGAGTATAAGTATTCCCATGACTGTGTTGTTTGACAATCTTTGGAGCTGGACAAGGATCATATTACCGTAAATTCATTGTGTACCGTTTTGTTTTTCAGTGTTTACTTTTACTCGGAGCTATGCAGGACATTTAAAAAAAATTTTAACGGCATATTTTTTTTTCCCCAGCATATTGACAAGGGTTCGTCAACATTTGAGTTCAGTCTTGATTACTATCCACTGGACATCCTCCCTTATAATGTGAAAGCCAGTCATTTAGGCAAGTTTGATTATTTCACACTACTGTACTGTTACTTTAGTATTTTTGACTATCTAGTAGATATAATTTGTATTTATTCTTTGTCTTTTCTATTCTTTCCAGTGATTTTAAATTTATTGCCAGTCATCTTTTTCTACTCAAATGATGTTGATGCATTTGTCCAATGAGGAATGATTTTGTTACATGTTTATCTATATTTCTAGTGTTTTCAGCTCAAAGTAATAACAGTTCAGTGAAAGTGAATAGAATCTTGATTATCCGAAGTAATTGGTTAACTCTGAATTTAATTAATTTATTGGTTTTTAGCTTCTGTTTGAGATTCAGAAATGTTAATTTGTTTGTTTATATGCAGTGAATTTTATACATAATGGCATACATTTCCAGGGAGAATGATTAATTATACGCATTGGTATGAAGTCTTAATTAATCATTTTGCAACTCTATGTAATCTACCTTTAACATTATTGCATATAATTAAACTTCTCATATATATATTTCTAGCTGGAGAAGCACCATCTTCAGGTCTGATGGAGATTATGCAAGACATGGCACTTGACATGAAGAGTGATCCTCTGCCCCAGGTTCTGTATGCTGTGCTTGGAGGCCAAGCACAGGAGCAGTCCAGTGAGCAGGAGTCTGGCGAAAGTGGCAGTTCGGTGGAAACTGTTATCTTTGGCTTCAATCATTAGTGAGTGCTTTGATTATATGTTAAGATTACAGATGTTGCCTTTTTTCTCTTTATTGTAAGAATGATTAAATACAGTATTTACCTTTAATTTTACTAAGCATTTCATAAATTCCTTTGTAATTTGGTATATTTGATTTTTGTGGCTTCTCTGAAGCACTGCAAAGCATAGTGCAATTATAGCTACTTTACCGATACTTATCTTGCGGGTGGGTACGAGCAGCTTGAACTTTTTGTTTTATAATTTAATATGTAGTTGAAGCCCCTTCAGTAGGTGGTGCCTTGGCATGGTGATGGGGGGGGGGCCACGTAGGTGGTGCCTTGGCATGGTGATGACGGGTAGGGAGGGGGGGGGGGCACATATACACTGCCCATGGGTAGGTGGTGGTTTCTGTCTGTTATGGCGGTGCACAAAAGAAACACACCCCCTGCAATAGTCATGGTGAAAGTGAACATTCCCTTATGTTCCCTCATCTGGGAGTTGAACCTACCCAGAGGCTGCAGCCCCTGGGAGGCAGTATGCTTCTTTAATGGGAGGTTAGGAGTAAAAAAAAAAAAAAAAAAAATATCAGTACTCGCCTGGTTGAGCTTTGACAATTGAGAGGTGGGGACTAAAGAGCCAATCAACTGGTGTACAGATTCTGGAGCCTATTGGGCTCTTTCAAATCTATATGTGAAATTGTGTATGGAGTCTACTTCCACAACCTCACTGCCTAATGTATTCCATTTGTTAACCACTCTAACACTGAAAAAATCTTTCTAGTGTGTCTGTGGCTCATTTGAGTACCAAGGTTCCACCTTTGTCATCCTTGTTCGTGTTCTACTTATGCTAAATAGTTTGTCATTTTCTGTCAATTCCCCCGAGAATTTTGTAGGTGGTGACCAGCATGATCCAATCGGCTCGTCTGGTTAGGTTGCCTAGTTAGACATTGGGTCCATTGGGCATCAAAAAGCTTGGTGGTGTCCCTAACCCTGCGATACCACTCAACCCTTCAATGGTTACCAACATACACTATTCCAGCTACCCCCAGAGGTTGCTTGCTCATGTGTTTGTGCCTCCCTTTCTTGAGCTCTGTGGGGGGAGCTGGGCAGCAAGTGTGTCTGATCTTTACATGTTTGATTCTGACCATATTTCCCTTTCTCAGACTCATTGGTAGATGACCATGCTGGAAGAACAGGTGCCATAGCTTTAGCTGTGGTGTGCCCAGACCAGGCTGTGTCTTCGACTATCCTTTCGGGTCCTCTCCGAAAGGAGAGTACCCCAATGGTGTCAACCATGAATGGAATGACTCGTTCCTTGATGTTTACTCAAGGAAATAAATGTCTGTGGGTGAGCCCCAGTTGCTCCAAAGGTAGTACTAATGAGCTTGCACTAATTCTGAGAGTTTTGATTGTTTATTTACATTGTTGGGAGAGTTCATTTGGTGGTTTTGAGGCAGTGGTCTGTATTGGTTCGCTAACTTTCTGGATGTGAAAAACCAGTGGGATGGCGGAATGTCACCTGCTCTCTGCACTTTTATGAGGGTGGTGGTCCTCCGGTTCTGGGCCCTGGTTGGCCAAATAGAACTCTATGGCTGATGTGACCTAGTATTTGGGAGCAATCTCAGTGAGATAGCTTCAGGAAGCCACTGTGGGACTCGCCCAGAAAGAGGCATTTCATTACACTCAACACTGGATTTTTACACTGTTGATGAGTTGGTTGTCCAAATTTGATTAAGGGTCAAAAATTGCTAAAGAAAGAGGTTTCTTACAGTAATGAGAATAACATAGTAAAAATTTGGTAGTGGCTACTAGGTAATAAATAACTACATGATGGAATTCCAGCTAGAAATAATGTAAGAAAAATTATAATTATTTAAATAACAATAATGATAAAAGTAATTAAAATATATTTCATAAGGACCATAAAAAAGAAGGAAACCAGTTGAAATCCTATTCCCAAACAAATAACTTACACAGGCCTTTCCTAAATCTAACTTTCTCCAATTTATATCCATTGTTTTGTGTTCTATTTTACGTCTGTATATTAGAATCTTATTTATATTCCCTTTCATACATTTATATACTTCAGTGATGTTATGTTTGTTAATCTATCTTCCATGTGAAGATTTCTAATTCCTTGGTTGAAATGTCATCGTTCTCTGTACGCATTCAAGTGAATTTATATCCACTCTGTTGTACAGTGACCAAAGCTAAACTTCATAAAGTTAATGGGTCTTAACAAGAACAAGATATAGCTGAAGAATAACATTTGATGTTGCTTGCAACACTTGCAGTCCTGTTGCCATATGATAACGGGACTTGCCATACACATGGTAAGTCCCGTGTATGGTAAACACCATAGGTCCCAGAACAAAGCTTTATGGCACACCACTTACAGCAGTGTTCCACTCGGACTACTACTTCTAGCACAGTATTGTTGTGGTAAGACACTCGCCTGGCGTTTCGCAAGCGCTTTAGCCTGGGTTCGCATCCTGGCCGGGGATGATTTACTGAGCGTCAATCCTTAATTGTAGCCTCTGTTTAAACAACAGTAAAATGGGTACCTGGTTGTTAAACGATTTTGCAGAGTCGTATTCTGGGGAATATTAGGGTTAAGGACTTGTCTGAAATGCTATGCGTGCCAGTGGCTGTACAAGAACTCTTGTATATATAAATAAATAAATAAAAAAACAAAAAAATAAATTGTTTGCATAAAATCACCAATCGCAGGCATCTCGGTCCTCATAGAAGAGGATGTGGGCATCTGGGTTTGACACGACCTCTTTGGGCTTTGCTTTTCTGACAAAGGTATCGCTGAAGAAGTTCCAACTGTCTGTGGATGGTTTGTCACTCCTGCAGTAGGCTGTGTAGTGCCCCGAGGTCATGGATCCTTGGTGACAACATATGGCGTACAAATCATAGGATGGACTGTTTGGGTGATAAACAATTATCACTTAAGTAAGCAGTGTTTTTTGGGGGGCTGGGAGCAATTTTTAATATGAATCTTTCACTATTCTACAAATGAAGCAGATAGGCATGAAAATGCCCAATACTTGCCTAGTTATACGCCTATCATCACTAGATTTGGTGTAGTCACCGAGAGAGAGACATTCCAAAGGATAGGATACTTGAACCTTCTGGCGAGAGAGTGTGTCATCATTTACCCTGGAAAGAGGAAAGTGTGTGTAAGTATACATGCTGCGTATGGCACACCCGTACTTTTTCATTACCCACTTGGCTTAAACAGTGTGTGGGGCAAGTGATGTAAAAAATATAGAAACCTATTGGGTAAAAATTATACTCCAGCCCCTCTGTAATGGTCATTATAGATTATTATTATTACTGTTATAAACATAATATATCTTGATTTCAAACATAAGACCAAGGATCATATACCAGTAAGCCCCTTGGTATATTGAACCAATATACCAAGTGGTTTACCCCTATTTCTCGGTTTATACATACCGAGAGTACTTTAGTTCTTGACAAACCCTCTAGAGGAGTGATAGTCCTTGAGCCCAACACTAAACCAACGGGTGTACATTGCTTATTAATGTGTATAGTACACTAAATTTTAATTCTGTCTGGATAATGCCCTAAAGCATTCTTGCTGGTTGGTTAGTAAGCTCTTGTGTGGCCTTAATAACCCTCCAGCAATTGATGCCTATTAAACCCAGCACCATTCCACACCAAGCGCTTAAAATTCGAGTCTACTGGCACTTAAATTTTATGGCATAATCCAAGTGGATGAATCTCATAAGCCAAAGACAAAGTTAAAAGATGTTATCAAACTTGGTTTGGTATTGGACTTGAGGCCTATCAACCTCTGAAGGGTTGTTAAGGCCACTACTACACCTTACTGACCAACCAGAGTGTATATTTAGTCTCAAAGTCAAGGACTAAAGTAAACTCAGTGTGTACATACTTAAAAGCCGGAACTCTACTCATAACTATTCGTGACACAGAGCAGTAGACTGGTATCATTATGTATACACTGTGCTTCACAAATCTGGAATCACAGCAATATTTTATTTATATATATTTCTTTCAGATGAAAAGACTAAGCAAAGAATATCTTAATGATAAGAATTCCTTAATGGTAAATTGTACCAGTGAACCTATATTGCTACATGTCCGCTGGGCAGGTTAGAGGATAGGCTGCCAGTTATTGCACAAGAAACTTCCTACAAATCTAACTTGCAAGTTAAGGAGTCATTTTAATAAAAGGAAAAACTCAAAGGAACCTTCAGGTTAGAAGTGAGATACCTATTAACCTTCAAACATCACAGGTATTTAAAAGTACTATATTGAAGTACATGTTTTAAAAATAATTAACAAATCAAATGGGGAAAAATTGCAAATGGCAATTGGAGCAGTGTAGGGGTTATGGTCAATGGGTAACAATTTGAATGGTTATAACATTAAAAAATAGTTTCTCGGATCGTATTGACATGGCCATTGGCTACTCCAATTTTGAAATAAATGAACAAATCATTGTTCATTTGATGCATCACGCAATTGTGATTTCTGTGTGTATTTAAATAAATATTCCAATCGGTAGTACTTGCCTAGTTGTTGTGTTTGATGGGGGGGTTGAGCTTCAGCTCCTTAGTTCCGCCTTTCAACTGTCGATCAACTGGTGCACAGGTTCTCGAGTCTATCAGGCTTTATCATTTCTACATTTGAAACTGTGTATGGAGTCTGCCTCCACCACATTGCTTCCTAGTGCATTCCATTTGTTAATTAAACTGACATTGACAATTTCTTTCTAAAGTCTCTGTGGTTGATTTGGGTACTTACGTTTACACGTGTTTTCCCTTGTTTAGGTACTATCCATGGTAAATTATTTTAGTGCATGAACATGATTGTCCACCACCACCCACAGAATGGGTGTGGAGCATGATTAGTAAATATGTAACTGGGTCACCATGGAGGTAAATTTGTTTGGTTTAGACTGTTGTGGTTTAAGTCTAGAACCAATTGTACTATAAAAACTATGGATATACAGTAACTAATTTATTAGATTGCAACTTGCTTAGCTAAATGAATTTAGGGTTTAATTTCTGAGCCCATTATGTGCCTCTTATCGTTTTCCACTACTGCCCATGGGATAGGTATTGGGTCCATAATAAATGGACAAAACCAAATAATCCTGAGGTAGTTTAACTCTGGCATTTGAATATACACTGTCCACAGCTTGTTCTATTTATTATAACAATATACCTGATTTACCTGAGGGCCACAAACTCTAGTGGCCTCAAAGAGGACAGGAAGCCAGCGGCTTGTCTTAAGGTTTCCCCCCCTTTTCCATGCTATATGAATAACACTCCAAAGGACTTGTCTTATGTCAGTCCTAAAGTAACAAAAATGTATGACAAAAGTGTTTACAATGGTCTACTAAAATCCTTAATGCATAGTCAATAAATTTTGCTACAGTAAAATCATTATAAATTCCAATAATGCTTTATTTTCCCATCTAATCTGAAGTATATGCTGCAATGTCTCTGCTTTAAAAATACTTGGATAAAATGCGTTACACCCTCTGTATAAACGAAAGAAATAATACATGGTAGTTTTTGATCTAGCGGTGTATAAAGGTATGGAGCATAGTACTGTATTTAAAGTTTTGGATACAAATTACACAACACACAAGACTGTTTGCCACTTAATGGTTATGGATTTTAGAACCTATGTTAATACGTCGTAATTTAATGATACATACAATTCTGATTGATGAAAAATGAGCTTAACTGAACTGTCATGAGCATGATTGACTATAGGCGAACATTTCTGTTCATATATTTTGATGTAGTTTACCAATAATGGACATTGCACAAATCAGTACTTAGGCTATAAACTAGTGCCAAAAAAATATACTAATGAAATACTAACATCCACTGGAGAGTTATTATGGCCATGACAGACATACTGACCAACCAGCAAGTATACTTAACTCCTAAACATGATCAAGCAATGAAGTATACTCAGTTCATTACGAGAGGTGGGACTCACCTTGGTGACTATATTCAATAGAAACCCTGGTTTAGTGTTGGGCGTAAGGCCTATTGTTAAGTTCTATCAACTGTTGAAGTATTATTAAGGTTCCAATATTACCTGACTAACCAACATTGTACAGGTACACTAATACTGACCAGCTTTGCAGATTAGAGTAAATGCTCAGTGTATATACACACAAATTAGATACATATTTTGATACAGCATAAATGCTTTATTTAGTGTTGGGCTTAATGCCTATCAGCCTCTGGAGGGTTATTAACAGAATTTTTATTTTTCAATATTGCATTGAAAACTGCCACCTCCTTAAGGCATCCACAAGTGCTTACCCTGGAAACACAAACCAAAACAGTCTCTATTTTCCGCTTGTTACAACTTGTAATAAAGTTGCTACATCTTGGCGTAACGTATTTATGACTTATTAGAACGTTGTTACAACTTGCTATATTGGTTGTTATAACTGGTTAGGAAGTGTTAAAACTTGTTCGAACGTAACAACGTCATAGTTTCGGTGTGTGTTTGGCACGTACTGACCAACCAGCAAGTGTCTTTTGATTCTGGATATAGTCCAGAGCTAAAGTAAACTCTTGGTGTATGTCCAATGACAAACTGGGTACACCTTTTGCTGTATACAGTATATATCACAGTTGACTAAATATAGTAAAGAAGAGAGTTGACTTTAGAGGGAGAGAAATTGCCAGGTTAATTCAGTTAGAAACCTCTGCTTACCTACTGAGGTGCACCAGGAGAAAGCGAGGAAAACCAATAATGACTGATTTTTGTGTACACGGATGTTCCATTTTGCAGTTTTTGCACTCCCATATGATCTCCTGCTCACGGTAATAATGCGTTAAAAGGTCCTGTGCAACAAGAACAATAGGGAAGATCACAAAATATTGATTATATTGCATATGATTAAGAAAGTAAAAAAGAACAGTACAGTATTAAGATGTTTCCTATGCCCAACTGCTTTAATGAAGCTCCTTTTAATGCCAAAATGTTTTTGCTGTACAAAATACTTGATTTGCACAAAATGTCATATAAACAGAAATATACACATACCAACATGCAGGTATCACTTTTAAATCTAAATCTAAATGTTGGTCTTAGAACTGAAAAAAGAATATGATGAAAAAGGATGGTGTATTCCTGAAATACAGTAAACTTTGTTAGCTTAGTTTGGCATTGGGCTTAAGGTTATCAATCATGGTAGGGTTATGAAAGCTACGACATATTAGTTTATGTCCAATCAGTAAATATCTTTTAGTCCTGAACCTAGTCCAGGAATAGAGTGATCTTTCAGCGAATATACACCAAGAGGCAGAATACATTTCCTGGTGGGGGTGGAAGGAACCCATGAGTGTGTGTGTGTGTGTGTACACAAGCGCGCACACACACAAAATCAGAGACAAAACATGATTTTCTCTAAATGCTTTTTATTTCTTTGTGTACACTCGGACTCAAGTGCAATCAACTCTTGCAGTAGCAAAACAATCAAAACAAATCCAGATTTGTCACTAAGACACTCCAGTAAATCTATTTCTTTCTCCAAGGCTATTGCTCCCAAGAATCACACCAGGGGTGGTGCCTCCCTCCCTTACCCCTCTCTCTACTTCTCATTCTCATTAACAGCTCATCCTCTCGATACTTTGACATTATAAGAACTTTTGTTAATAATTACAGACATCTCAAGTTGTGTCAAAACCTTGCTTCACACTAAACAGAGGGAGAGCTAATAAACATCTCTGCAATAATATTTGAAAGAAAGAGAATTACTACAATGCCATAGTGCTTGAATGAAGGTGAAGGAGAGACCCAATATATGTGTGTAAGGGTATTAAAACCAAATTTTTGGATGTAGGTTGCATCCAAAAATGTGGTTTCAATACACCTAAAACATATATATTGGATCTTTTTCCACCTTCAGAAAAAGAATCTGACTTAAATTACAGAGTAGAATTTACATTATTCATTGATGCTGTTTGTAAGATTAAGTGCAGTCTTAAATTTTTGCGGACATTTATTTTCTTCATTCATTCTTGTTTCCATTTGTGTAAGAATTGGTTATAATTAAAATGTTAATATTTCAATGTAGAGTATATTTAATTGTGATTTTCATGAGACTCAAATTTGTAAGTCTCGCATATAAACACACTCACATGCAAGCATCGATTCTCCTCCTCACCTTAATGTCACAAATTTTTTGAGAGGTGACAGGTAATGTGAGGTTGGAGAAAGGCTCGGTGGTCCTAACGATGACATCACCGCAAATGTTACACACAATCTCCGAGCTATGGTGACCATGGAATGAGTTGGAGATAAAGGATCGAAGACCTGGACCATCCTCCTCATCATCACACTCGTTCTTGTCCACGACCTTTTGATGGAATAATAGAAGCTGTGCAAGTAGGCTGTGTAAATACACATGTACACTGGACACTTTAGTAGAAACATACCCATATTCGAACTGAGAGACAGGTAGCCAGTGTCAGCTAGTGGTTTTATAGGAAGAACCCATAAAACTGAAAAATTGTCATACTGAGTGCATCACACTAAGGAACTTGGCCAGCAAGAAATGAGCTTGGGGAAACAACAGAAGCCAACTGAAAGAGGCTATCGTAGTGAGAGATTAACGAGCTAAAGATCTTTTGGTAATACTGTACATAACTCATGTTTACTGGAAGAGATTATCACACTGACAGACTATCATACTAATAAGCCAATAGCAGCAACAGATGCCTACTGGAGATGAGAATTCAGAAGAGTAACATTGGGAGACCATTACATGTCTAAAACGACTTCCTGGAAGAGACAATCAAGCTGAGGAGCTATCATACTGACAACTCACTATTCTGGAATACCTGAGCCAGGTCTTGGTGCAGCCACTCCAGCATCTGGGCAAGGAAGTCATGTGCTTCCTTCTCACTGTCGTCTTGGAAGATTGCATCCTCATTGCCGGCAATCTTCTGCGAGTAAATACATTACGCTGGTTACTCTCACATACCATTATTATTGTCATTATTTACACACCTATTGCAGAGGAAAATTGCTCCAGTATCTACCGTTTCTTATTCCATGTAAGCCTACAAAATACATATGGAACAAGGTGGCAGTAGCATGGGTAGTGAAATTTACCGTCATGCTGTATGCTTTCAAGAGGCTGATTTACTGGGAGATGTTAAATCCTTCACTCATCAAAATCATTATCAGACATCAGGCACTCACTGCCACAACACACACCATAGTGAAATACTGTGTAGCTATAAACAGTCTTCTGGAAAAATAACCCGTTTAATATTCTCTTCTTTCAACAGCTGTCATTGTTTATGACCAGATTTTTTATTGACCTTCTCCTTTACTGTGTTGCTATACTAACATCCTTATCTGCTACTCTGCCTTTAGCTACACTAACATCACCACCAGTTCCTCTACCTTATAGTTACGCTAACATCGTTACCAGTTCTTCTACCTCGTAACTACACAAATGTTTTCATGCATCTTAAAAACATCAATGAAATATCATTCAACATTTGTCTTGTGGACTGCAACATAGAATAATTTCCCTTACAATCTAGGCATATAATTAGTTTACACCAGCCGATTATATGAATAGCTCAAGAATCACAATTACCCCCCAAGGAACTCTCAGAAAATGGGCTCAGTAACCGGGAGATTTAGTGTGCTTTTAGTTTGGTACTGAACTTCAGGTCTATCAACCACAAGAGCTTTCTGACAAACCAGCAAGTTTACTTTAGTCCTGAACACAGTGCACGACTAACGTAAACTGTGTATAAACCCCGAGAAGTGGGGTGCACGTCTCGGTGAATATAATCATATTGTTTGTTTAGCCAGAGTTGGTTAAGTTAGGTTAGATTAGATTAGGTGAAGTAGGTTAGGCTGCTTGAATAGATAAATGATTTGACACATTTCAAGCAATGGTTATCCTATTATATTTGAATATTGGGCCACAGTACCCTACTCTGTTTTCATAGAGGCCTACGAGACCATTTTTCCCAGTGAAGCTGATCAGCCAGCTTTAAGATTACAAACCTTGTGAAGCTCTTAAGAGACATTCTGTTTAGGGCTAGTAACCAATAAATATGCAGTATTTGTGTTTGTCACGTTGCCCATAAATGTGCGAGCCTTAAAATGACAGACCAGAATGCATTTTATAATTATAATACATAAAAGTCGAGACCTAACCTTCATATTGACCAGTAGAGGTTTGGTCTTGTTTCCATGCAAGAGGGCCTGAAGGAGTGTCCAGTATGCATGAGCCACCTCCTTCTGTGGCTTCTCTCTGTGAAAGAAAAGTTAAAAAGAGAGAGAGATGAAACTGTCCTCTTACCTAATAGGTCTCATTTTTAAGACGTTATGGTAACCAGCGTATAAAATTCAATCTACTTTAAACAAGTAATGGTTCACAAATATCCTCATATTCTATACATCAATTGGTTAGGTGGAGGGTTTGGGTTGCTTGGGTTCATATCTTATTAGAATGGGATGTTGGATTTTGTACACTTTGGCAAATGAAGAGAATTAGCTGCCCATACAGACTGGAGGTAAAGTAATTATCAGGATAAAGTGCTAAGCCAGTATGACTAAAGAGCACTTGTAAGCTAATGAGGACAAGGAGCTAGGTTAGGACCATTGGAGGTTGAACACCGACCTGCGAGAAACAAGCCTGTCACAAAGACAGGAGAGCCTTCCTTAAGAACACAGACAGTATAATAATTTTTGAAACCACCATTCATACATATTCACTACCAGCATAACCTCCACAGGACTTATTCACAGTATCATATTTAATTCCATTAAAACTAATATTACTTAATACTCTTAATAAAACATTTACCCGTTGATGAAGTGCCATGTGAGAGGACGAGTGTGGTAGAGGCACTGCAGGACGCTGTTCATATAGCAGGTGTTCCCCAAGTTGACCAGCCCTCTGACTGGTAGCGCTTCCTGTCAACAGTTGGGGGAGGTCATATGTCAATAGATGTGGTGGTCACATGTCAATAGATGTGGTGGTCACATGGCAATAGATGCTGGAGTGACATGTTAGTACCTCAGGTGACATAGCAATAGATAGGGAGCTATAGGAGACAGCGGTGTGATTCAGGTATGTATGTGGGCCCACTGGGCTCACAGAAGTCGCACAGTACCTGAATGTTTAAGTATGACCCCTAATGAGGGTCATAGCACTATTAGTAATGCCAGTGTGAATGCCCATATGGGCTCAAGTGGCTCTCTGCACTTACATGACCAAATTTAAAGTGACAAAACATTACTGTCTTGATTATCTACGTGTATGCTACAATTATATAATTATAAAAACATCTATATAAATACTGTATTTAACATTACAAAACTAAAACGAGATATACAGTAGTTAAAATGAATATTTTTCTTTTAGCAATGTTAGTACAGTATATAAAACATAATGGTAGCAAAGTAGCAACATGTAATTACATAAGTAATTACTCTAGTGTAGTTACAGGATGAGAGCTACGCTCGTGGTGTCCCGTCTTCCCAGCACTCTTTTGTCATATAACAAAATGCTGGAAATGGAATGCGGACCTCCTGGGTGAAAGCCAGGTATCCTAGCCACTAGACCACATGAGATATATGCGAGTGATATATTTTGTTAATAGTGAAACCATAGCAATGATCAGTATATTGCTGCTGTTAGAGTAATAGCAATATTGTGAACCAAAATGTGTGTAACATAAGAATATAACCATACATGGACACTATGGAAACTTAATTCATATATAATTATACCGTTAAACCATCTCAATATTTACCTTAATTTCCAATTTTGTATTGTCCTCATTTGTAAGTGAATTTCTCTCTGCTGACATCTGCTGTGTGAGATCATTAGTATTATTTTAAATACTAATTAAAAAATAGTTTAAATTTTAGGTTTAAAAATAATATAATTGCAACATATTAGTATATGAACCAAGTGGCTTAGGTTTATATCAGAACAAGTTAGATTATATTGAGTGCTTAAGTTAGGCTACGTTTCTAATCAAGTTTCAAGACTTTTCAGCATATTTTAATCAGAGAGAAAGAAGGAGGATTAGTGTTTATTTAATCATTTATTATAATTATTATTATACAGTATAAAATAGTGATCAGTATTTATTATGTGTATACAGTATTGGGGGCTGCATCTTTCAGTGTATATACTCTGATGATCATTTATATACACCAAGAGTATTCTAATCCTTAACTGTTAGAAATTAATGTAAAAATGAAAAGCATGAATTATGGGTTTTCAATGACCCTATTAGCATTTCCAACTAAATTATTAAACTTATTTAAAAAATGTGTGCAACTGATTAAAATAAAATAATGATTCACACAGCACATATGTGTACAGTAATGACGTTTTCTTTTATTATGTCAATTATGGCAACTTTGTATTTAATGAACACTTTACAAACTCTGTAATACTATGAGTTCTATTCTTACCTGAATAAACATTTATTTTATTTATTTATGAGGTTATCCATGACACAAATAACCTTGGGTTGAGTAAACTATTTTGCAAATAATTACTATTCCACCACGCTAAAGATCAAGAGGTTTAGATCCATAAGTGCTCGGTGAATCCTTACCTTGGGACATACAAAACAAATTACCTTCTCGTCTATGGTGGCTGGAGCAGTGCGGCTCTCCGGGTCATCTTGCATCTCAAATCCAAAGTTTTCCTGTACGAAGCTTCTCTATAACAACCACTAATGGAAACTGTACCTATGTATTTCTAGCTCTACAAAGGAGTATTAGGAAAGTTTTGAGTGATGTGCTTGTTAAACTTTATGTTCCTAGTATGTCATTACTAATAAAGAATGAGAAATTCCAGCTCAGTTTTGAATATAAAAGACTGCATATCAGCAGTATTATTTAACTGTGAACATTGCACATACTGTATTGATTTAAAGTACTTGCTCATCAAGTTTCTAAAAAAGATGAATTTTTCTTTTAAGTCGTACTAAGAGAACTTAATAGATTGAGCTAAAAACCGTTAGTATAAACCCCAAATTTGATTAAAATCCTCAAAATTTGTGCACACTCGTCTTTCACTCAAGAAATACATAGATGTACCAGAACTAATATTTTATTTTAGGTTAGGTTGAGATTATGATTTATTTTTTAACATAGGAACAAATAAAGTGGCGTACCCATGCGCACTTTATTGTTTTATGAGTTATGACTATTGTGAGAGATACTTACCTCACCTTGGTTCACAGTGTCGGTTGTTGTGGCATTTTTGTGTTTTTGTTTCCGAGGGAAGTCACCAGTCGTGGGGGAAGGTGGAGACGGAGCTTTTCTCTATGTACAAGAAAATAAATGTTCAAAGTTAATTTACTTTTGTTTAAAGGTAATTACTTTCCATAATAGATGCTTTTGCTATCTTACTGAACTCAGGTTATATGGATTAGCTATAACTCTATAGATTATTGTATTAATGCTATACAATTTTCAGTGATGATGGGGATGTATGATGGTAGGCCCAATGGCATCAAGTTTCTCTGCAGATTAGGATAAACAATTCTAGGTGGAATAGGCTAAAAATTTAAAGAGTTGAATCAGAATATATTGTAGGATTTTGTGAATATAAATGTACCCGATTATCTGTTTACTTGTATTTGGAAATTATTGAACATTTCATATATGCTGACTAAACATTATTTGTATTAACTAATAACTAAAAATAAATATTATGAAGTCTTTTCAGAATTGAAAACCCCCTTACCTTATTACTGTAATGAGTTTTTACTGTCCCATTGGTTTCAGTCAATGGAACAACACTTGATTTAGGTGTGGTAGGAGTCTTAAGTTGCATATAGTTCTTTGTAATCCCCATATCACTAACAGTCATTCTTGACTCTAGTGAGCTTGTGTTCATCTCAGCAGGAGATGAACTGTTTGTCACGTTCTGCAAACAAAGGATAATTAAGTGATCATAAACTGATTTAGTATTTCATTAGCAACAACTTACATGTAAATGAACAAATCCACAAGGGCTGTGATGAGGGTTTGAACATACGCCCTGATAATCCCAGACGCTGCCTTAGTCGAATAGGCCATGACATGGTAAAAGAACCCTTATTGGCAGAGCCCGAGTGCATTGGGGAATTGTGTAAAACCCTAGTTTGTGTCTCGGAGAGGCTGCAGGATCTGTATGAATTCAGTGGAATTCCCGGTTGCAATTCTTTTACCATGACGTGGTCTAGTCGACTAAGGCAGTGTCTGGGATCAACTTGGGCGTAAGTTCGAACCCTCATCACGGCCCTTGTGGATTTGCTCATTTGACGCATCACACTATTGTGATTTGTGTGTGTAATTTACATGTAATTTTGATTCACATATATCAGACATTCTCAACAGGGGTGATATCAATCCTAGGGCATACTCTTGAAATAATTCTGGGTTGTATGTTGTATTTTAGATAAACATGCAAGAATTTCATTGACAACTGATAGGACATGATTTACCTGCCCTCGATGCTGGTTAAACAATAAAATTAAATGCAAAAATGACAAAAAATACACTTCCACATGATGATTAGAACTAGCCTACTTATCATTATCTCTTGCGGAACCCCTACTTACCTTGAGGTTTTGCAGAGCCGAGACTGAGAAATGCCAACCAATATTAACTGACAATAGATTATTATCCTGACTCATCACCTGCACTGTAGTGATGTATAAAGTTCACTGCCTTTACTGAGGCTAAAGTACTAACAACGAGCAGGCAAAGTCGCCAGGCTGAGCCAGCCACCCATGTTAGGTCCTAATTGAAATAACAGATGACCGACATTAAAGCTATACAAGTTACACATTGAAACTATTGGTATAGAGGCACAGTATAGGAATTTGTATTTGTAGCGGCATAGGAATATACACTGGTGAGGTACAGGAATTCAACCAAATTCCTATACCACACTAGAGTGTATGCGGGTAAAGTGTGAAACTTTGATTTGGTATCAGGTCGATGCCTCGGGATCCCTAGAGGTTTCAGTCGAGTTCCAGGTTATATTATTTATCGCATATCATCATCCAGTAGTTTAAGGCATGTGTTTGGGAGTACCCAGAATACGGATTCGAATCCTCCTCATGGCTCCAACTGATTTTCTGATAATTAGAACTTGGCCGTGGATATTATAAGGCAGTAACTCATCTACACACACAATGCCTTCATGCTCTTCCAATATATGCCAAGTGCCAAGCCCAGTGAAGTATTTATTGTGGTTTTTAATACTGGCAGGTACCTATTTGGACATGCCAAAGCTGACTGGCATGGTAAAGGATGATCCACTCATCTATAATCATATGTAGGAGCAGGGTACACCTCTCAATGTGTATACCTGGGCTGGTGATGTTAGCTTGGTGTTCCGCTTTATGTTTGGTTGGTACTGTAATTAAGTTCATGACCCTTGCTTTATTATCAACTAGCAAGTATACTTTAGTCTCGAGTATTGTCCAAAATTAAACCCTATGTACACCGAGAATCAGAAGCTACTTTTCGATATATGTTATCACTGACAACACTTTGGTGTTGGGTTTAATGCCTAGTAACCGCAAAGAATTCCAGGACTAACGTAGTTCCAAATTATTAAACACCAAAAAATTAAGTATAATAATTGATACATGTACTTTGACCTATGTGCACAAATAACTTCTTGTACATGAAAGTACTTACTGAAAACTTACATTTACGAGAAGGCGTTCTAGTGCACCAGTGTCCATGATTTGTTTTGAAAAACAGGATATCGTTAATTTCTTCATAAATCTAATGCCCTGTGAAATAGTGAACTGAAACAATATATAAAAATCATAAAAAGATTAAAATAGTTATAACTAATAATTATATGCAGTATATGTCTAAGCAAGGCTCTGCGTGTATGTGTGTTTGTAAAAATAAATGACAGCAGATGTTCATTAATAGTTGGAAACTTGAATGTGTGATTTAGCATGCATGTTATCATGTAAGGAGTATGTCCACCACAAACATTACACTCTGACTCACACCAAACCACTTACTCGATTACTGTTAAGGAAACTAGCGAGACTTTCATCCCCAGCCATGCTAGCGTATTGGTCCGGAGTGTAACCATGCCTGTCCTTCACCCCACGAGACAGTCCATGCTCTACCAGCCACCGTGACGCCCCCTTTTGTCCGTTGGCTGCAGCGTAGTGGAGCAATGTTGCGTTTTCTGTATCTACTGATAACTTCAATTTGCTATAGTCTCTATTTGTATATGTTTTCAAAGCATCGATGTTGCCCATTGCCACAGCCAGATGAAGTGCAGTCCACCCTTGAATGAAATATACAGTACAGTACAGTATATGTAATTGCATATAAAATATAATACAAATATTATTGTTATTTTATTTAGCATTTGATTTATTGCCTATCAAACACAGGAGGCTTATTAAGGTGTTTATATTGTATAAAACACATAAGTTTTATACACACCACAAACAATGAAAATGTTAATCAACAGAAGACATCCAACCCAATGTGGCTAATTTCACAGTTACATATTAACAGTGGCAATGATGGTACTTGAACTTCACACAAAACACCTCATATTGAACTAACTAACCTCTTTGGTCAGGAATATTCCAACGTGCTTCGTGGTCATTGAGCGCCAACACCACCTCAATGGACACCTTGTTTCTGATTGTTATATGTAATGCCGTATCACCTGTTGATGTAAAACATCTGAAGTATATGAGCAGCCATATGTTTATATGATAGAATGTGTAGTCGGACAGTCATATCCTAATATAATAGACTGTGTAATTTGAACAGTCAAATCTTAATATAAAAGCCTGTGTAGTTTGGACAGTCTTATCTTAATATAAAAGCCTGTGTAGTTTGGACAGTCATATATTAATATGAAAGCCTGTGTAGTTTGGACAGTCATATATTAATATGAAAGCCTGTGTAGTTTGGACAATCATATCCTAATATAAAAGTCTGTGTAGTCAGGATTGTCATGCTAATATAAAAGCTTGTGTAGTTAGGGCAGTCATATGATTTTTATAATAGCCTGTGGAGCTAGGACAATCATATGTTTACATAATGGCTTGAGTAGGGAAGGCAATCATATGTTCATATTTGCTGCTAGGTGCATAGAGGCATTGGGTGAAAAGAAACATATCCATCCACTCCCATGGATCAAACTCTGGATCCCTGATTGAGATATATACAAGAGTTGTTACATTCTTGTTACATTCTTGATTGTGGGAAGTTGAGCCATAATATGCTTTCGTTATAATCAAATAGGAGATCTACTCACCATTACTGCTTGTGGCATCAACATCAGCGCCGCCCTTCAGTAGTTCCGTCAAGACTTCAACATGACCGTGTTTAGCTGCCACATGTAGCAACTTCTCTCCTGGAGTAGTGAGAGGCTTCAATGTCGAGAACACCACAGATGTTTTGAGGCATTGCTCTCTATGTCCATGATGCATTAACGTGTAAAAATACTCTTATTAACATTGAAATTGAAATAAGTTTATTGAGATAAAATACACACAAAGGGATGAGGAAGCTCAAGCTATTCTCACCCCGTTCAGTACAACGTGTTCATACATATAATATACTCTTATTAACATTCATTAATTATAATCAATCTATCCAATTTTTTGTTTGCTAATCATTTTACATAAAATATATTTTATTGGTTCAGCATTCCGCTTAAGGTCCCCATGATTGCTTACTGTCAAACTAGCAGTAAATACTATTATTCTGAACATTTTAAACTATGTTCAGTATATACTAAAAAGCAGTGTATAGTTTTTTTAATGTCAGTTCGATTAACTTGTCAAATATTAACTAAAATATATGATGCCTAAAATTTGACTAAAAATTATGTTATTAAATATTAGTCTTGACAACTACATATCCTTTAAGAGTTTTTAAGTCATTGATTTATTGAGGCCTCTTAATGTAATAGACATGCAAGTCACATTTAATAGGGTTTTAATTGTTACAAAATTGAATTTTAAGGTCAGTAAACAAAATTTCATCTCCCATTTGGCATAATTGTCCAATTTGAACATGGCCACTGTACGCTGAGCGCATAACCACTGAAATTTTCAGAATATTGTAAACATGTTACAGTTACTCCAGCTCCCATTTAATTCTTGGATTACATCTGCACATCCCTTAATTACCCTCTTATACTTTTTTTTTCCCCCTTTCCCTCTCTCATTCCTCTTCCCGCATTCTGTTTCCTTCTTTTTTTTTGTACACAGGTGGGCACAGGACAGAGACTGCTGACTCCTGTTAGCAGGCTGAAAGCCTTCCCTTCCCATAGTTCATGGTAAGCCTTACCCACTAGTTTTCCCTAGAATACGACTCTCTTCACTTCTCTCTTTTCCTCTCTCACTCCCTCTTTCTCTTTTCCTCTCTCTCCCTCTTTCTCTTTTCCTCCCTCTAACCCCAAGTGTTATATAGTCGTAATGGCTTAGTGCTTTCTCCTGATAATTACTTAACTAATTACATTTTTTCATACTTTAATTACTATTTACGACAACCTCTTATCCACACTTACCTTTTATTTCTTGATTAAAGTCAAAGTTCTTCCCCCTTAAATTCTTCACTGTTTGTATATTACCTGATGAGACTGCTTCATACAGCTGCAAAATTGTACGTTCAATTATACAAAGTTATGCAAAATATGCAAATGTTATGCAAAGTCATGTACAATAGACAATTATACATGGTAATGGAACACGGACAGTGACTTAACTCTCAGAAATACGCACAACTTTGGATAACTTAATTAACAGACCCTTAATGAGCATAAGTTAGATGATTTGTACATCATATATGGTTCTATGTCATTAAACTATTCAGACTACAAACAATTTTGACATTAACTGGAAAAAAAGTTTTACATTTAAGTTATAGCTACAAAGTATTTGGGTATTGAACTTTTAATTAAACTATATTCAATGAACAAAATTAATTCCAATCAATGAACAAAATTAATTCCAATTTAAATAAAAATCTACTAACATAAAATACATTTGTTTTTATTTTATGTTAATAAGAAATTCCTTGTTGTCGAGCTAGTATATCTCGGAAACTCTCCAATATATTCAGAATTATATTTAAAACAACAATAATCATAATAATGTCTCATTATTTAAATACCTTTTCATTCGTTGTCTCTTCATTTCCTTCTTGTTCAACATTCTGTATTCCGTCGTTCTCATTATTCGCCTTTTTTTCCTTCTCTGTTTTATCTTCCACTGTTATTTGTTCCTTCTGTAATTTTGTGTCTTTCCCCAATTCTCTTTCTTGCTTCTTTTCTCCTTTACCTTCTGCTATTTCTAGTTCTTCCACTTTTATTTCTTTTCCATTTTCACCCTTCTTCTGTACCATCATTGTCAGTGTCACCCCTTTTTCCTTTTCCTCACCTTCTTTATCATTAATTGTTTGATATTTTCCATCATGTGTGTATATCTTCTGCTTCTCATCTTCTATAGTCAAGTTTGGAATTGTATCCTTATTGTCATCAGCCAAATGAAAATGTTTCCCATTTTTTTCATCTGTTTCAGTCTTTTCCGTTACCAACTGTTGGATCTCAGTCTCTCCTGTTGATGTTGTCATGTTTGTTGATGGGGCGATGTTTTTTGATGCTGTCATGTTTGTTGATGGCACGATGTCTTTTGATGCTGTCATGTTTGTTGATGGTGTCGTATTTGCTGGTGCTGTCATCTTTGTTGATGGCGCGATGTCTTTTGATGCTGTCATGTTTGTTGATGGCACGATGTCTTTTGATGCTGTCATGTTTGTTGATGGCTCGATGTCTTTTGATGCTGTCATGTTTGTTGATGGCTCGATGTCTTTTGATACCGTCATGTTTGTTGATGCTGTCATGTTTGTTGATGGTGTCGTATTTGCTGGTGCTGTCATCTTTGTTGATGGCACGATGTCTTTTGATGCTGTCATGTTTGTTGATTCTATGATGCCTGTTGACTTTACAATGTCTCTTGATGCTGACATGCCTGTTGATGCTGCCATGCCTGTTGATGCAGATATGTCTCTTGATGCTGCCATGTCTCTTGATGACATGTTTGTTGATGCTACCAAGTTTGTTGATGCGGCTATATTAACTGATGCTGTCATGTCTGTTGATTCTTTAATCTTTGTTGGTGCTGCCATATCTGTTGATATCATGTTTGTTGATGCTGTCATGTTGATGCTTCAATGAGTCTGTGCCATAAATAAATGTTTTGTTATATTTATAAACAAATAGACGATATAATTTGATTACATATTCATGAATATATCTGAATAAACTATGTTTACATTCTTGTACAGCCACTAGCACGCAAAGGGTTTCGGGCAGAAACGCTATGCATGCTATGCTATGAAACGCTACTACAGTATAGTATATTTGTATAGTTTATATCTACATCGGCGTTGAATCAACAGTATTGGCACTGAATCAACGTTGAATCAATAGAAGCCTAGACCCTACCCTACTTAAGGAACTGACTCCAACCCTTTATGACACTAGTCAGTCATAATTCTTCACCTATCATGGAAAGTTGAGGCAAATCACAGCCGTAGGCTGGGAGAGCGAGCTTGAGACTGAGTAATTAGTCTGTGTACTGAGCTTCCAGTACCTGGGGTAACTATAATCTATGCACTGAGCTTCCAGTACCTGGTGTAACTATAGTCTATGTACTGAGCTTGCAGTACCTGAGGTAACTATAGTCTTATGTACTGAGCTTCCAGTACCTGGGGTAACTATAGTCTTATGTACTGAGCTTCCAGTACCTGGGGTAACTATAGTCTTATGTACTGAGCTACCAGTACCTGGGGTAACTATAGTCTTATGTACTGAGCTACCAGTACCTGGGGTAACTATAGTCTTATGTACTGAGCTACCAGTACCTGGGGTAACTATAGTCTTATGTACTGAGCTACCAGTACCTGGGGTAACTATAGTCTTATGTACTGAGCTACCAGTACCTGGGGTAACTATAGTCTTATGTACTGAGCTACCAGTACCTGGGGTAACTATAGTCTTATGTACTGAGCTACCAGTACCTGGGGTAACTATAGTCTTATGTACTGAGCTACCAGTACTTGGGGTAACTATAGTCTTATGTACTGAGCTACCAGTACCTGGGGTAACTATAGTCTTATGTACTGAGCTACCAGTACCTGGGGTAACTATAGTCTTATGTACTGAGCTTCCAGTACCTGGGGTAACTATAGTCTTATGTACTGAGCTACCAGTACCTGGGGTAACTATAGTCTTATGTACTGAGCTACCAGTACTTGGGGTAACTATAGTCTTATGTACTGAGCTACCAGTACCTGGGGTAACTATAGTCTTATGTACTGAGCTTCCAGTACTTGGGGTAACTATAGTCTTATGTACTGAGCTTCCAGTACTTGGGGTAACTATAGTCTTATGTACTGAGCTACCAGTACCTGGGGTAACTATAGTCTTATGTACTGAGCTTCCAGTACCTGGGGTAACTATAGTCTATATACTGAGCTTCCAGTACCTGGGGTAACTATAGTCTTATGTACTGAGCTTCCAGTACCTGGGGTAACTATAGTCTATATACTGAGCTTCCAGTACCTGGGGTAACTATACAGGTAGTCTTATGTACTGAGCTTCCAGTACCTGGGGTAACTATAGTCTATATACTGAGCTTCCAGTACCTGGGGAAGGCAAAGGCAAGCTGGAAATAAAACCGAAGGAATAATACTAATTTACATTTCATTATATAGAAGCCCGGTGACAACCTGAATGACAAAACGTGTCATTGAGGCACAAATCACTGCAAATGAAACGTTTTTCAGAGAGGGGACGAAGATTAAGGGCGCAACCTGTCCTCTCGAGTTGTCAAATCACAAAAATGATGTACTAAATTGCCCGAACCTAACCTAGTCAAGGACCCACGAATAGAGAACGTCAATTTTGGGAGCCGCTGTGAGTTATAGTACACCATATTTTGACGTAGGGGATTTTTATGGAAAAAAAAATCGATGTGTTATTCAAGATCAAGAAAATCACTAAGGCTAGGAATGAATACGAGTTACGACACTTATTTTACCCAACGGAAAGTAAGCAAGGCTCACCTCTCACTACACTGCCAAGGGCTTCACTGGTGTTCACCAGTCACCTGGATACCACAGAGATAAGGCCATAGACAACATATCTGACTTATCGTAATGTGATGGCATTCAGCCTTCTTTCACCATTATTGATCTACAGTAATTACACGATGTTTTGCTGTATAAATTAGTTTCTTGATGTAATGGTTGACGTGTGTTGTCGGACAGAGCTGTGTGTAAAGTTGATGGGAGAGGGAATTAACACGAAGAAAACTTGACAAAATAGTTTAGTCTACCTAGTAAAATCATTATATAATATTCTGTCGTATCTGGCTAAATGAGATTTGCATAAAATATGCAGAAAAAATCTTTCAAACCGTAAGCTGTTATCGTATATTTCTTAATTCACAGTCAACTGCCTGTGGTAAGCTCAGATGTATTAAACCCCCAAGAGGAGTAATATTAACGGTCATACCGATAGTAATAATAATGAAAACATAATATCGTTATTAAATTCCAAAAGCCCGAGGCTTCTCGGGAACTGTGTCACTCTCGTAGTCAACAATAAGGGATTTACTACTTCTACGTCTACGGGAAATATCCCCTATGATATTCCTGCGCCGGCCCTATAAGCCTCAGCTAACACACACTGACCATTCACATGCCAGAAATGAAGATGAATAACTGATAATAAAAAAATAATAATAATAAATAATAATAAACTGATAATTAATAAAATAAAAATAACTGATAATAAATAAAAATAATAACACCTTCCAGCTGTTATTAATACAGCTTTTACTATTATTACTACATTACAACTAAATCAATAAACTATTTATAATTAATACATTCATAAATCAGAACAAGTATACGTGAGAGAGAGAGCACATTACCGAGTCATCATTGGGAAGACCCTACACAAAAACTGCACCTACCATCAAGAAGAAGAAAAGAAGAGGTATATATATATCGCTTCTCGGTGGGTATAGACTGAGTTTATTTTAGTCCTGAATTCAGGACCAAAGTAAAGTTGTTGGTTGGTCTATTCCCGCGATTTTTGTTTCCTACCACAAACGTAGCCACACATTTACAATGCTAACCAGCATATATACATTTTCTTCTGTCCACCATGGACAGGGTTAGAGGTCTGTTAAACATATAGTTTAGTGATTTATTGAACAATCAACCACAGAAGGTGACTGTAGTGTTTTTAAATTGCCACTCTAACCTACAAACATAAATACACAGATTTACGTCTGTCCAACGTAAACAGTGTTCGAGGTGTCTTTTTACAGTGCCCGCTTGTCCCCGGTTGATATGCCTTAAACCCAACACAAAACAAGGGAATACTGTTTTAGCGACTACGCAGTAGGCTACATACGTGAGCAAGGTGCATTATTGTTATCAATGGCAAATGTAAGTGAAGGCATGGTTTATCTGTCTCGTATCATAATTTAGTACCTGATAAGCAGCCTCTTGCGTTATCTCTTCAGGTTTCAACCTTTAAAGGCTCTGCAGGTCCTCATTTTTTTTTTAATTTCAAGTAAAACCAAATGGATCCAAACTAGGCTCTTAATGGGAGGCTTATGGCGGAATAACAAATTTGAATGTGAGGCTTATAGTCGTACAATGTATATGAGAGGGTTTTAATGCTACAATGTTCATGAGCGGATTAAAATGCTACAAGCAATAACAAGAGAATTCGAGTAGCCAGTTATCAGTTGGGAAGCGGTCCTCAACAAATCCAATACCTTGAGCAACAAACTACCCCGTCAAACCACCTGGATAGTTATCTGGATAGTTATATTTGTAATGGTCTGAAAACATTACGGTTCCAGTAATAGTCTACTTGTAAACTGGCAAGTGAACAGTGGCCGACACACACAGGCACGGCAGGCACCTCCCCCTGCCGAGGCCCCCGTCAAAAACAGCAGAGCCCGTGTCCCCGGGAGCCTAGACCACATCCACAGGCGGGGGGCAGGACATGGACCTCCACCGGGACATCCTCCACTACACGCAGCGCACCCGACGGCCCGACACCCACACACACACTGGCTCAACAACCTCAGGGGCACGGCAGTTACCAGACGTGTCGCACAAGCCGTAGAACTCGCCTCAACAGGCGGAGCAGCAGACAAGCAATTGGGCGCCTCAGGCACAGTACCCACTCCGTCCTCAGAACCGTCGGAAGGCAACAGGGGCGGAAAATCCTCCGCACGAAAAATATGCACCCGACCAGTTGCTCCACGTCGCACGCTGCAGCCAAATGACCCTCGTGATCACACCTATAACAGGTGTGCGGTTGACCCCGATACTGAACTGAAGTTCAGTTAGTAACACAGTTACAGCCCCGCTCCTCTGCCAGGTAAGTCCACAACGGGCTCACCGTAGCCCGTGCTACTATGAAACTTTTGTTCCGAGTAGCTGAATCTAAAACAACAACAACCCCCCGATACAGGCAGCAGAGCGTGTAACCCAACACGGACATCGACGACGGTACACTACACTTCAGCGACATCGTCAGGGTGCGGGAGTCGTCAAGCATCCCAGCTCAGTGCACGGCAAGGACCTTGTTCCTACGAACATTAAACACAGTCCTAAACAGCTCAAAACAGGAGGTTAAAAATTCGTCCTAAAATTCGAAGGGGGCATCATATACAGCCACATACTTTTGACCACAGCACGGTTGCCCTGAAGCAGCTGGACGCCCACTAAGTCCGACAGCTGCTCATGTAGCACGTCCACCAGGGCGACACCAACTAACTGATGGTCCACCGGCACCGTAAATGCCAGACCAGCCGACAATGTCCTCTTCACTGGAGGTCGAGAAGTCCCCATGACAAATCCAAACGTCACCCTGTCAGTGGCAAACCACCACCACCAGGCAGGGCAACCAGCAATCGTCCAACGTAAACACTAGCCAGGAGCGGAAAGACCTCAGAGGCGTCCGACGGCCGCGGTCGCCACTCAACTCCCTTAAACAGCTTAGTGTGAGGACTGGGTGGATAAAGACCTGGGGTAAATATTGGTTTGGAAATACTGTAATATTAATCTATGGAAGACATTGTCTGGTAACATAATAGACTTTGGGTTTATGGAAGGGCCAGAATAGTAATATAAAACGTGAACTTTGGGGGGGTCGAACGTTTGACCAAACAGCTGCAATAAGTGCCATAATTTTACGAGGATAGGCTGCTTAATGAAGACAGGAATTGGAATTAAATAATTGGCAACGTAAGTAGGCGAGTACAACAAGGCTAGTAGGTTAGTCATTGACAGGTTTTATGAATATTCTCATGGACAGTCGCCCATGAGAACACAAAACTAGAAGAGGTCCACAAGTATGCAACAAGGCTCGTGCCTGAGCTATGAAGAAAGTCTGAGGGAACTTGATCTGACTATACTGGAGGAAAGGAGGAATAGGACAGACATGATAACGACGTACGAGATACTAAAGTGGATTGACAAAGTAGATACAGAAACAACGTTCATATTTAGGAACAGTAGAACGAGAGGACATAATTGGAAACTGGAATTACATTACAGTTACAGAGATGTCAGAAAAAGTTTTTTTCAGTCTGAGAGTTGTAAATAACTGAAACGGACTAGAAGAGGAAGATGTCGAAGCCACTTCAATGCACAGATTTAAATGTAAATATGAAAAAAAGAGTGAAAAGGCAGAGCTTAAAAGCAGACGGTCGACCTGCAAGAACAAGTAGGCGAGTACAACTTGGTGAGTATAAGCACACACACACACACATGCAAAATTCAATCCATACATATATATACACAGGTATACACACCCCGATAAAAACACACATCGCGCACATACACAAACATCTCTACCGCAAGGAAATGCTTCAAAACAGCTCAACTTATACACACGTACATTGCCAATATTACAAACCAAGACTATCTCTGGTATGTAATTTGATAACACATCATATCAACTGATAACACCTTTATCACCCAGCGCCGAACGACCACTGCCGTTCAGTGTCTATCATCTCGGAATCTTGATATAGAGGGTTTCACTTGCGGTTATGTGAATAATTGCTATTATTCAGTGTTCACCTGAAGAAATGGATTCGTGGACAGCCAAGCTCGTGAGTAAATTAGTGTTGGAAAATGGGTTTTATGAGATCGTGTTGTTTTGTGTTTGGGTCTCAGCTTGTTTATATGAAAACCAGCCTAGTTGCCTGTCTGGTCGGCTGAAAACTACTGAGATCATATGCCTTACCGAGTCTGTGGAGTAGGCTTGTATTTCAGTTGTCTGTTCCTCGTCCTCTAATCCTCATGTCTTTCCTGTAGGAGCACTATGCCGTCCTAGGGCACCTAGAGGGGGTGCAGTTGGCGCTGGCAGCCGGGGCGGCCGTTGATGGCAGCTCCAAGGGACTGCGGACTCCCCTCCACAACGCTGCTCGGAGCGGTAACCTGGTGATCGTGAGACTTCTGTGTGATCACCAGGCCAACACCAGGGTCAAGAGTCTCATTGACAGAGGTGAGGGCGGGCGAGTGGAGGCTTGATTACATTGTTTCGATCTCAACAAAGCTTTAGTTAGCTTGTAATTCAGGAAACTTGGTGGTTCCTTGACACTGTTTTGTGGTCAAATTAACTCTTTTACAATAATGGTTTCATTGGTGATTGTGTTTCCTTTAGTGTATCAAGCCACCATCAGGGCCAGGAGTGCAAAATTGTAGATGATATAACGTGATTCAGCAGCCACACCAAAACATGGTTAAACCCGACAGCAGCCTATACTTATGACTGAACAAGCGCCATAAGTTACCTCTGTACAACCTATGATCAGGTTGTCTGGCGGTGTTGATCACTCACCTGACTGTTGATCACTCACCTGACAGTACTGAGTGTTCATGCTGCAAATACTGGCATTCTTCCCCAGGGATGCAGCCCCTGCACCTCGCTGTGAGGAACGGCTACACGGACGTTGTGAGGGAGCTGCTGACTAGGGGCGCCGATGTTGGTGCCGCCGATAACAAAGGTGAGTTCAGTTCCCTTCACTTGACAGGCTTACGAAACCTGTACATCTTTCATAAATAATGGCGGCTTGGTTAGCTTTTATTTAAAACAGTATGAGCTACGAGATTGGGTTAAGAGCGACCTCGTAGAGTTTCGAAGCTTGTAACTTCTTTAATAAATACAGAATGGGCTGCCATGATTGAGGAAAGGTGTACAGGTTTCGTAAGCGGACATGTAAGTGCTTGAGGAAACCTGGCCCAGAACTATATAGAAGGTGCAGACGAGGAGTCACAATAACGTGGCTGAAATATGTTGTCCAAACCACACACTAGAAAGTGAAGGGACGACGACATTTCGGTCCGTCCTGGACCATTCTCAAGTCGACTGTGACTAGAGTCGTCCTGGACCACAATCGACTTGTGAATGGTTCAGGACGGACCGAAACGTCGTCGTTCCTTCACTTTCTAGTGTGTGGTCTGGTCAACATATAGGTTATTCGGCTAGGGAGCCCCATTTCCCTATTTTAAACTTCTCCCGTTATGACTGGAGATATATTACAGGATGAACGCCAGTTCTTATGTTGTATCAACGACTTCTATTAAAATTAATTACTCAGAGATAAACAAAACTAAGATTTTCTCACTAATATTGATATTACCGAATGGTTTGTTGATGGTCTGGAGACATATCACCCTCTGCATAATTATTAAGGCTATCAAAACAACTTGCTGACTTACCAGCAAGTGTGCTTTACTACTGGGCAATCTTCATGGCTAAATTAACAAGCCAAGGCACCCTAGTCTTCACTCCTGGAGGCAACTGCCGCCTAGCGCCCACTTCGTGGACTGGTCGACGAAGAGTGAGTCTGAACGTCTGAGATTTATACATTAAACTATAATTCAGGTTTCCAGGCTGTCCACCTGGCAGCGGTCCACGGCCACAAGGAGGTTCTGGAGGTGCTGAGAGAGCACAACTGCGACCTGGACTCTCAGAACAGAGACGGAGCCACGGCCCTGCATCTGTCGGCCGAGAGCGGTCACCTGGAGGTGGTGAGGTGGCTGGTGGAGCAAGGCGCCTCCACACACGTCACAGACACCCACCTCCGCACCGCACAAGACTACGCTAAAAGACTACGTTCACATGAGGCTATTGTAGAATTTCTCCAGGGCTATAGCAGTCCCATTGACCAGGTACTGATTAATATATTATATAGAATTATATATAAATATTATATAATTTTATGAATCGATTGGTCGATTAATCAACTCGTACTTGATTTATATAGACAAACGACAATCTTCTCCACGCATCCTTCAGTATATACATTTATTAATATACTATAATGATATATACATGGTTACATTCACGTTACTAATGCCTGTTTGTCCGCAGTAGTCTCTAACATACGGAAGTGTGTTTAAGGAAATTCAGCTGTTGTATTTACGTGGTGTTCTTGTTTGTCGTAGCCTCAAGGTTTCATAAGGCCGTAATTACCTACACACACTCCTGTCTCCTACGCAGCAGGGAAGCGCCACCCAGGAGGAAGAGGAGCCGCCTACAAGAGAATCACACTCAGCCCGCCAAAACAGCGTTGCTCACCAGAACCGAGACGTCAACCAGAGCCGTGACGCCAACCAGAACCGAGACGCCAACCAGAGCCGTGACGCCAACCAGAGCCGTGACGCCAACCAGAACCGAGACGTCAACCAGAGCCGTGACGCCAACCAGAACCGAGACGTCAACCAGAGCCGTGACGCCAACCAGAACCGAGACGTCAACCAGAGCCGAGACGTCAACCAGAACCGAGACGCCAACCAGAACCGAGATGTCAACCAGAGCCGTGACGCCAACCAGAGCCGTGACGCCAACCAGAGCCATGACGCCAACCAGAGCCGTGACGCCAACCAGAGCCGAGACGTCAACCAGAGCCGTGACGCCAACCAGAGCCGAGACGCCAACCAGAGCCGTGACGCCAACCAGAGCCGTGACGCCAACCAGAGCCGTGACGCCAACCAGAACCGAGACGTCAACCAGAGCCGAGACGTCAACCAGAGCCGTGACGCCAACCAGAGCCGAGACGTCAACCAGAGCCGAGACGTCAACCAGAGCCGAGACGTCAACCAGAGCCGTGACGCCAACCAGAACCGTGACGCCAACCAGAGCCGTGACGCCAACCAGAGCCGTGACGCCAACCAGAACCGTGACGCCAACCAGAGCCGTGACGCCAACCAGAACCGAGACGTCGACCAAAACCTTGACGCCAATGAGAACCGAAACGCCAACCAAAATGCCAATGAGAACCGAGACGAAAACCGTCAACAGCAACGTCCCCAACAGCAGCAACAGCGTCCTCAACAGCAGCAGCAGCGACCCCAATACCAGCAACAGCGTCCCCAACTGCAGCAACGGAAAAGCCAGCAGACATTACATCAGCATAGAAAACAAAAGCAGCAATTGCAACAACAGCAGCCAGAGAAACAAGAGCAACTACAAGGCCAGCAGCAGCAACACGAACAAGACCACCAGCACGACAGAAGACAAGCTCGCGCAACACCCACTCTCCATCTACCGGTACACTACCTCCTTTTATTTTCATTAAATATAGTTTGGCGTATTCTTTTACCTACACAAAAACCAAAACAAAATAAATTTACACGAACCTGGATTCATATTTAGAATATACGTGAATCCATGCTAAGTAATATATAATATTGTTTCATCTTTACTATGTGACCAAATAATGTTTCCAGAAGCCATTATCTGAACCTCCTGGGGGCGCTGACGACGCCCCTGACCAAGCTCTTCAACCTCAACCCGCCAGCCAATCACACCCACGACAAGATCAAGACCAACAGGCATTAACCCAGCCTTCAACTGCGAACAACTGCACCACTACTCCAACCCCGCCACCACGATGTGATGGACTCTTGTATCGTATGCTGTCTACGTCCGAGACTGATGACTTAGAGGGGGAAGCGGAGATTAATGATTCTCTATCTACTGATACCACAGAACAGGTATTGTTAGATATATAAAACATGAATTATAACAAAAATTGTGAAGTTAAAAGTTAAATGTTTAGTCATTTAGTTTGGCATTAGTGTAGTGCTGTTCTTAATGCAAGCATATACAAAGTTTTAAGTGTCATTGTAAGTTTTACCGGGAGATCCTTCGGGAGTTCCAATCGGATAAATTTTCTTCTCTGTGCTTGCACATCTTATATTTCAATATTGCAAACAGTTTTGGCCTCCGTACTTAAACACTGCTATTGCCAAATTAGGTGTTCAGCACCGAGCAATAAAATTTTATCAATATATGGAAATAAGTGACATGAAGCCCGCTGGTGGTGGTAGTCAACTTCTGGAGTAATTTTAAGGCAACACGAATGTTTACTAACCAACCAGCAAGAATAATCTAGCCCTGGCCATTGTCCAGGACTAATGTAAAATTTCAGTGTATATACACCTAAAAGTAGGGTTTATACCTCTCGGTGTATATATTAGCTTGGTATCGGGCTTAAGGGCTATCAACCTCTGGAGAATTATTAAGTCACTACAATTGTTTACTGACCAAGCAGCAAGTGTACTTTAATTCTAGACTATATCAAGAAGTAAAGTAAACTCGGTATACACCGACAAGTAGGCTACACCTCTTTATGTGTACAATTCGCTATGATTTTATTTAAGCCTACCCTGTTAGTTGAAACACACTGCATGCCTCACAGGAGATCGTGGAGGCCGTGTCAGCAGGAAACCACGCTGCCACAGAGAGATTGCTGGTAGCTGGGACCAGTCCAGACACCCGCAGCTCCAAGGCAGGGGAGAAAGGTTAGTGCTGCTAGCATCATTTTCTCCGTGAAGCTCAAGCATGCTGGTCATGTAGTCCATTCACACACAGAAATCACATTAACGTGATGATATATATCAATGTGCTAGAGTATGCGGCCTGGTGGTAGGTTCGCGCCCACCCGAGAGGATTTCCTCATGTAGTACATTTTTGAGATCAGTCGCCATTTTCATAATATTCAGTACGGTACATAACTCGCTATTTATATGCCTACACATTTGATTTTTAAGATACCAGTCTGCTGACGTTCTATTACAATAATTCTTTCTCTCTTGTTTTTTCTTCCATAAAATCTGACGAAAATTCTCACACAAATATTCAACTATCCATACGAATTAAAACAATAAACACAACAGTTGCAGGTGTTTTTACGAATTGAAACTACGAAAAATGAAATAAAGTGTAATGTTGACAGAATATATTTGATCTATGAGCTAGAGCTTCCGTCATGATGATAATTCTAAAACTTTATGACCCTAGCTAGCATTATAAGATACAATGGCATTTACCTGCAGGTCTGACGTTGATGCACCTGGCCTGCTGGAGTGGCTACCCGAAGATCGTAAGACTCCTCGCTAAGTACAGAGCCGACCGTAAGGCCACAGCCCATGGTAAGTGAGATACAAACAAGTACATTAGTGTACGTCGCGGGCTACACTTGGACAGTACGGTAGAGCTGTTGTTGTTGTTTTAGATTCAGCTACTCAGAACAAAACGTTCCGAGTAGCACAGGCAATGGTGAACCCGTAGTGGACTTACCTGGCACAGGAGCGGGGCAGTAACTTGCGATGGACGGTAGAGCGGCAGCCGCGCTTTTTGTTGGTCGGCGTTCAATCCCCGACCGTCCAAGTGGATGGGCACCATTGCTCCCCCCTTCGCCCTTTCCTACTTATCCTCACATACCTTCCAAGTGCTATACAGTCGTAATGACTCAGAGCTTTCTCCTCATAATGCCCTGTCTATAATGTAAAATACAGTATAACAAAATACACGCTTTTCTTTGATAGATTTTCAGCAAACGTCTGGGGGCACAGTATGCCTAAACTACAATAATATTATTACTGGTAATATTAGCGCAATTTTAATATCGATTGATAAAGCTTTTCGTATATATTTGTTGGCTAGGCTAGACATTGGTGACGTTGAGACTGGGCTTAACAAAAGGGCAATCTAAAGATGCAATGTGCATAAGCCGAAATTTTGAAGTAAATGTCATCGATTTCTGTTTTAATATTTAGAATTTTGATAAATCAATTTCCTATGAACCTTCAGTCCATAGGACTTGTCCTTCAGTCCTTGTTAATATTAAATTAAAATATATATATATCTCATATATGATACCATCACACCAGACCACTGTAAGCAATAGACCCAATACGTGCAATGGCTTCCTAAGGATGTAACTACATACGAGAAATATATACAATTTCCTGCTTGCAGCAGGTTTAAATAAATACTGAGTACCAAGAACTGTGGGAAGCACTCATCATTACCAGTGTTTACTATGGCATTGCCAATACTGATGACAGATTAATTCAGCCGTCTTACTCTCTTCAGGGCTGCTGGCTATACACTGGGCAGCTGTGGGCGGCCACGTACCTGTGCTGGCGGTGATGTGGGAGAAGGGCTTCAGCATCAAAGCTAGGAGTCAGGACGGGGCGACGCCGCTGCACCTGGCTGCCGACCACGGCAACATGGAGGCGGTGAAGTGGCTGGTGGAGAAGGGCGCCTACCTCAACGTTAAGGATAAGCGCGGTCGAACGCCCAAGCTCGTGGCCAAGGAGGCGGGCAACAAGATGATCGTCAAGTTCCTGCAGGACAAGGAGGATGAGGTCAGTTAAGCTAGTACCTGAAAGAGAAGCAGGTCAGTTGAACCTGAAGAAGTATAGAGAAATGTGCAGTAAGTAGTACTTGCATCAGCCAGTAAAAAGCCATATGCGATATGCACTGATTTGGTATTAGGCTTTTATATAATATATAAAGCCTAACATCAAATCAATGTTATTGATTGAAAAACTGACGTACAACAACCTGACACTGTTATACGTCTTAGTAACTAAAGTTAAAGTTTCCGTAACTCAAAATGCTGTTAATGCGTTACTTTACAGCTGTCTCAGTGTTTTAGAAGTTATTGCTAGAGCTGTGGTGTAAGTGCAGCTGCGGTCTTTGCTGTTACAGATGCACTTAAGTAACCTGCAGGAGCAACGTAAGCTTGGTGAAGGAAGCTTCGGCGAGGTGATCCTTGTAAGGAGTAACAACGGCTTCGTAGTGGTGAAGAGGGTGAGTGTTGGTGAGTGTTGTAATGGTAGTCATGTCCGGATACGAGACCTTTATGTCTGCACACGTACACATATAAAATGTAAAATAAACAGTTCAACCAAAATAACACTTCAAGGCTACCTCCTTAATGTCTTAACATGTATTATAGTCCAAATATAGGCTGTGATTGTCGGTAATGTGTACAGGCTTTGACAGTGTAAACAAAAAGCCTTCTCTCTCTGCCTCAGATCGACCTGTCGCAGCTCCGACGGAAGCACCAAGAGTACGCCCACAGGGAGCTTAAGCTACTCAAGTCTCTGTGTCACCCCTACATCGTCGCTTACAGGGTAACGTGGACACCAATTGGCTCATGAGGGCACACCTGTCTTTGTATTAAAAAGTATCATCCTAAATAAAAGTTATTTCAACATTAATGTATGTATATGTTTACTGAAAGGCAGTGTTGGTCTTCTCTAGCATCTTACATTCCCCGGCAGGGCGGAGGGTTCGAGGGCAAACATTTACACATCCATATGGAATACTGCAGCGGCGGGGACCTGGCCTCCCGCATCCAGGATCAGAAGACCGCTGGAGTCGACTTCGAGGAGCGTCTTGTCCATTGCTGGGTGCTTAGCATCTGCTTGGCTCTCAAGGTCGTCACCACAGCCTATGAACGTCTTTATTTTACATTTTCCGTTTTTCTATGTTTATCAGATAGTTTTGAATCAATATCATAGTTTAATGTGATTAAGGTGTAGATTATGGATGTAGTTAGATTAGGAATTCCGACGTGTGATTCTATCCTGAAGGGCCACGTCTCCTTCCCTACAGTACATCCACGGTCGCAACATACTGCACAGGGACTTGAAGCCTCATAACATCTTCCTGACGGAGGGCGGCATCATCAAGCTGGGGGACTTCGGGTTGGCGCGCGTCATAGGCGATGCCCAGCGTGCTCTCACCTCCCTGGGCTCCCCTGCTTATATGGTGTGTTGGTGATCTCTTACCCTGTCCCCTGAGGTAACGATACGAACACGCATCTTGTTCTGACCCTCCAGCATTTGTGTTTACTTTCTAACTTTTTCGGATATGATCGTCAGACCAAAGTAAACAAAAATAACTTTTGTTTACTCTGTATTGAAGCTCTTGAGTGAAGTTGGTTGAATTTGGGGGGTTACAAAATTAATTTGTCTCGAGGTGATACTTAACTCCTAAACGATCTTATGGGTTATTCATGCCCATGCCACCTCTTGGGGTGGCTTAACCTTTAACAGTCAATCCTAAATGATTTGAGACTTGACTGAGAGGCGTTCGCATACTCTACCCCAATTACACAAATATAATTAATGTGTTGATGGATACGTTGACATGTATAACCAAACTTTCACATATTTGTTTATGAAATGTTTATCTGAAGATTGTCTAGATGTCACACTAGGTTATTTAAAACAAATTACATGTTACCTCGTTAACTAAACGAGCCTCAATACACTAAACTTGATTTGACTTCCACTAATTTTCTTCCCCGAGTTAAGTCAAAATCATTCACCACTTCTGGTGTGATTTACGAACTACTTCTCTCTTACATCTTCTGGACATATCTCTCTCTTTACATATATTATACATAAACCCTCAGTGTAGAGGCGCAGCTACGGCTATTGTTCGCTGGTGAACCCTTAACAGAGACCTGTGTCTCATTCCCGCCCTTTTGTCTGCAGAGCCCTGAAGTGATACGCGGAGAAGCCTATGACGCTAAGGCCGACATGTGGGCCCTGGGGTGTTGTCTCTACGAGTTGGCAACACTGGAACGAGGGTTTCCTTACAACGAGGTAGGAACGAGCTAAGCTTCCCTTACCATAGGGAAGGAATGAGCTAGGCTTCCCCTACCATAGGGAAGGAATGAGTTAGGCTTCCCTTACCGTAGGGTAGGAACGAGCTAGGCTTCCCTTACCATAGGGAAGGAATGAGCTAGGCTTCCCCTACCATAGGGAAGGAATGAGCTAGGCTTCCCTTACCGTAGGGTAGGAACGAGCTAGGCTTCCCTTACCACAGGGAAGGAATGAGCTAGGTTTCCCTTACCACATTGCAACTCTAAAGCTTTGGCTTCTCTCAGTGTTCAATGTAGACAAGCCAGATTTAACAGTGAGAGATGCTAAAGCCCACCAACATTATTCGTCATTGTAAAGAAGACTTTGAGCGTCATCTTAATGACCCCTCAAGCGACAGTGCTCACGAAGCGCATGAAAGATTGAACAGTTATAAAAGTGAAGGGACGACGACGTTTCAGTCCGTCCTGGACCATTATCAAGTCGATTGTGATCACAATCGACTTCAAAACGTCGTCGTCTCTTCACTTTCTAATGTGTGGTATGGTCAATATTTTTCAGCCTCGTTATTGTCACTCCTCATCTGCAACAGCTATAAGTTAAAGTACACTCAGGCGGGTTGAAGTGGGTTTCCAGTAATACCAGTTCACCTAATGCTACAAAATGTTCCAATTGAGTCTCTCTTCGTTCTCTTTCTCCTCCCGTTTATCGTCTTTCTCCTGTTGGTGCCAGGTGATCGTGTCAGGAGGGTTCTGCGAGGAGTACAAGGCGGCTGTGGTGTCCCTTCTGCAGCAGGATCCGGCCAGGCGGCCCACAGCGGCCCTCCTCCTCAGGAAGTCCTTCATTCTGGTTAGTTATATACTGTCTGACTTCTGCAGGGAGGTGAAGGATACTGAGGGATCCTAAACAACTTGTAGGCTTGAAGGACTACATGATAACTTAATTTAAGGTTATTTTGGTAACCTGTGTACCAGCCACTTGGGCTGGACGGTAGAGCGACGGTCTCGCTTCATGCAGGTCGGCGTTCAATCCCCGATCGTCCAAGTAGTTGGGCATCATTCCTCCCCACCGTCCCATCCCAAATCCTTATCCTGATCCTTTCCTAGTGCTATATAGTCGTAATGGTTTGGCGCTTTCCCCTGATAATTTATTTCGTTTCCTTGGTAACCTGTGAATATTTTTGTAAAAAAGTTGTGAAAAAGTATAGTTCCTGAACAATTATATACATTTTGTGTGGATTTAAATGTAAACTGGTGGCGACTTATACTAATGTTGAGACAAATTTTGGAGCTCAAGCTTATTGAGAAATTTGTGAAATACATTGTGAAATTTGTTTCGCTTATAAAACTTTATGGGAACCTGTAGGATATATTTTTAGGCCTTGTAATATGGTACAGAAATGTTCCAGTATTTATAGGAATTAGTCTATAGGATTGGTAACGGTAAGGTTACCGTTACCAATCAGGAGGAAGCTCTACGTTAGAATGACTCCATAACACGTATAAGGGACATGTGGACAAGGAGCTTGGCTATAAGAACTAAGGAGGGGGGGTGGGGGAAGAGTGCCCAACCACTTCGTCCATCGAGAACGGGAGTCCAACACCGCGACCGTGCAAGCTACAAGGCTATCTCTGTACCGATCAGTCCAAGTGGATGGTCTATAAGAAATTATAAACAAGTATTATTTAATTGCGAATTGTAATAACTGAGCTAGAGGGGAACTGAAAGATTGTGTGGTTATTTAGAGGCTTGTGAGAACGTGAACAGTCTTGTCGTTGGACTTGAAAACCCTTGCTAGGGTGAGAGGAGGTTGAAAAGTCATGTGGGAACTTGCAAAGACTTGTGTGGGCGTGCAACTTCTTTGGGGACTTGCAAAATCTTTTGGGGACTTGCAAAGTCTTCTAGGGACTTGCAAAGTCTTCTAGGGACTTGCAAAGTCTTCTGGGGGCTTGGAAAGTCTTTTGAGTTACAGTCTTCCGAGGTATTGAAAAGTATCTTGGGAACTTGCATGGTCTTCTTAGGACTTGAACAAGTCTTGTGGGACTTGAGGTAACTTAAAAAAAACTTGAGACAACTTAAAGGACTTACAGGTGCTCGAGGAGACTTGAAGAAAGTTAAAGGAGACTTGAATCAACTTGAAGACATTTATGTGAACTTGTGGTATCTCTTAGATTTACTGAGCGCTCTTGGAAGTTACAGCTTTATTTGTGTTCTTGTTATGAAATTAATCGTAAATAATGCTGAAACTACGCGCACAAGAATGCATAAACATTATGTTCGCATGAATACATAATACAACTGTATTTGTGTGTGTGTATGTATTTCGATTCATCCATATTTCACAATAATAACCCGTCCACCTTCTCACCCAACCATTACCTCATGCATCTATCCACCCACCCCACCACAGGAGGCGATGGAGAGCCAGCTAGAGGAGAAGGAACAGGACGTGACGGAGCTGAACAGAGAAGTGCTTCAGCTGAGTCAAGAGGCGGAGGAGCTCATCACACAACTGGAGGCACTTAGAGCCAGGAACACCAGACCAAACGAGAAGAAACCCAAGACGTGAACAACAAAATATCTGAAGGTGGTGAAGGAGGAAAATAAGAAATATAAGCTAAAGGAGACCGAATGTAGAAGACATTAGAAATACATAAGAAACATGTAAATTTAGATAAGCTATTTCCTGGAAAGTTCATACCAATAGATAAATAAATTAATGTAATTGGGTAGCTATTAACTCTCTCCTGATAAACACGGTACATAAGACACTTGACTGATGACCCCAGAGTAATTATCAAACGAAGGAACCAAGCCGGAGAGAGACCCCCCCAGAGTAATATTTGGAGTGTGGCTTGAAGCCTATCAACCGAGGAAGGATTATGAAGGCCACCACAATACCTTACTGATCAACCTGCGAGATTACTCTACCTTTGAACATTAGTTCAAGACTAAAGTAAACTCATAAAGAAATGGGGTACACCTCTCCGTTTATATATATATATATATATATATATATATATATATATATATATATATATATATATATATATATATATATATATATATATATATATATTGGTATAAGTGTTGGTCTTAGGTATATCAACCTCTGAAGTGTTATCAAGGCCAAACAAGAGCTTAAAGGCCAACCAGCAAAAATGCTTTAGCTCTAAACATTGCCTAGGACTAAAGTAAACTTTCAGTGTATCTCTTTGGCAACCTGTCCTCAGCCTAGGCTTGTCCGTCCATTTTAAGGTACCGCGGGTTAAAAAAAATATTTTTTAAAATATGTTAATAATATTCCATACTACAAAGTGTTGAATAGTTAAGGCTAAATTAAGTTCCGTTGGCACTTATTAGTATTTGCAGTACGTGGATGAAGCACTTAGAGAGGCGGGATTCGAACAGAGGACGTGAACAAAACGTTTCACTGCTCGAGAAACACACACACGTCATCAGTCGAGTGGTGTGTTAAGTTATTTACATTTAAAATATATTTCAATATTTATATGTACCATAAATGATAATTTATAATAGTATCTCCTAAAAATATGTTTAGATTTACTGAACACTCTTGGAAGTTACAGCTTTATTTGGGCTCTAGTTGTAAAATAAATCGTAAATAATGCTGAATCTACGCTCACAAGAATACATAATACAGGTGTGTGTATTATGAAAGCACATATCAACATTAAAGTCATATGTTGGAAGAGTGTAGTATTTAGTAGGCTAAATAGCCTACTTAGCTAAAACATAGATAACAAGGGGGATTTGGTGGTTGGAATAACGAATATTTGGCCTGTGTCGATGAGGACGGGTTGCCCCTTTGGGTGAGGCTGTCAACTCTCCTCTATATATTATAGTACTATATACTACTATATACTATATACTCTATATACTATAGTACCCTGAGGGATGATATGCCTTAGATTCGAAACAACGCTCTGTGCATCCATGGTAAATGACTTCAGGAGGTAATTTAACATTTTGTTAATTTTATGGTTTGTAAGATTTGAGAATAAATAATAGTTTTTCCGCCTTGTTTTGGATTTTGTCTACCAGTTATAAACAATTTGAATGCCAATATACAACAACGGGAACAAACAGTAACAGACAATAGCAATATCTCAATAATATAACAATAGCAATAATACCCTCACTAGCTAAGTCACGTCTGATAGACTTAATATACGTCCAGATAGACTCAGACTTAGTACCACGTAGAGGTACAGCCCTCTTAAGTGGACACGTGAGAGGTACAGACCTCATAAGTGGACACGTAAGAGGTACAGCCCTCCTAAGTGGACACGTGAGAGATACAGACCTCATAAGTGGACACGTAAGAGGTACAGCCCTCTTAAGTGGACACGTAAGAGGCACAACCCTCTTAAGTGGACACGTAAGAGGTACAGCCCTTTTAAGTGGACACGTAAGAGGCACAGCCCTCTTAAGTGGACACATAAGAGGTACAGCCCTCTTAAGTGGACACGTAAGAGGTACAGCCCTCTTAAGTGGACACGTAAGAGGCACAGCTTTCATAAGTGGACACAAATGGTCTGCGAGTGGAGCAAGCAACCGATATTAAGGGAAAATAAACCCAGGGACTGAGAGGTGAAGATTGTTGGACAGTTTCAACAGTTGGAATGATCAAGCCAAGATACTCTGCTGTTATTCTTATTGGGGGCCAAGGACCAATATTTTCAATCAATAATAAAAATCAATAATATATATATATATATATATATATATATATATATATATATATAACTTTTTAGACACCCAACCCACCAGGGGACTCGAACACTGGCCAACAAGGTGGCAGTTGCATGCTGTATCATGCTGTATTGAGTGTCTAAAAAGTTATAAACTTCAGCTACTGGAATAGGGTAGTCTGTGCATATATATATATATATATATATATATATATATATATATATATATATAATATATATATATATATATATATATATATATATATATATATATATATATATATATATATATATATAAATATATATATATATATATATATATATATATATATATATATATATATATATATATATATATGCTGTGTAAAAATTACACTCATCAATATTTCTTTGAATCAGTCAAGATAAGAGCTGAATATCTTGACAGATAAATGTTTTATCTTAGCGTGTCACTGATAGTGTGTGTGTGTGTGTGTGTGTGTGTGTGTGTGTGTGTGTGTGTGTGCTCACCAAGTTGTACACTCCTACTTGAAACGACAGGCTCGAGTTCCAACTTCTTGACGCCCAGACGGCTGTGATGGATACCTTCAAAGTTATCGTGATCCCAGGCTTAAAGAGGCATGGACATAGTATATATGACCATCAAGCTGATGGTCACATATACACACACACTCATATAAGCTTTGAATATACCTGTTTTACTGCCTATTCAGATCAACAGAGCGAGTGAGAGAGACACTGAATATCAAACCTGTATATTCCTTATTTCCCCCGCGTACCCTCACACACACACACACACACACACACACACACACACACACACACACACACACACACACACAGACGTTGGACTGGCGAACAGTAACGAGTGGAGTACCTCAAGGATCGGTGCTGGGACCAATTCTATTTCTAACATACGTTAACATGTTTACAGGAGTAGAGTCCTAAAATGTCGATGTTCGCGGATGAGGCAAAGTTGATGAAAAGAGTTGTGACAGATGAGGATTGTAGGATCCTCCAAGAGGACTTGAACAGGTTGCAGAGATGGTCAGTGAAATGACTACTGGAGTTCAACACGAGCAAATGTAAAGTTATGGAAATGGGACTAGATGATAGGAGACCAAAGAGACACAATGAAGGGGAACTGCCTAACTGTGACGACGCGAGAAAGAGACCTGGGCGTGGACGTAACACCTAATCTAACTCCTGAAGCCCATACAAATAGGATAACTACAGGAGCGTACTCTACACTGGCAAAAGTTAGAACATCATTCAGAAACTTAAGTAAGGAGGCATTTAGGGCGCAATTACACTGCCTACGTGGAAACTCAGATGAGTCACAGAGATGTTAGGAAGGTTTCTTTTAGCGTGAGAGTAGTGGAAAATTGAAATGCACTTAAGGAGCAGGTTGTGGAAGCAAACCCTATTCATAATTTTAAAACTAGGTATGATATGGAAATGGGACAGGAGTCATTGCTATAAACAACCGATGGCTCGAAGGGCGGGATCCAAGAGTCAATGCTCGATCCTGCAGACACAAATAGGTAAGTATACAGCCCCATCCTCCCCTTCATTCAATGTTATCGTAACGTAACGGTTGTAATGTAACCTCCCACATTGCAACCTGGCCGCTCCAGCTCACCCAGACTTCTGTGTTCGTGTGGAGTCCACCGGTTATCAATCCACATCTTATCAGCGATGATAAATCGAGCACAGCATTCCTCGATGTGGGTAGTCAGTATTATCAGGGTCCACTATCACCAGTACCTACCATCTCCATCCTCAGTGTACCGGGAACCTGCTCCACACCACAGGTACCGGGAGTTATTGGTTTGACACTGACCAGTTAAGCGTCTTGGCTCCTCCAGTACTATCTACTGGGGCTCCTAGCATCATCTACTGGAAGGTGGTCCTCCATTAGTCTACTGTTGGTGTTTTGCTTAGCAGGAGTTTGCAGGTTAGTCCGGCGTGTAATGGTGTGTGTGTGTGTGTGTGTGTGTGTGTGTGTGTGTGTGTGTGTGTGTGTGTGTGTGTGTGTGTGTGTGTGTGTGTGTGTGTGTGTGTGTGTTTGTGTGTGTGTGTTGTGTGTACTCACCTATTTGTGCTTGCGGGAGTTGAGCTTTGGCTCAACCTGCATGAAACGACGGTCTCGCTTCATGCAGGTCGGCGTTCAATCCCCGACCGTCCAAGTGGTTGGGCACCATTCCTTCCCCCGTCCCATCCCAAATCCTTATCCTGACCCCTTCCAAGTGTTATACATAGTCGTAATGGCTTGACGCTTTCCCCTGATAATCCCCCTTCCCCCCTCGTGTGTGTGTGTGTGTGTGTGTGTGTGTGTGTGTGTGTGTGTTTACTATTTGTGCCTGTAGTATCGAGTCTGTTAGCTCTTGGATCCCAACTTTTTTTACCGTCGGTCGATTAACGTACTGACTCCCTGACCCATTTTTCTATCATATTCACTACATATTTCACACACACACACACACACACACACACACACACACACACACACACACACACACACACACACACACACACACACACACACACACATCTCCGTGATGCAGACCGTAGCAGCTGTCTCTCAGATACCAATTTACCACTAGGTGAACAGAGGCATCAGGTCAAGAAAACAATGCCCATTTGTTTCTGCCTCGACCGGGACTTTTAGAACTTATACTTTCAGTGAATTTCAACGAATTATATTGCAGTTTTTAATTGAATTTTATTTTGAATTGTTTAATAATCCACGGGACGTGAATATTACTTTCCCTGGAGAAGTGAACTGGAACAAACATTTAACTGCCCCGTTTTCTGCTTCACTCCTTCATGGGGTAACCCGTCAAATATGACGCACCACTAATACATAAATGCTTCCTATGGGCGACCAGAGCAACAGTACTGGCACGCGTAGCCTCCTCAATACGAAAATATCCCAATCAAGGTTTCTGAAAAATTCCTGAAAAAGTTAGTCCCCATGGCGTAGTGGTAAGACACTCGCCTGGCGTTTCGCGAGTGCTTTGTCCCGAGTTCGTATCCTGGTCGGGGAAGATTTACTGGACGTCAGTCCTTAACTGTAGCCTCTGTTTACCCGACAGTAAAATGGGTACCTGGTTGTTAAATGATTTGGCGGGTCGTATTCCAGGGAATACTAGGATTAAGAACTTCCCTCAAACGCTATCCGTGCTAGTGGCTGTACAAGAATGTAAGAACTCTTGTATATATTTATATAAAACTTCAACAATTCAAAACCCGAATATGATTGCCTAAATATATATATATATATATATATATATATATATATATATATATATATATATATATATATATATATATATATATAAAGTATAACTTCATATAAGTTATACAACTTCAGTAAAGTTAATCCTATAATATAAAAGTATCGGACAGCCTTGAAACCATCTTCCTACAATTAAATATCCCATAAACACAGTGTATCGATATTTTCTAGAGAAGTAGAGAAATAAACATATATTGTCCCATATTCTTGCAGCACAAGAGACGCCAGACATCACCATGGTGGACGCTTGCCCAGAGTGCAACAGGTACTACACCAGATCGAGAATCCCCATGGTAGGGAGCTGGGGCAACGCCTGCAGGGAGTGCATGATCAAACAGCAACAGAGCCAACTCCCAGGGGCGTCCCGGCCCACCACCACCACCTCTGACCCCACAACTGTGACCTCGGGCCGCAGAGAGCTCAGCAAGGGGGACGCCCCAAGGACCCTCGCTGGTAATTCTCAGCGGCAGGTGAGAGGATATGGTGTGCCTTCGGCTTGGTTCAGTGTTGGGTTTAGGTGTTATTCTCTGGAAGATTATTAAGGTCATGATAACTTATACTGTCCAACCGGCAAGTATATTTCATCCCTGAACATACTCCAGTACTAAAGTAAACTCGGTGAAGCATCGAGAAGCGTGTATATACACCTTTGGGTGTATATATTTGATGTGACTTATGGGAGCTACGTTGGATTACGTGATATTCACAGATAACACTTAACGGTCTTAAGTGAAGGGAAGCTTTCCTTTCCATGTTTCTCTGAGCTAAGCCAATAACTAAGTATGCACAAGTTTATACACAAATCATTACTTTAATATATTTGCATAATATTTCAATTTTGTTGGAGTATTGTCGGAAAAAAATAGCACGCACTTAGAGGTGAATTATTTACAACATTGGAGCAACGAATTATATTGCAGTTTTTAATTGAATTTTACTTTGAATTGTTTAATAATCCACGAATGAAATAATTTTATTCTTTGAGTTCCTGCCTATACACATCCATGAGTCAGTTCCTGTGATTATTACTATGAGTAATAATATTCCTGCATCATCCACACTCATTCATTTAACTCTTTATTTGTTCACTGATTTCCTCTCAAGACGGGAATACCAGTCATCAAGGAGTCGAGGAAGTCGGTGGACTATCAAGGCTTGGTGAACGCTAGGCTACCCGGCCACATCCCCCACACACACCTCCGTCAGCTTCGCCCGCCAGAGGTCCACCGTGGGACCCCCAGCACTGACCCTTCCCACGGACTCCAGCCAGGAGCTAAGGTCAGTGGCCAAGCCAGGGTCATCTGGGGTACAGGGAACAGCCTCTTAGTGCTTCGGGGCTCATAAGCTGTTTAATAAATGTAAACAAAGCCGCCAAAGATTAGAAAAGATTTACAGGTTCGTAAGTACTTGCGTAAATACTTGATGAATCCTGGGGCCAGATTTACGAAGCAACGCAAGCACTTACGAACCTGGTGTCAGATTCACGCAGCAGTTACGCAAGCACTTACGAACGTGTACATCTTTTCTCAATCTTTGGCGACTTTGTTTACACTTATTAAACAGCTAATGAGCTCCAAAGCACCAGGAGGCTGTTTATAACAATAACAACAGTTGATAGGCAAGTTTTCACGCCTGTAAACTGTTTAATAAATGTAACCAAAGATTGAGGAAAGATGTACACGTTCGTAAGTGCTTGCGTAAATGCTTCGTGAATCTGGACCCAGGCCGGCTGGCCGGGAATTATCATCACTTCACCCTAAGAACGGCCTGAGCATACATTAACATAGGCAACAATACCTTCCTGCTCCCCCCTGCATTATTAAAGGTACTGACCTTCCTTACAGACCGGTACGGTAAGAAGACAAGGAAGAGAGGAGCACCTTCCCGAGGAGGACAACATAGACACAAAGCTGCGCAACGTCTCACACAAACTGCGGGTAAGTCGAGCACCGTCGCGCAGGTCCATGTGACGTCATTTGTTTACTCGGCGTCAGCTGATTAGCGGAAATAAATTTCGTTAGAAAATATTAAATATTTTATTTCCTTGTGGGGTCTTCTTTTCTTTATTTCTTGATTTATAAGAATTATGTTATATATAAAACAATAAATAAAATAATAATTCGTTTTCGTTAGGCTTGTATCATAGTTTCCTCTAGGTTAATCTCAACCACTTGGGCTGGACGGTAGAGCGACGGTCTCGCTTCATGCAGGTCGGCGTTCAATCCCCGACCGTCCAAGTGGTTGGGCACCATTCCTTTCCCCCGTCCCATCCCAAAACCTTATCCTAGCCCTTTCCCTGTGCTATATAGTCATAATGGCTTGGCGTTTTCCCCTGATAATTCCCTCTAAGTCAACGTACTGACCCTCCCCAGGATGCAACCCTACAACAGTTGCCTAACTCCCGGGTACCTATTTTACTGCTAGGTGAACAGAGGCATTAGGTGAAAAGAAACGTGCCTACACCATTTCTTATCCCTCCTGAGACTCGAATCCGGATTTCGGATTGGGACGAAAACGAACCCAACTATACAACCGAAACATCACACGGTTTTGTAGTATATAGTTGGCTTCGTTCCCGATTTATAATCGGGGATCCGATCCTGGATGCAATCCCCGGGGAAGACCACAATGGTTAGGCACGTTTCCTTTCACCTGTTGAATCTGTTCACCTAGAAGTAAAATAGGTACCAATGTGTCAGGCAACTGCCGTGGTTGACCAGACCACACACTAGAAATTGAAGGGACGACGACGTTTCGGTCCGTCCTGGACCATTCTCAAGTCGATTGTGATGAGGACAGGTAGGGACAGGCATTAAATAGGCAAGAGAGAGCTGAGGAGGAAAGTCAGGTGTAGGGGATAGTAGTAATGAGAACTGCAGCAGGCCTATTGGCCCATACGAGGCAGCTCCTATTATAACCACCGAAGGAGATAGTAATAGGAATAAGAAGAGGATAGCAAGGGAGCGTAGAAGACAATGATCAGAAAAAGGGAGAAGAGAGAAAGAAAGGGAAAGAGAAAGAAAGAAATGGAAGGGGAAAGCTTATGTTAAGTCACGTTTGTTAGAAAGATTAGAGCATTTGAGTATATACTGTGAAAGGGAAGAGTCCACAGCAACAAAGCCAGGACTCAAGTTCATGTTGGGTACATTGTTAATAAGAGCCGATTCTACAAGACGGCGTCTGTGTAGAGTAGAGGCAGGAAAGATTAATTTGGAGGAAGACCAATCAATGGGATGATTAGAATCCCTCACATGGCAGAAGAGAGCATTGTTAGTGTCAGCAGACTTAACACTTCTCTTATGTTCTTTAAGTCTGTCATTCAGTGTACGGCCAGTTTCGCCAAAGTATTGGAGAGGACAAGATGAACAGGAAATAGAGTAGACACCAGCAGCATTAGAAGCAGGAGGAGCAGTGTGAACTAGATTGCTGCGAAGTGTGTTAGTTTGTCGAAAGGCGAGTTTAATGTCAAGAGGACGAAAGGTATTGGTAAAAGTTTTGAGTTCAGATATGAAGGGAAGGCATAGTACAGTGCTACTAGTGTTGGAAGCAGGTTTAGGATGAAAGAAATTTCGTTTAGCTTGAGTTTAGCCACAATTAGGACAGTCGCCAGACTGTCCTAATTGTGGCAGATCCTTTCGTGACTATAGAGCTATGCGCGTTCACGTAAGTCGCATGCACAAGGTTCAATACCATCAAGATATACCATTTTGATGGTATATACCAAGATATACCAAGATATAATACCATCAACTGTCGTGGGTTGCATCGTGGGAAAGGTTGGCAGTAGGGCTTGGGGTGAGGGGGGCCAAGATAAGCCCAAGTTCAGGCTTCCTGTCCCAGACGACGGGAATTATTTACAACAAAGATAATGTCAATTCTAGTACAGTATTATCGTGTTTTGCTTCGTACACAGGACGGGAGCGCAGAGAGACGGGGGCGGACGAACGGTCTGAATGTTCATACTCTCAAGAGCAGGTTCGAACAGCTGACACGCGAGGCAGCGGTCACGGGGACACCTGTATACACGCCAGCTGGCTTGGTGAGTCACGCTACATCTGTAAGTCAATTGAGCATCTGTAAATATTACCCCCTCCCCCCGAGTGTTTGAGTTGCTTAAGCCTTTATCCACACATAGTAAAAGCACGCACACACACACAGCCCAATAGACTTAGGAATGTGTACACCTGTTGATTGACGGTTGAGAGGCGGGACCAAAGAGCCAGAGCTCAACCCCCGCAAACACAACTAGGTGAGTATACACACACACACATACACACAGGCCTCGCAACTGAGTGGACAGCACTGGCGGTCGTAGTCTTATGGTTCGAGTTCCATCCAAGGCCGAAACAAATGAGCAGTTTCTTTCACCTGATGCATCTGTTCACCTATCAGTCAAAAGGTTCCTTGAAATTAGACACAAGGGAGCTGCTTCCTGGGGATATGTATGTATGTGTGCAAGAGAAATATATATATATATAGTAGACATAATAGTGGAGAAAAAATAGATCAATTACAAAGATTGGGTCATAGTTCGATCCTGAACAAACATTAAATACATACACACGTCAATCACTAAACATAATCTTGTCAGTTTTGATTCATGTGTTCCTTACTTACAGGGGCGAGTGGGAGGTGGCAGGAGACACCTGCTCACCCCTCAAGTGTCTCGCGAGAGGCCAACATCATCCCCAATCACCTCCACACCAACAAAACCTCGCAAGCATCTGTCGAAGAGTACCAGCGAACTCCCAACCATCCACCTGATCGAGAACACCACCTCCTCCGCTGATCAAAAACACCAGAACCGACGCCACGGCAGCCGGGACGACATCAACAGGGTTACAATAGACAAGACATCAGCCATCCTCCGACGTCATGGCTTAGAGGACCAGCGGCTCCCAGACACCGGTAACCCACAGTATAAAAGCCGTCTAGCCTTCACCCCCCGAGGGCGCTCAGTACACGACCTCAGAGATGAATCGGATGGTACTTCGCCGCTCGCCCTTCAGCGTCACAGCTCATTCGACCGGCTCGTCGGACCTTACGCTGGGGCTTCCAGCAAACTGCACGCAAAGCGAGGCTCGAACAGTTCCCAGTACACGGGAGATCACCCCTACCCCAAGGCCTCGAGGAGCAACAGTATACCCGCTCTACCTCAATACAACAGCACCTCCGTTCCCTCCCAACAAAACAACAGCAGCAGGAAGATGTCCGTTGTTCCCTCCCAACAAAACAACAGCAGCAGGAAGATGTCCGTTGTTCCCTCCCAACAAAACAACAGCAGCAGGAAGATGTCCGTTGTTCCCTCCCAACAAAGCGGCAACACTGCCCATCAATTCCCAGCCAGTCTGGTAAATGGCATCACGGCCACACCTGAAGTGCAGGTATATAAGCAGTGTTGTAACCAAATGCTGTTCTTCCCAGTGGCACAATATCAAAGAATAACGTTGATTCAATGTTATTCTTAGGTACTATGTTGTAAAAAAAAATTCAAAATGCTGTTTTATTTTAATACAAGTAATTAATGCACTATTGTCATTTAATACTCATCTCAATATCTCAAAGATTAACTCATAAAACCGCTTAAGCCAAAGAGAAAACCCCCAATGATTGGTTTGTAATGATCAATGCATTGATTTTGACTAATGATATATACATGAGCATATATTTCCACTGTGTGATGGCGTTTTCTTCACGGCTGCTTGGTGTGGCTTACCACAGGAGGGATGTGGCCCACCACAGGAGGGATGTGGCCCACCACAGGAGGAGTGTGGCCCACCACAGGAGGAGTGTGGCCCACCACAGGCGGAGAGCGAGGGTGTGGCCGGGCTACACGCAGCCCGACCCGTCATTATCGTGGACAGGCGTTCAGACCTTCCATCACTGGATGACAAGTGGGTGAGTGAACGCACAACGATAAATAATTTCACGCAACCACGAATGACTAAATGTTGTCACGAATGAGTGAGTGAGGTCGTCTCGAACGCCCCATATAAACACGAACATCTCTGAGGTATGTACGAATACAATCCAGTATTACACGAAGTCAAACTTCATATATACACAATTTTATTACTATAGTATATACGAATAATTAGGTAATTATAAGGAGAAAGCACAAAAGCTGTACGTTAGGATGGAGAAAAGGATTAACGCCTAACCACTTGGAGCATCGAACGCCGACCCGCAAGCAGCGAGGCCGTCGCTGTTCTGAATATATCAAGTGAAAAATACTAACCAGCCTGACACTAACTCCTACTGTAAGTAAGACTTAATACAGAATAGTAAGTTACAGAATTGTGTGAGTACAGAATCAACTGCTCTTCCCAATGTGACAAATGTACCCCCAGACGGACGTGACAAGGGCACTTGAGGACGCAGGCTACAGGAAGACAATCTCAGAACTCAAGACGGAGCTAAGGGTTGCGAGACAGAGGAAGGAGGAGCTGGAGAATTTGTACTCGATAGTCCAGGTCAGTGGAGCGAGGTGTTTAGCCTCTGCCACAGGTAAAGTAATGTTGACTAGACCACACACTAGAAGGTGAAGGGACGACGACGCTTCGGTCCGTCCTGGACCATTCTCAAGTCGATTGTGTCGACTTGAGAATGGTCCAGGACGGACCGAAACGTTGTCGTCCCTTGAACTTCTAGTGTGTGGTCTAGTCAACATAATTTTGCCACGTTATTGTGACTCATCGCCTGCATAGGTTAAGTGATATTGCAATTATGCGAATTATATTTTGCATTTGAATTGTTACAATCAGGGGATCAATAGGTAAGAAAAGGTTTGTGGTATGTGCAACTTCCCCAAGAGTCATCTTACACCTTCAGGCGGAGCTGAACCAAGTCAGGAGTGTGGCAGCGAAGGCAGAGCGTGAGGAGCGCTCCTGGAGGAGGGAGAGGGCCGAGATGGAGCAGCAGGTCTCTACGCAACGACAACACATAGACAGCCTCCGATGTGAAATTCGGGAGCTGAGAGGTCCATTGCCCTCAGAAAGTGTCGAGGTGAGTACAAGGGCGGTGAAACACGTTGACTTGAAGTTTAATACCCACTTGATGGGGTTCTGGGAGTTCTTCTACTCCCCAAGTCCGGCCCGAGGCCAGGCTTGACTTGTGTTTATCTGAGTGACAAACTTGTCACTCAGAATTTGTATGAGTGTATTGTGCCCCACTCCCAGGGAGGTGATCGCTTTACGTAAACTTTTGTAAGTTCCTTACATATCTCTTTGTTATTTTCTGTTTGATGCCATCTTCTCTTATTTTGTCCAGCTACTTGAATGTGATGTCTTTCTCTCATTGTCCTTGCGGGGGTTGAGCTCTGGCTCTTTGGTTCCGCCTCTCAACTGTTAATCAACTAGTGTAGAGGTTCGTGAACCTATTGGGCTCTATCATATCTACCTTTCAAACTGTGTATGGAGTCTGCCTCCACCACATCACTCCCTAATGCATTCCATTTGTTAGGTACCCTCACACTGAAAAAGCTCTTTCGAACGTCCCCTGTATCTCATTTGAGTTTAGTTTGGAACAAGGGGACACAGTTTGCACCTGTGTTCCCTTGTACGTGTACCACCCGTGCTAAATAGTTTGTCTTTATCTACCCTGTAAATTTCTCTGAGAATTTTATTGGTGGTGATCATGTCTCCCCTAACTCTTCTGTCTTCCAGTGTTGTGAAGTTTAGTTCCAGTAGATTTCTGGAATACACTGTGTTGTGTGTGTGTGTTTTCTGAAGATCTAACTAGAGAAACGAGAAAACAGCCTACAATATCCCTTTCCAAACCCATATTGCAGGAAGAACTGCGGCAGAAGGTGAGGGCGCTCAAGGCACAGCTGAGGAAGGAGCAACACAACTGGATGAAGGAACGTGCCGACAAAAACCAGAAGATCAACACACTGCAACAGAGGCTCCGGAAGCAGGTCTTGGAGGTAAGCTGTTTATGTAGTCAGAGATGGCGCTGGGTTTGGCTTGGGGGTGAGGTGAACGTAGGGAGACAGGATTGGAGGCATGGTGGACAGAGATCACCACCCGACATTAAGGTCGGGACGGGTTAAGGGGAACACTGCTGTTTTCGCAGTGGTAGACGGTTGGAACATGTTAGATGGGAAGGTGGTGGAGGCCAAAACCGTTAGTAGTTTCAAAGCGTCATACGACAAAGAGTACTGGGAAGACGGGACACCACGAGCGTAGCTCTCATCCTGTAACTACACTTAGGTAATTACACACACACACAACTCCACCAACAGGAGACCACGTTCATACACTCCAGGACACCAACAGTTCCAGGCAACATGTAGTCGTCCCGACCAATGCCATGCAGACCAACTCGTGCACACAAAGACAAGAGAGCTGCCAAGCGTCACCACACAACAACATGGTCTCCTCCCAACAAGCATTATGACTTTTGGTAAACAATCACATCACTAAACCATAACTGTTTACTCTCACAAACTTTGAAATACAACAATGTAAACAGAAACTGAAACACGAAATAGACTCTTTTTACTCAGATATTAATATTAGGGGGTTAGTAATAGCCTAAGCTACTCTATGCCTTTGAGATGTATTTTTTTGTGTCAATAAACATACTTGAACGTAACATGAATATTATTAATAATAATAATGGATTATGGAAAATCCTACAGAGGATTTGGTTAAAGTTATATATACAATTTTTGAGAAGGGGTACATACAAATAAGGTATTCGTTGACTGGACAGGACTCGAGTGAGGATGTGGGGCGACTGCGGAAACAGCTGGAGTGCAAGGATCGAGAGGTCTCCCTACTGAGGACGCAGCTGGAGGACAAGGAGCGGGAGATCAGGACATACAGAGCGGAGATGACCAAGATGTCGAAGGCATTGCGGGTAAGATGGTCTTCTCGTCTGTGTTCCGGTTAAATCCTCACCCTACACTTTCCAGTCATCAACGGTCTAATAAGCTAGTTCACAAACCAACCACAGATTGACTACATTTAACTAACCAAAGCAACCAAAAAGAACCTATCAAAAACAAACAAAAAAACATAGTAACCCCTTAAAATTTTGAAGATTTTATCATACGGTTTTGTGTTGATGTTACAAAGATAGTTTATCCTGACAGAGCGATGTGCCCTGCGGCCTGCCCAACCTCGGCAACACCTGCTACATCAACTCCGTCGTCCAGTGCCTCTTCAGTATACAAGCTCTGCGCCTGTATTTTGTCAAGGAACAGTATATGTAAGTCAGCCACCAAACAATACCGTTTAAAAAGGGTAAACTGACATGTTTGACGATACTGGCATTATGTCCACCAGCTTTGAGGATAAATAATTAATATGTATTCCAAATACGACGATGTTCATACGTTGTTTTCTTCCCTTTGACCGTCCGCGTCCACCGACGACCTTGTCCCTCCTACAGGAAGGTCCTTAACAGGGAGAGTGAGCAGAGGGGTGAGGTGGCCGAGGCACTTGGCCAGGTCTTCAAGGCCATTGAGACTGGCATTGGAACAGGTCATGCCATAAATGACTTTAAGGTTGGTCACACACACACAGTCATCACCTCTTTTTTTTAATTCATCATGGATGCTATTGATCCACAATTGCTCTTATTAATGCATTCAAAGCCTCTCTTTCACCATGAACCCGTGTAATCAATCATGGTCCTGTCTATTCCATCCCGGGTCTTTCTAATCTACCATGCTCCTGTCTAATCCAAAATGGGATACTCTAATTTACAATGGGCTATTGTACGCTCCAAGTAACAGCCTGTTGGACCAAGCTTTCACGAGTCAACCCTGGCCTCGGGCCGGGCTTGGGGAGTAGAACAACTCCCAGAACCCCATCAAGCAGGTATCAAACTAAATTTGGTAAGTGTAATCAACCATTGGTGTATGTAATTCACCAAACTCTGTAAACAATACCACGTGATCCTGTGATGTCACATTCAATGGATTCTCATTAGCCCCATCCCTACCCAGCTACTTGAACAAGACGGTAGAGCGACGGTCTCGCTTCTTGCAGGTCGGCGTTCAATCCTCGACCGTCCAAGTGATTGGGTATCAATCCTTCCAAATGTTATACAGTCATAATGGTGTAGCGCTTTCTACTGACAATTACCTTACCTCTCGCTACCCCTCTTTTGCTTCTACTCCCCCCCCCCCCCCTCTCCATTTTTTAGGTCCAAACCCCTCTTTTTAGTTTGCTAACCCCTCCCTCCCCTTTTTTTTTTAGCTCTCAGTATCCCTTTCAGGTCTCATTATCCCTTTTAAGCTTTCACTAACCCGATGTGGCCGTGATTACTTCGATGTAGCCATAACTACTTCGATGTAGCCATGACTAAGAAGGCCGGTGGTCCACAGAGAGTGGTGGCGGCGCACGATGAGATGTTCCTGAGCCAGGACCAGCAAGAGGCGCATGACCTCCTCTCATCTCTACTCTTCTGGCTACACAACGACCTGTCCGAGGTGAGGCATTGTAGTTGAGTAGTTGTTATAGCAGTGTACAGTGTAGCGGAGTGTTCGGTGTAGTGGAGTGTTCAGTGTAGCGGATTGTTCGGTGTAGCCGAGTGTTCGGCGAAGGGGAATGTTTGGTGTAGCGGAGTGTTCGGTGTAGCAGAGTGTTCGGTGTAGCAGTGTTCGGTGTAGTAGAGTGTTCGGTGTTGCAGTGTTCGGTCTAGTGGATTGTTTGGTGTAGCAGAGTGTTCAGTGTAGCAGAGTGCTCGGTGTATCAGCGTTTGGTGAAGCAGAGTGTTCGGTGTAGCGGAGTGTTCAGTGGAGCGGAGTGTTCGGTGAAGCAGAGTGCTCAGTGTATCAGTGTTTGGTGTAGAGGAGTGTTCGGTGTAGCGGAGTGTTCGGTGTAGTGGAATGTTCGGTGAAGGGGAATGTTTGGTGTAGTGGAGTGTTCGGTGAAGCAGTGTTCGGTGTAGCGGAATGTTTGGTGTAGCGGAATGTTCAGTGTAGTGGAATGTTCAGTGTAGTGGAATGTTCAGTGTAGTGGAATGTTCAGTGTAGTGGAATGTTCAGTGTAGTGAAGTGTTTGGTGTAGCGGTGTGTTCAATGTAGCGGAGTGTTCGGTGTAGCGGAATGTTCAGCGAAGGAATTTGTTTGGTGTAGTGGAGTGTTTGGTGAAGAAAACTTCAGAAAGTCAATTCGCCGACACAAGGCAGCTTTTCTTACAGTTAACCACTTAAGCTAATCCTTGTCTAATATTTTACCTAGTAATCTGTTACAAAAATCCACAATCTAATTCCCGAAGTAGAGTTTACGAAGGGCTTTTGTAAATCTAAATTTACCCAATCTGTATTCACGTGTTTCATTTTCTATTTTGTATTGATATTTAGCTATGTGTGTGTGAGTGTGTTTACTCTCTTCTCGTGACCACACGCAGACGAGCAGTGTCCAGGAGACCACGGACCACTACCCTCGGCCCACCTCCATCATCTCCAGCATCTTTCATGGCCTCAAGGAGTCCACCATATTCTGTCGGGAGACGAAGAAGATAGTGCAGACCTCCTCAGAAATGTTTGACAACCTGACGCTCTCTGTCTTGGACGGTGACGACCGTCCACTGATGGTGAGATCATCTATTTCGTGGACTTGGTTTTTTTATATTTTGTTTGCTTATAAAAAGGCATGTGTCATGACCTTCTAAACTATTGGTTCCTTCACAGGAGCTACTCCAGAGCCATTTTGAGCCCCGGGAGATCGACTGGGACTGCCAACACTGTCAGCGGTGTCACATGTGTGTCCACGTCACCAGGCCCACCACCCTGCCACAGGTCCTCCTGCTACACTTTAGCAGGTGTGTAGTAGGGGATAAACTGTCTTGGTAGGTGTGTGTGACTATCTCACCAGGTATGTGACTATCTCACCAGGTATGTGACTATCTTACCATGTGTATGAGTATCTCACCAGGTGTGTAACTATCATTACTGGAGAACGGGCTGGTGCTACTGGTGCTGGTGCCCGGGACAAACGACTCACGTAGCCTATATACAGACCGAGGCGCAAAACTCCGAGGAATCGTCAATATGGCGGTGTTTTGAATTTCACTAAAGCACTGGAATGTGACGAATGTGGACATTTACATAAAAAAATGATGTTTCATTAAATGGGAGGACAGGTTGCCGACGAGTGAGAGATTTATACCACCATAGCCTACTGGATCATACTGTATGAACCAAATTATAGCCCCCCCCCCCATACGTATATATTTAGGATCGGCAAGAGATGAGTTGATGGTTACGTGGAAGAACATGTTCTTCTCCTGTGGAAGAACATGTTCTCCACAACGTATCGTGGTAACTAAACAAATGAACATTGAGATCAGGCCTTGATCATGACTGTTGTTCTCGCAGGTTCAGCAATAACAACCACAACAACAGTAGGAAGACCCGGGTGGAGTTTCCGGCCGACAGCCTCTCTCTGGACCACCACCTCACACTGGAGACAGGATAGTAAGTATAATACCACACTGTATATGGTATACTGTAAGTATACTGTATACCACACCGCTCAGGGTGTGGTCATATCGTACACAAGACAATTCATGTTCATATCGTACACGTCTGGGGGGTGATTCAAGGGTGCTAGTTCGATCCCCTGCTCTAAAGATTTTCTTGCGATCTTATTGCATATCTCCCACCATTCCAGTTCTCCGGTATACCAGCTGATCTCTGTCTGCAACCATCACGGAACGATGACATCGGGTCACTACACCGCCTTCTGCAGGAGACAGGCAGGCGGGAGCGGGTGGTGGCTGATGGACGACACAGAGGTTCGTCCCGCTGGCGTCATGGACGTCCTGGGCGAAAGAGACGCTCACATCGTTTTCTACGAGGCCGTCCAGGACTCAGAGGTGTAGCGTTAGAGTCATGAATCGAATTCGAAATGAATTTTGAGGCTACATGTTTTCTTGTACCTGGGAATCCTGTCCAACTCGACCAGCCCGCCCTCGGGAGGCTATGTTCGTCCAAGCTGAGGCCAACCTCGAAGACGCACCGACGACTTGAATGTACTGAGTATTCAAAATGAACTGAGTATTTCGAACAGTGACTCACTGTTCGAAATGTAAGTTCACAGTGTAAGTGACTCACTGTTCCATAAAGATTTGAATGTAATCAGTTGTGAGCCGTGTTTAAAATAATTTTCATTCATAAACGAGGGGTTTGGCGGCTGGATTAACGAGCCGTTGGCCATTGTTTATGAGGACAGGCTTCATAAACGATGACCAAATGCTTGTTAATCCAGCTAGAAAACCATTTGTTTAAGCATAAAACCACTTTTCCAAAGACTCACTAACGTATATATATTCAAACTTTTCTCGAACACTGCCCTCCTCTCTTCCTGTAATAGTGTCACACTTCTCTAAATGAGTCACCCATATACTGCAAATAATATATTTTATTATTGCTGTAATATATACACCCATATACGGAAAAAATAGAAATAATAACATAACCAAACTAACCTATCCTAGGCCTAACTACGTATACAATTATAAATATACATTAATATTATTTTATATTCAAGAAAATGTAGTTTTTGGGCTTCATTAGGTTAGCGTTAACTAAAGCATCTTCGGGTCGGCCGCAACATGAAGCCTGAGTCTGAGTGTCTGAGGACTTCGCCTGGGAATAACCCAATATAGTTTGAAAATAAACAGTTGTATAATGCAAGTACATAGATGTATGCTTAATATGTGCTTATTGTGTAAATTATAAAATAATAATAGTTTGTAAATAGTTTCCATACGCTAGACTACTTCTCGTGTGTTCTTGCCATTTCTTTGTTACTTCATTATTATAAACTAAGAAACAAGAAATTTATTTAAAGTGTTTTGTATTTTTCATCCTGAATTACAGAATTTCTAGTACAGAGAGTGACTGTTGGACCAAATTTGGAAAATATAGACTATGTAAATATAAAAAAGGACCACGTCCTGAACTAAATAGCATAACACAGTTACAGTCAGTAACTATTGGAGTTATTTATAGATTCCCTAATATTAATACAACTACATTTTCAGATAATATAAGGAGCCTAATCATAAACAACAAAGTCAACAAATATCACATCATAGGTGACGAACATTGACCTTTGTCAACAAAATAGCCCCAAAGTCGAATACTTCCTACAATGAAAAAAAACAACCCCTGAGAGGCATTGGCCTAGTTACAAAAGAACGAGTAAAGAGATACTCATCAGTGCTTACCAATATAATACGAAGAGCCAAAGCTTCCTTTTATGAGAATAGATTTAAAGAAGCAAAAGGAAATATGAAAAGTACATGGAAAGCCATCTCTAACATCCTAGGGTCTAAACAACAATCACATAACAATCAGATAAAACTCTCCAAAGATGGTTACACACTTGCAACAGACTTAGATATTGCAACTGAATTCAATAGCTTCTTTTCATCAATTGGTGCAAACCTTGCCAGAAAAATCCCAGAGACCCAGACACATGTTACTACATATCTCACAGGCAGCTATCCTAACTCTCTACTCCTTTTACCAGTCAGCCCGACAGACATTATATCCATAATTCAATCACTTAAAACCAAAGCTGGGAACATTAATGAAATACCATCTATGATATATAAGAGTGCTGCCCCTGCTCTTGCACTACCCATAGCTCTGCTATTCAACAAATCTCTAGAGTGTCATACTTTTCCTGATATCCTTAAAAAAGCAAGAGTGACGCCAGTTCATAAAGGAGGCGAGACAGCTGACATAAATAATTACAGACCAATATCAAATCTACCTATACTTTCAAAAATATTTGAAAAAAATATTTACAAACAGCTCTATTCCTACTTTGTAAAACTCAACATATTAAGTCCCTGCCAGTTTGGCTTCCGTTCCCAAAAGAGTACCAATGATGCCATTATTAGTCTGCTTGATATAATCTACACAGCCCTTGACAAAAATGAGTTCCCAATTGGCCTCTTCATTGACCTGAGAAAGGCCTTTGATACTGTAAACCATAACTACCTCTTACTTAAACTTCACCACTATGGTATCCGAGGCCTTGCTCTGGACTATATTCGTTCCTATCTCAGTGACAGACACCAATATGTAGCCATCAATAGCATAACCTCCCCCACTCTACCATTGACAGTAGGGGTGCCACAGGGCAGCATCTTGGGACCTCTCCTATTTCTTATATACATCAATGATTTGCCAAATGTTTCTAACATTCTTAAACCTATACTATTTGCTGACGATACTACCTTCATCTATTCTGACCCCAACCCCCACACACTAAATAATATTGTCAACAGTGAATTAAAAAAATGTCAACTCGTGGATGTCAACCAACAAACTTACACTAAACATAGAAAAGACCTACTACATTTTATTTGGTAGTAAATCATCAAATCAGATTCAACTTCAGATAGACAATGTTAACATTACCAATAAAAATGAGGGAAAGTTCCTTGGCCTATACATAGACAAGAGACTGAACTTCAGCACCCACATACAACACATAGCCAAAAAAGTCTCAAAAACGATCGGTATACTTTCTAAAATCAGATATTATGTTCCCCACTCTGTTCTCCTCTCATTATACTACGCACTAATCTATCCCTATCTTACGGTATCTGTGCAGGAGGCTCAAGCACTGCAAATTACCTCGAGCCTATCATCACTCAGCCAAAATCTGCATTAAAACTATAACAAACTACCAGATTCCCAGTTGAATTAAAGCCGACTCGATCAAATTCCGCCAAAAAAGACAAAAACAAAACAACAACGCTGCAATGAGCGATGCTTTTGACTCACTCTAATCTAAGACATGAGCACAAAGACTAATATGGAGAAACAATATGGCACGATAATGTCCTATATCAATGTAATATAATATTATTACCATATTGGGTGACGTAGATTGGACAAAAAAAACTTCAGGGAAATGCCTTGAGGTTATCTTATCACTGGTAATGACTGGTAGATTGTGACGTTCTTATATCGCTCGTATCTCTTGGGGTGATAAGGTGGTGATGTTGTCTTTGGTGAGTGCGAAGTGTTGGTGTGGTTACTTACAGTGTATGTGTGTGTGTGTGTGGAGGTACACAGTGAGTATAATGTTATAGCGAGTCTTCTATTCACCTGGTATGTGTGGGACTCGAACCCTGGAATCCATGCGTGTGAGGCTGTAGCACTATAGCCTTTTATAGTGAGTATAGTGTATATTTGTGTGAATCACGCAGTGTTGTGTATATGTGCTTGCAGGTATACAATGGGTGAGTGTATATGCGTGTGCGCAGGTATACAATGAGTGTATTGTATAGGTGAGTGTACATGTGTGTGCAGGTACACAATGAGTGTAGTGTTTGTGCTGGTGTATATGTGTGAGTGTCTTGGTAGTGTGAGTGTAATGTGTGGTGGCAGGATGAGGGTTCCACTGTAGTTGCTCACACTCACGAGCGCTGCAATATTCTTCATAATTGTCTGTTTCAGTATATTATATTCGTGATTGTATGTAATAGCAATGTTCTGAGGCTTGTATTTGTATATACGTTGATTATGTAGTTTATTTAGCTCTTTCCAGCGCAAAACTACACATAATAAAATATAAATAAAACATACACAACACATACAAAGAATAAACCAGTATATTTCAAACATGCACACACCGGTATCTGCAGCTCTTCCTCCCTTCAGCCACCATAGAGCATGTACTTCGGTGTATAGGGCTACCGTGGTGGACGCATGTTCGCTCGATCGGTTTGCGATTTGGATACAAAGAATGTAAACAGCGCGTTCGGTCGACCGATGGAGCGAACATAGATCCACTAAGGTAGCCGTATAATCAACCGATGCTTGAGGCATTACTTCCACGTATCAACAGGTCTCTGGAGCCTAACTCTGGCGTACTGTCATGAACGTGTTCTGTCGGGTATGTTGGGATGACTATGACGTAGGGAACAAGGAACCGCTGTCTTTGCCTTGCGGCCACAGCTTCTGCAGGGACTGTCTCCGGAAGGTGCATCTACAGGACGAACTCAAGTGTCCTACCTGTTCAACGGTCCATTCTGGCCAGGCTCTAGACGACCTGCCCGTCAACCTCGACTTGCTCAGCATCTGTATCAAGGACCTTTCCGAGCTGACGTCCGTGGGAGGCGAGAAGACGATGATGGAGGTTGCAGAGGACGAAGGCTACACTTCCACTACGCGATCGAGTGAGGTACAGTGCTTGAGTGTTGACGCTGTTCACCTGTTTTAATGTTTTGTAATTAGTGTATTATAGACCTGTGTACCCAACTTGTATTTGTAACATGAAATCTATAAGCAGGCGATAAGTCACAATAACGTGGCTAAAGTATGTTGACCAGCCCACACACTAGACTTGAGAATGGTCTCTCAAGTCTCAAGTCATTCTCAATTGACTTGAGAATGGTCCAGGACGGACCGAAACGTCGTCGTCCCTTCACCTTCTAGTGTGTGGTCTGGTCAACATGAAATCTATAAGTTCACGAACTGGAACCAAATAATCCTTCAGCCTAACTTACACCAGACATGTCTTACTTCAGTTGTTTCTGCCATAAAATATGTTCACGCCATTCTCTTACATACGTTCACCCCACTCATATAATTCTGAGAAAATTTAATAATATACTGTAAATTAGTTGTCTTTCCAACACCTCTACCCCCTTCAGAGCCAGGTCGGCCGCTCCTCCATGTTAGAACACGCTGCCAAAGGTGACGTCGACGGCTTGACGGAGGAACTGGAGCAAGGCTGCGATGTCAACATGGAAAGCTTGCTTGACGGAGACCACCGTAGGTGGAACGATTTATTTTCTAACTCATACAAATTCAAACTACAATGGTGGTCTTCATAACCCTCTTGTGGTTAATACCATCCTTAGCAACCACACATTTAAATGAGGGGCCACTAATACTAGTGCCCTCGATGAGGACAGGAAGCCGGTGGCTTGTCAAAGGTTGCTCTACCGTCCAGCCCAAGTGGTTGGTGGTAAATTCAGGGAAATTATCCATACTGTTGATATAGTCATGTATTTCTACCTGCGTTCGTGTTTTATGTGCAATTTAGTAAAACTTTTAGAAATACTGTATTTAACATAGTTTGTTGTACTTGTCCTTCCAGTTACAGGATAGTGTTGATGAACCCGGTGATCCTCAAGCTGTAACAGGCTGTAATCTCTCGTTTTATGAAAGTCATTAACATAACTACTACTTAGTAATGGTAATGTCTTCTAACAGACATAATAACATAGGATAAAAAACCCACACTTGTCTATATGTGAAATTTATGTAAGGAATTTATACCAAGTCTTTCGCACTCTCCTGAGTGCTTTATCCAGGTCTTAGTGTGTGATTAGGTCGAGACTTACATCTCAACGTCTAATCAAAACGTTGATCCAAAAATGATTAGACGGATTAGACGTTGAGATGCAAGTCTCGACCTAATCACACACTCAGACCTTGACACAGCACTCAAGAGAGTGCTAAAGACTTGGTGTAAATTCCTTACATAAATTTCACATATACACACGACTGGGTTTTTATTTTAAAACTACTAATGTTACGGTTAATAAATATGACTACCACTACTTGTGTTACTACTACAAGTTATTATTGAGGTCGTTATACCAAGTATAATAGATAGATAGCTACACATTCTAGATAGCTACAAGTTATTATTGAGGTTAATACTGATACAAGCGACACTGGGTGTAGTAGAGTGTAGCACAGAGTGTTGTAACTGTGTGTCGTTCTCCCAGGAAGGACTGCTCTGCACCTGGCTGCTGACGGGGGCCACCTGGACGCTCTGCTGGAGCTGCTGGTCACGCACCGGGCCAACGTTCACGCCAAGGACACGCTGGGTCTGTACCTCACGCTTGTTGTTGTTTTAGATTCAGCTATTCGGAACAAAAGTTCCAAGTAGCACGGACTATAGAGAGCCCGTAGTGGACTTACCTGGCACAGGAGCGGGGCTGTAACTGTGGTACCACACGCTCTGTCCTTCTCCCTTAACTCTCCTTCCTGCACCTCTTCTCATTTCCTAATCTTTACTTGTATTTCCTTGGAGCTTCTTACTCTAACTACTTGGGCTGGAGCAGGTCGGTGTTCAATCCTCGGCCATCCAAGTGGTTGGGCACCATTCCCAAATCTTTATCCTGGCCCCTTCCAAGTGCTATAGTCGTAATGGCTTGGCGCTTTCCCCTGATAATTCCTTCCCCTTCCCTCTGTGTGTCTGTACCTACCTAGTGGTGCTTGCTGGGGTTGTGCTTTGGCTCTTTGGTCCAGTCAATCAACTGGTGTACAGTTTCCTGAGCTAATTGGGCTCTATCATAACTATATTTTAAACTGTGTATGAAGTCAGCCGGTACCAAATCACTTCCTAGTGCATTCTATTTATTAACTACTCTGACACTGAAAACAATCTTTCTAATGTCTCTATGACTCATTTGGGTACCAAATTGCCACCTGTGTTCACTTGTCGTGTTCCAACCGTGATAATAGTTTGTCTTTATATACCCTGTCAATTCCTAAGAATTTTGAAGGTGGTAATCATATCTACCGTAACTCTTCTATCCTCGAGTGACGTTTAATTCCTGTAGCCTTTCCTCATAACTCATGCCTCTTAGCTCCGGGACTAATCTGGTGTCATACCTCTGAATTTTTTCTAACTTCTTGTGCTTGACTAGATATGAACTTTACGCCAGCGCCGCATACTCCCATGATTGGTCTGACATATGTGATATATATAAGATTCTGATTGATTCCTTACGGTTCAAAAGGCAGTTCTTATTTTGGCCAATCTAGCATCTGCCGCTGGTAATATAATTTGACGAGTGTGTGGTAAGCAATTTGCATTCAACGAGACTTTCTCTCCAATGGTAACCAGGACGTAGACCCTTGCATCTGGCAGCCGCTGGGGGCCACCACCACCTGCTGTCACCCCTGCTGGAGCACGGAGCCCTGCTGGAGGTACAGGACAACCAAGGTACTGCATTGTTTACTTGTTCTAAGTTATATGGAAAACTTAAAAACTCACCCACATGGAAATTTGTATACCAGACATAGGGTGAATACGGTCGGGTAGATAGATGAAGATCCCATTGGACATTGGTCACAAAATGGTGGATGTAGCTGTTTCGTTATGCGACTGCCACATTTTACATGGCTCTTGTGAGCCATGTAGCTCCCTACATGGCTCACAAGAACAATGAGAAATGTTCTCGATATACTTGATACCTGTCCAGCATGATACTTGTCCGTGTTTTGCTTCCCAGGAAGTTTTGAGATAAATATATAATTCACACTGATATATATATATATATATATATTAGCGTTAGTTTACCGAGGTACCACTTACGGGCTATTCATGCCTGTACCACCTCTTGGGTGACTTAATCTTCATCAATCAATCAATCCATACTGAGGTACACTCAGCACACAGCTGCCTCCGCTAGCGTATACCAGCAGTATACACACAGGTGTGCGGGCCGTACACCTGGCTGCTGAGGGAGGACACCAGGAGACGCTGACGAAGCTTGACACCCTGGGATGCAATCTCAGCGCCGCTACAACCGACGGCACTACAGCTCTCCATCTGGCGGCCAAGCACGGTCACCCGCAGGTGGTGGCTTGGCTGCTGGAGCAGGGTCTCTCCACCTCCAGCAGGGATAGCTTGCGCCACACGGCCCAGGACTATGCCGCCATGAATGGGCATCAGGAGGTAGTCAGCCTACTGCGCCACGGAGACGGTGATGTGAGTGTGTGCTTGCCTAACAGTGAGGTCTTCCTTTTATATCTTGCTTACTATCTCTGTGTGTGTGTGTGTGTGTGATGGGGGAGGAAGGAGAGAGAGAGAGAGAGAGAGAGAGAGAGAGAGAGAGAGAGAGAGAGAGAGAGAGAGAGAGAGAGAGAGAGAGAGAGAGAGAGAGAGTTAAATAATAAGATTTCTACATAGTGTCTCCCACAGGATGTGGTTGATGCGTGACCTTACACCCACAGCAGCACGGTGGCCCCCAGCAGCAGGCGGAGGCGGGTCAGGAGACGAGAGATGGACACGGGAAGCCTCTCGGACGCGTCGCCAACCTGGTGAAGCGACACGGTCTTCTCTTTAACAACCAGGTACTCTCAGTAGCCCAAAACCTCCATACTAACGTTGGTACCAGGTACTCACAGTAACCTGGGGCCAGATTCACGAAGCATTTGCGCAAGTACTTACGAAGGTGTACATCTTTCCTCAATCTTTGACGGCTTTGGTTACATTAATTAAACAGTTTATAAGCATGAAAACTTGCCAATCAACTGTTGTTATTGTTATAAACAGCCTCCTGGTGCTTCGGAGCTCATTAACTGTTTAATAATTGTAAACAAAACCGCTAAAGATTGAGAAAAGATGGACAGGTTCGTAAGTGCTTACTTAACTGCCTCATGAATTTGGCCCCTGGTACTCTTAATACAAACCCAGCACTTCTGGAGGGTAATTAAGGTCTATCAGTCTCTGAAAGGTTATTTAGGCCCATCGACTTCTGGAGCGTTACTAAGGTCTATATCAATTTCTGGAAGGTCATTATGGCACTAGATTACTGACCAACCAACAAGTATTACTCTGGTCCTGAATGAAGGTTAGACCAAGACCAAGCTATAATCTTGTTTCTGTGGAACAGTGGTTCACGTTTTCGACTCGCAATCGAGGATCCCGGGTTCGATCCCCAAATACCACAACAGGTACTCCCACGCTATACCGGACAGATGGAATGTGGCACACACTTCTGATTCATATAAAAAACTGCATTGCCCTTTGCAGTGTGAAAACTGAAAAATAACGAAGAGGCAGTTTCCTCTGCTATGCTGGAGAATTATGGGACAGGTTGCATCCTGGGTGGGTCAGTAGTTCGACCTCCTTTGCCCACCTCCTGTGACGGATGCTGCGGGAGGTGGTGCGTCCGGGGCTTTGTGGTGGTTCTCAAAAAGGATGTCCGCCGTGTGGGTTCAGTGCTGGCGTCCGGGCAGGTGGGTATTCCAGATATCACACCTGACAATCGGCTTGTTGATGTTTTGGATGTTGACAACCTGCCCCTCGTGTGGGAACGGGTGGCGCCGGTCCCCTGTGCCCGTCTACTGTTTGGGTCCCTCGAATACATGCCTTTGTGTCTCAGGTTCCGAACAATATGTCCGACCCTCGTGGGCGGCTTTGTCCTGAGGAATTTCCTGATGTGTGGCTTCATTGGGAGGCATACTGTATCAGGTTTCCGGTGGCCGAGTAGACGCATAAACGCTAGTTGGGGTGGCGTGTGTTGGGTTGGTGGAGATGGGGTCGTCTTCCCCCCTCCTCAAGACCTCCTTAGTGGTGTCGTGTAATTTGCATGTGTTGCTCTGTGTGAATGTGTCATCTAGAGTTTGTTTTTGCGTGTATGTTTTGTGTTTCCACTTTGCCGGTTCCTGCATGTTCCGTTTTTTTTTATGTATGCGTTGGGTGTGGCTATTTTTTTCTTCCCGGTTCCTGTGTGTTCCGGATATGTGTTCATATATGTTTTGTTTTTTTTTGCAATTTACCTGTGGCCCTTCTGGCTTGGTTTGTCCTTAATGCTTTGTGCTTTTCCGTGTATACCCTTTGTGCTTCCTGTGTTCCATTTGTGTTTCCTGTGTACGTGCTATGTTTTATGTATTGATTGTTTTGTATTTCTTTTTGTTGCTCTTTACGTTACAGTACTGTTCTTGCTTGTTACATTACTGTATGTTTTTGGGCCGTGCTTGTAGCCCGTGTAGGTTCCTTTCTGTTTATTTGTAATGTTCTTTTTCATGCTTTCTGTATGTTTTTTTTATTGTATTTCTTGTACCCACTTTTATAAATAATACATATAAAAAAAATCTTGCTCGAACGTTGTAGAAAGGTCATAGTTTCGTCGTGTTTGGCGGAACATAGCTTAAGAAGTTATGATAAATAAAGGAAAATTTCAAACACCTGAAATAGTAGTGATTTTTTCTCTGAAATGTGTTAAAATATACTAATTCAGTATTTTTAATTCGACAGATGATTGGCGATCTTCGTGACCACATGAAGGCTCGACCAGCAAGTGTAGAGATAAGTAGTGATCATATAAATCAACGAGAACAAATGTGTGGCAAAGATCAATCGAGGCCAAAAAGTGCTGTTCTTCACAGTGACCTTGTGAAGATTCCACCAGAGCCTGTGGATGATTATAATGATCCCTCGACGCCTCGACCAACAATCAAGGCCCATCATATTAATAACGTGAGGCTTCGACCTCACACGGGTGGTCTTAGTGATCCCTCGATGCCTCGACCAACAAGCGAGGTCCATCACAATGATAACGTGAGGCTTCGACCTCACACGGGTGGTGTTAGTGATCCCTCGACGCCTCGACCAACAAGCGAGGTCCATCACAATGATAACGTGAGGCTTCGACCTCACACGGGTGATCTTAGTGATCCCTCGACGCCTCGACCAACAAGCGAGGTCCATCACAATGATAACGTGAGGCTTCGACCTCACACGGGTGGTCTTAGTGATCCCTCGATGCCTCGACCAACAATCAAGGCCCATCACATTGATAACGTGAGGCTTCGACCTCATGCGGGTGATCTTAATGATCCCTCGATGCCTCGACCAACAAGCGAGGTCCATCACAATGATAACGTGAGGCTTCGACCTCACACAGGTGGTCTTAGTGATCCCTCGATGCCTCGACCAACAATCAAGGCCCATCACATTGATAACGTGAGGCTTCGACCTCATGCGGGTGATCTTAATGATCCCTCGACGCCTCGACCAACAAGCGAGGTCCATCACAATGATAACGTGAAGCTTCGACCTCACACAGGTGGTCTCAGTGATCCCTCGATGCCTCGACCAACAAGCGAGGTCTATCACAATGATAACGTGAGGCTTCGACCTCACACAGGTGGTCTTAGTGATCCCTCAATGCCTCGACCAATAATCAAGGCCCATCATATTGATAACGTGAGCCTTCGACCTCATGTTGGTGCTAAGGACACTAAAGTCAAGCTTTCATCTGGTGAGAGTTGTGATGACCGAACGAAGCCTCGAAGTCTCTCTCATCCGGCCCTAGACGCTGGCGCCAAAGAGGTACAAACACAATACTTTCTTTCATAACATTATTTTGCCATACTTAAAAGCAATTCCACTCAACAATATTTCCATGCAAAGTTACATGTATAATATCACGTATCTGTATGTTTTATCTTGATCTATACATGATAACGTTTGCACTAGATCAAACTTTTTAAATTTTTTAGCTTGGATATCTTAAGCAGTATATCTTGAATATCTTAAGCACTATATCTTGGATATTTTAAGCACTATATCTTGGATATCTTAAGTTCTATATGACAGCACTTACTCGCAGTCGATATATGATATATTTTTAAAGTAAATGTGCCATGAGATACACACCCAGACTAAAATTATTGGGACTAAAATATACAAAATGATAAGAAACTATCAAAGTAAAACACAAAACAAGGCTATAAACATCGTAACTGACACAAGACCTAAGTGTATTAAACTGTGATCTGTCTCCAGAAATGGTTGGAAGCAGCGAGCGCGGGAGACTTGCAGACCGTGGAAGCCTTCCTGGACGCTGGTGTGGATCTGGAGACTCCCAGCTCTAAAATGGACGAGGAAGGTAAGCTTTGGGTTGGCATCAAGCTCTGAAGGTCTGCAGTGTACTGACCTCTGGAGGCCTCATGGCCCATTGTGATGGGCCTCACTTGTTGGTTGGCCGTGACCCGAATTACGGGCCAAATAATATCTATATCGACCTTTGGAGGGTTATTTAGGCCGTAATACCAAAGTACTGACCAGTTAGCAAGTATAATGAATGTTGACCAGACCACACACTAGAAGGTGAAGGGACGACGACGTTTCGGTCCGTCCTGGACCATTCTCAAGTCGATTGTGGTCCAGGACGGACCAAAACGTCGTCGTCCCTTCACTTTCTAGTGTGTAGTTTTGTCAACATATTTCAGCCACGTTATTGCGACTCCTCGTCTGTATAATGAATATTGATCTCGCATGATGGGATCGAACACACACCACCGACGTTACCATGATGGGCTTAAAATCCATCTCAACTAGAAGTTCAACTGTAAGTCCAGTAGTACTTCCGGTTGAGATGGGTTTCACCCATCATAGTGCACTAGGTATTACATGTGTTTGGCGAGTTCAGAGACGTGGATTCGATCCCATTGTACAGCCTCGATATATATTCATAGATTTGTTCTTGTGACTTCATTGTGCTGTAGCAAGTATACTTTTGTTCTAAATATAGTCGAGAACTAGTGTAAACTAAGTGTTCACCGGGAAGCTGGGTACACCTCTCGGTGTATTTATGCCCCCGGTGAGCGATACATTAATAAACTGTTTCAAATAATCAACAAAAAATCTCTCTCGCGCGCACACACACACACACACACACACAAGCAGCGGCATCTGCAATTAAACACACAGCCAAAACTAAAAACCCCATTGCATTGCTCTACCTCAGGGTTACAAGCTCTACACCTGGCGTCGTGGGGTGGTCACTGGCAGGTGGTGCAGGTGCTGCTGGACCACGCCGCTCAAATCGAATCCCACGCCAAAGGTTCGAATCCTCTTGTAGATCTCTCAACCCATCCTCGACTCAAGTCCATTACATCCGGCGGTCGACCCCACAGACGCATTCATAAATTTTTACATGCTGTTCATTCAAAACAGGATTTTTTTCAAATATAAATTAATATTATAATAGCATATTGTGCATATATAGGCATAGGTTAGGTGTTTAGGTTCTGTTGGCAATTATTTGTATTTGTAGTACGTGGGTGAAGCATTTACAGTGTTGTGGTTTGAACAAAATTCGTCAGTGAAGCACTTGTTCCAGAAGTGTTCGAACAAAATCAGTTGAGTTGTGTGTAAACCGTTTTTCATTCATAAACAGGGGGTTTGGCGGGTGCATGGAATCACTTTTGGGTTTTTGTTTGGAGGACGGGCTGAGATCTCTATGCTAGACCCAACCCATCTTCATCGACATAGGCCAAATGTTCGTTAATCCAGCCACCCCCCCCACCCCCTTGTTTATGAATGTAAAACATTTTACACACGACTCACAACTAATTACGTTTGTGTGTGTGTGTTTCTCAAGCAGTGCTTCGTTCACGTCCACTGTTCGAATCCCGCCTCTCTAAGTTCTTCATCTACGTACTGTAAATACTAATAATCACCAGCAGAGCTTAATTTAGACTTTAACTATTCAACACTTTCTAGTATGTAATATTAACTTGTATTTGAGAAAATGGAATTTTGAATGCACAGAATGTTAAAATTAACGAATGTCATTGGGGTCGACCGACCGCCGGTTGGACGAGCCTCGCTTCATGGAGATGTTGCTAAGTCTTATGATAGTATTATTTATTATCATTATGGGTGATATTTGTAAATTTTAAAGTGAATGGTTAATTTGGCTACTATAGATGTAACACAATTGCTCAAGTGTGACCCAGGGAGTAGTCCCCCAGGGTGTATTCCTGTGTGAGCTAGGGTTTGGCCTCCAAGGGTGTATACCCCAGTGTGTGGCCCCCACATTGTAACCTAAGATCCTTTTAGCCCAATCCTCGCATTGTTTACAGGTCGACGGGTCGTGCACTGGGCAGCGTTGGGAGGTCACGTCCAGGTGCTGAAGGTGCTGAGGGAGAGAGGCTGTCAGCTGATGGCGCTGACGACTGATGGCTCAACAGCGCTTCACCTGGCGGCTGACTACGGCAACATGGATGCCGTCAAGTGGCTGCTGAAGGAGGGTGCTGACCCCACGGTGGAGAACCAGGAGGGCCTCACACCAATAGACCTCGCAAAGCGCTCAGGATTCCCTCAGATCGTCCAGCACCTGCGAGGGTGTGAGGGGAAGGTGAGAGAAGTCCTGAAGACATGTATTTCTGTCTCCTTCAGTGTTTGACAATACACAGTGTCATAATATGAATCAACTGATCTATATTTTTCAACAGGATATCGTCCCTCGGGAGGAGTCGTCTTCTGGTGAGGTCACCACTGTGAAGATTCTGAGCGCTGGCAGGTTCGGTCATGTCTGCCTGGTACAGGACGCTTACTCCCTCCTTGTTCGAAAGACAGTGAGTACACGTACAGCTTCGTGACCTTCGTTGGTTGTACTGGTGAGCTGTTGTTAAGAGGCTTTCTTATTGACCTGTGATGGCTGTAGAAGGCTTTGCTTGTGACTTGTGGTGATTGTAGAAATTAAGCTTTACTGATGAGTTGTGGTGGTAGATGGCTTGCCTGGTAACCCTTGATGGTTGTAGAAGGCTTGTCAGTGACCTGAAGTCTTGGTGAAACATTGGTAGATGACCGTCATTAGGACCAATAGTTCGTGCTAGGTGTTCTGATGACCTAGTTGGTCCTCCGGTTAACAATTGCTTCGGTTCCATTAAAAAGTAGCCTACATATGATCACCTTGATATCTTACCTTTGGCTCTAACAAAGCTATCTATCGTCTTTACCGGGCCGCAAACTTATCCTAACAAGCGAGTGTTTATTAATGTGGCAGCTATAACGGCATGATCACTACAGCGATGTCAATGCGGGTTCTCTACAGTCTAAAAGCAGTGCAAATAACTGGATTAATTCTTATAAGTTAAGTGGTTTATAGCCGCTTGGAAATATGACAACTTATGCCACTGAATGTTAAGTGTATACTTATTATGTGCACTTAATATATATTAAGTGTATACTCAGAATACTAAAAGTATCAGAATATGAATATAATCAGACTTTGAATGCACTGAATATAAACTTTGATTTTATCATTTTATATGATAAAATAATAAATAAAACGCGATAAAGCTTTGGTTCTCAAATTTTAACAAAACGATAAATGGTCTAGTAAAACTGACATACTTACAGGCCATGTGTAATATCCAGTTAAGGAATACATGTCAACGGATGTTTCAGAAAATCTTTGGAGCAGGGCAATACAATCGACTCAGAGTACTAGCTAGTCACCCCCGACGCACGCCTTACCCATGGACCACAATGTGCTAAAAGTCCATAGGTAAGGCGTGTATTTGCGGTGGCCTCGGACGGGGGGTTCGATCCTGCCACCCTGCTCCAAAGATATTCTCGTAGTTATATCACGTTATGACTTCACTGTATATAGGTGTTTCAGATTATGTGGTGGATGATTGAGGGGAACATTGCTCTAACGGACGCTACTGGACGTTACTTATACGCTACTGGATACGCTACTCTAGGGTACTTATACAATGCGATACGATATGCTACTTATAGGAATTAATTCAATTATTTGCACTGCTTTTAGGCTGTAAGGGAACGGTCAGGGAGACGACTTAGCTAGCTCCTACTCCACCATACAAAGTTGCAAGGAACTTCTACATGACCACTATCCTTACCACTTGCCTATTGAATTTCTTATTTGATCTGATGTTCGTGTTCTTGCATGCATAGATGCTGCATTTGTTCTCTAATGTCCATGTTCTCGCATGCATAGATGTTGCATCTGTTCTTTGATGTTCGTGTTCTTGCATGTACAGATGCTGCGTATGTTTTCTGATCTGACACCCTGTTCTCGCGCGCACATGTCACGTATATACAAACGATATAAACTGATGTGTATCGGCGATAAAATAATCACCATCATACACCTGCAGATCCCCTTATCAAGCATCCCGGCCAGCAATCGTCAGCGCGTCCATAAAGAGCTAGCTCTTCTGCACGAACTCAAGCATCCCTATCTTGTCCACTGTGTGGTGAGTCCTCCTATACTAAGATGTTCCTCTTTTGGGTTTCCTGGGTTCCTCACTATAATCTCATGTCTAATTGTGACGTCAACTGAGAAACTGCGTTATATTATATACTCTTTAGATGTACAAAGAAAAATTGAAGAATTGACGACGTTTCGGTCGCCCTGGACCATTTTAGTTGTATAATGGTCCAGGGCGGACCTAAACATCGTCAATTTGTATTTTCAGATTTGTGAATTGGATGTCTAATTTTAAACAACTTTATTTTGACTTATTGTCTGCAAGACTTTTCTCTTACAAATCCTTTTCTTGATTCTCGACCAAGAGAGAAGTTAGGAAACTTAAATACATCGAAGTTTACTTGGAGTACTGCGAGGGCGGTGACCTTGAGCGGCGCATCGCTCAACACAAACAGCAAGACGCTCCCTTCAGTGACTCAACAGTCTACAACTGGACGCTCATGCTCACCCTCGCCCTCAAGGTAACGCCTAAGATGTACTTAAGATTAGGTAGTCGTTCTCAGCGCTCGGGATCGTCGCTAACGAGGGGTGACAAAGCATTTCTAAATCATTGTCGCAAGATGGCTCTGATGTGCTGATTCTTGTTATCACATGCTTGAAGCCTCACGTTGATTGGTTAGACAACAGTTCGCACTGGTCTGCTGAAGAATCCCTCGCATTGATTGGTTAAACGATGCCACGCACTGAATAATAAAACTATGTATCGAACTGATGAGATGACAAAAGTGTTTGGACAAATGATAGTGAAATGACCTCCTGTTGATTGATTGATGAAGATTAAGCTACCCAAAAGGTGGCACGGGCATGAATAGCCCGTAAGTGGTGGCCCTTTTAAGCCATTACCAGTATCAATAGATGATACTGGAGATCTGTGGAGGTGCGACTGCACCCTGCGTGACGGGAGATGTCTCCCGTGACCTACTGTTATGTCTAATCTGCACTATATATTGCCCTGGTGACCCTCACCTCGGTCAAGGCTGAGGAAACTTAGTACTTTAAGAAAGACTAGTAATTCAAAGATTAGGGATGATAAGACAGGGGTAACTTATCAACATGCGTCTTCGTGGAACATGAAGACTAACGATATATAAGTAAATATATTCATGGACTAAAGATATATAAGTAAAGGAAAATAAACAGACTGCTAATTTAAATGTTGCAGCCTAGAGGAACATGAAACTAGACACTATGATATAGCACAATTAACAGGCCTCAAATAGCGCCTACTAGGCCTGGGATGGTTAGGTTAGATTTTATTACCAACCTAAATACAAAATCTTTTCCGGTTTGTCCAAATTCTACTTTCTAATTATCCAGTACGTCAATATAAGTACAATAGTCCGTATCGCCGTTACTGTATAAAGAGAAGGATGGGCTGATAAATGTGTATCGCTGCCTGACATATTAAACACGGTCTAACGGGTGAAACTGACTACTTACCTGACATAAGGAGCCCACAGCCAGGTGCTCCTTCGCTCGTGGCGTCCACACACCGTCTGTATGTCCTGGGCTCAAGGGAGCGGGAAACTGCTTCGACAGTCGCCACGGTGCCAAATTTATATTAATTACTTTTTCTTAAACCAGCTACCAAATTCAAAACTGATCTTTGGCAAGTGTAGTGTCAACCTTTTATATTATTTATATAAACAGTTATTGTCCAGGAACTATCCATAGTCTCCATCCTGGTTGTCTTAACTATGAATATGAGTCATGGAAGGGCAACACATGCAGCAGCGTTGCATCAGCTGGCTGTGAATAAAACCGTTATATTTTCCCTCCCTGAGGAAGGTCTGATCAAAATATAAGTACTTATTATAATCTCTAAAACATGTTTGCTGGGACTGCTGGTTTCACAAAAGATTCGCTTTACTTCGCTATACGAAGTAATAGATAAAATTATATAGGCTTCTAGAGGTACATTATGGAGCCCTGTAAGAGCCTCACCACCGCAATAAACCTCTGTATCATCCAATACTCTCATCTGTAGTCCTGAAATATTGTGTATATTAATCAAAAATCGCAATGATTGGCATCGTATTCGGAGGTATCCATAGCCTCGTTTCTCTCAATTTAATAGTTTTCTCGTAAACATAATTTGAAATTGATCATTCTGACAATCTGGCTTTGTAATGGCATTGCTTGCATTTATAATAAGAGTGCTATCTCACATATATTTGGACTCTGAGAAAAGCGAGACTGTCCAGCCCAAATGGAGATCCTCATCTGGACTGAGACTGTTTTGTCGTCTACTTATATTTTCAATCACTATTCAAGGAGCTGGTGGTGATGGGCTGAAGGCACATCAACATTTAAAGGGTTATTAGTCCCACACAAGTGCCTAATGACCAAGCAGCGAATATACTTAAGCCCTCATAGTCTAGGATTAAAGTATACCAGTGTATATATACACTTTTCGATGTATATTTCCCCGAATACTTAAACTTACACACATGTATATATATGATATATGAAACGATTACCCAATAGTTGAGAGAGAAAGTGGGTAGAGTAGTTGACCTTAGAACTTAACCCAGCTGTTTGTCGCCTGGCCTTCGAGAGGCAAAGAACTCGCAAGGTATGTTTCGTCATGTTCAACATCATTAACATCACCAAGCCTATAGTTCCCGTGATCGGTGCATACAACATTAGACAAATGAATGCATGAACAATGACAACATAAGCCATTAACAAATTACCTGCCACAGTTCCTACACGGGCGGGCCCTGGTGCATGGGGATGTGAGGCCCCACAACATTCTCCTGACGCAGGGCGACGTGGTCAAGTTGCAGGTACCGGGTCTGGGTCTCCTCTCCTGCTGCCCGACATCTCCCGTCCCGGTTTGTATGGAATGTCTCTCTGCATTCTATTTTTGCATGCACTAATATTTTAATATTAATAGTAAATTTGTTAATCTATTTATCTATTTCTCATTAAGTATATAATAAGCATTAACATATGTTGGAAATAATTATATAATACATTATTGCTGTCATGTCAGCAGTCGCCTGAGGTCTGCACCGAGAGCGCCAACGATGCCAAGGCAGACATGAGAGCTTTGGGATGCTGCCTTTACCAGCTGGCTACACTTGAACCATACGTCCCTCATTCACAGGTAAACCTTATTTGCTGAACAGTCGTTGATCGTCAAACGTAAAGGCAGTATAGTGAAGATGGGACACTTGGTTTTAGTTTGGTGTTGGGCTTAGTGCTTAAGTCTCTCAGTATATGGAATTCCTGTCCTTTGTTAATTAGAGATGAGTATTTTGGTTAAATACACAACTAACTGCGGACACCGTTTGGCTTAGTTTGGTGTTGGGCTTGATGCCCATCAACCTCTGGAGGGTTATTAAGGCCACCACAAGTGCTTGCTGACCAATCAGGAAGTATACTTCATAGTCCAGGACTAAAGTAAACTCTCAGTGTAAACATACGTGGTGGAGAATGATGTAGAGGAAAACTCTACAGTTGATTTAATCTAGTTATGCCTTACTCTCCCATAATTGTTATATTTTTTTTAATTTATTTTTATCCATTTTTAGTCAAGTTCACTTCGATGTAATATTTCTAATTAGCAGCGCAGTGCAGGGGTTAAAATGTTAATAATGTATAGTGTAATGAGCATTTAATTAAAATATTTTAAACAAATTCAAAAGATCATAATATGTTGCACAAAACATTTATGAATCTGAATTATCTTTCCATGTAAACTAATACAATGTTTGTCAGTAACAAGTACGACATGTATTATTACAAGTACATATGTTACCTCACGATGTTGTTTACACAGACCAAGACACAGCCAACTGTGACCATCCCCGGGCCGCTCTGTGAGGAGTTTAAGCATCTTGTGACCTCCTTGCTGGATCACGATGAAGACAGGAGACCCTCTGCCACTCGGATGTTAAGGTGGCACTTTCTTGAGGTAGGAAACTTGAAAATCTCTAAAGGCACTACGGGCTCACCATAGCCCGTGTTACTTGAAACTTTGTTCTAGTTAGCGAATCTTTAACAACAACATTCAGGTAGGGGGCACTTCGGGTATTGTACTTCCTTCAGACCGAACACCTTGAAGTAGGGCACTTCATGTAGGGCACTTTCTTAAGAATGAACACTATTTCCAGGAATGGTACTGTCATCAGGTAGGGCATTTTCTTTAGATAGAATATTCACTTCAGGCAAGGCACTGAGGATGCCCTTTAGGAATAAAGCACTTAAATGTTAGCGTAGAAGAGAACTGGACTGCATTAGTTCTGCAGAAAGTGGCCTAGGTGGTAAGACCACTTTCCTGTCGTGCGTGTAAAGTATTAATCCAAGACCAGAGTCGTCAAATCTGACCAGTTCCATAAAAACAAATTTTGTCTGGTATAGGAAATCTAGTAAAATGCAATCTGTGGGTGATTCAACACTTTATAACTTTTTGGTTTAGTTTTCTGATATGTGTACATAGCTGTTTATATTTTGTTTTGCTGACGTGGAGTCACAATAACGTGACTGAAGATATGAAGACCAAACCACACACCAGAAGATGAGACGACGACGTTTCAGTCCGTTCTGGACCGTTATCAAGTAGATTGGACTATTTGTTTTGTTTGGTTATGTCCCCCGTTACAATTTTGTTACTTGGGTTGTTCTCACTTATACAGCTGTTGTGAAGGTTTCTAACTCAACATGTGTGTGTTTCGGCTTTCTAGGAGAGTCTTGAACGCATGTTGAAGGACAAGCAGTTGGAGCTTGAACAGTTGAAGGAACTTGAAGACGACGTGATGAGTCAGCTTGCTACTCTTACTGACGCCAGGGTCATGTAATGAACCAGCCGGCAGCTCTTGTGACCCCCAGAGTCATGCGCTGAACCAGCCGGCAGCTCTTGTGACCCCCAGAGTCATGCGCTGAACCAGGCGGCAGCTCTTGTGACCCCAGAGTCATGCGCTGAACCAGCCGGCAGCTCTTGTGACCCCAGAGTCATGCGCTGAACCAGCCGGCAGCTCTTGTGACCCCAGAGTCATGCGCTGAACCAGCCGGCAGCTCTTGTGACCCCAGGGTGGGTTCTGCTCAAGAAATTTAGTGCAGAATACACCATAAATGAAGTGTTATTTTACTCCTTGGACTGAGTTATTCTGTCTATGGGAACTCAATTTGTGAATCTGGTGGTGCTTCAGTTGTGAAGAGGCCTTATCATATACACAGCACATGATTTAGAAATTCTCGTGGATCTGACCAAGACAACTATTGTGAGCTGGGAATGTTGTCAACATTGTGGAGAAGACGAGGGGTGGGATCACGCTGTAAGAGGTGAGCAGTTTATACAAAGGAGAGTAGTTTACCACTTTATGTTAAGTTGTTTTTAATAAATCGTGATTAGGTTTGTATTGAGATGTTTTATTACCCTGAATATTAGACATCACAATGCTCTTGTTCCAACACTTAAAGTTACTTACATTTCTGGGAAATTTGTGGGATCATATTTTGCCCAAATCCCCCTGCAGTTTTCAAAATATCTGATATGTCTTAAATTTGACCCCTAAAGCGTGATTTTTGAGCCGAATTCTGACTCTCTGCACCTATTTTCATTTTCAAATTATGACTTTTTATACCGAAAATATGTCAATTACTGAAAACGGCGATGGGTCATATTCTGCCCAAACCCCCCTGCCGTTTTAAAAATATCTGAAATGTTGGAAATGTGACTCCTGAATGTGATTTTTGAGCCGAATTCTGACTCTCTGCACCTATTTTCATTTTCAATTTACGACTCTTTATACCGATAATATGCCAATTACTGAAAACGGCAAAGGGTCATATTTTGCCCAAACCCCCCCCCTGCAATTTTCAAAATATCTGAAATGTCGAAAATTTGACCCTAAGCGTGATTTTTGAGCCGAATTCTGACTCTCTGCACCTATTTTCATTTTTAAATTACGACTTTTTATACCGAAAATATGCCAATTACTGAAAACGGCGATGGGTCATATTTTGCCCAAACCCCGCCTGCAGTTTTCAAAATATCTGAAATGTCGGAAATGTGACTCCTGAGCATTATTTTTGAGCCGAATTCTGACTCTCTGCACCTATTTTCATTTTCAATTTACTACTTTTTATGCCGAAAATATGCCAATTACTGAAAACGGCATTGGGTCATATTTTGCCTAAACCCCCCTGCAGTTTTCAAAATATCTGAAATGTCGGAAATTTGACTCCTGAGTGTGATTTTTGAGCTGATTTCTGACTCTCTGTACCTATTTTCATTTTTAAGTTACGACTTTTTATACCGAAAATATTCCAATTACTGAAAACGGCAATGGGTTATTATTTTGCCCCCCCCCTGCAGTTTTCATAATAATACGAAATATCTGAAATTTGACTCCTGAGCTTTATTTCTGAACCGAATTCTGTCTCACTGCCCATATTTGCAGCTTCAAATTAGTTATTTGCATACCAAAAATATGCCAATTACCGAAAACGGCGATAAGTTATATTTTGCACACACCACCCTGCAGTTCTCAAAATATCGGAAATATCGGAAATTTTACTCGTGAGCGTTATATGTGATCCGAATTCTGGCTCACTGTACATATTTGAAGTTTGAAATTACCACCTTTTATATCGAAAATATGCCAATTAGTGAAAACGGGAATTAATCTAACCTGAGTTGGCCTAACCAAACCTGAGTTGACCAAACCAAACCTGAATTGACCTAACTAAACCTGAGTTGGCCTAACCTAAGGTATGGTAACATAAGCTAAGCTAAGCTAAGCTCAACTTAGCTAACGTAACCTAACGTCATTCCCTCCAAAACGACTCTATAGTTCAATGATTAACAAAGAATCTATTAACAATTATAATATATCACACATAAAAATTAAAATATATACACATATTTAAAATAATTAACTTTATAATATATCACAAGATCTAATTTATTCTACACGACTGAGTACTTGAGGTAAATGCATTAAACAATACTCCTTTCAATGTCAAGTTCATTGTTTAAAGTATGGGATTACGTGTTACAGGTTCAAGACAGTTTATCAAAGAAAACTGTGTAATAAAATACATTTGTTTCCTTAGTAAATGCTACATTCTGAATGCTTATGCCTTCAAAGTATGGTAAATGCTATTCGTTCAAGCTTCGGTTTTCAAAGCGAAGTTTGAGAGGAACATGAGTCGTTTCTCTTCTTTCGAGGCTTCAGCAATCAGAAAATAGCCCAAACAAGAGCCTTTTGTGTTGCTTTCAAACAAATTTTGTTTGTGGAACAAGCACAAATTTCAAAAACAAAATTGAACAAAATCTGTCTTACACTGTGCAATGGAATTATGTTCAGTGATTGGTTTATTAAGTCACAAAATAATTATATATACATTCAATATATATATTTGAAGCTTCAAACCAACTTATTAGTTTATATTTATTTGACATATTTAAATTAAAAAATATTGCAGCACAAATTTTTATTGGACAAACTTTCATTATATTAATTATACATCATGTATGAAATTATACAATACTAGTTAGGCAAGGACAAAATTAAAAGTTGATTTCTCGACATAGAATGCCACTATAAGAATGCCTACGGTTGTAAATAATAATTTTTGGTATATTTTAGCTCTCAGTTATGCTAATATGAGAATTTAGTAGATCAAGAAATTACTTCCATAAAAATATATTTGTTCCAGTATTGATTCAAATAGTTTTAACTCAATGACGATGGTAATATTAACTATAAAGCTTATGTATCCGAAGTAATTTTGGAACTGTTGAGATCTTGACAAATGTATAAATTTGGTTTTGGTGTTGGGATTAAGCCCAACCAACCTCTAGAGGGTTATTAAGGCCACCACAATACTTTTCTGGCCAAACAGCAAGTATACTTTAGTCCAGGATTAAAGATTATACTTTAGTCCAGGACTAAAGTAACAGTAAATGTACATATATTTAAAGTGCACATTGTACTTAAATTTGAAGTGAATATTGTTCATATATTTAAAGTTGAAATGTATACGTTTATCTCTCAGAATGTTCGGCAATATGTTTATTGTTTGTGATGTGTGTGTCTATGTATGTATTAACACGTTGTACTGAACGGGGTGTGAATAGCTTGAGCTACCTCATCCCTTAGTGTGTATTTTACCTCAAAAAACTTATTTCAATTTCAATTTAAAGAACAATATACTTTAACACGTGAATGAAGTCTTCAGTCATTTACAGCCTCGTAGAAAAGGAGGTGTGGATGTCGGGTGGAAATAACATTGTCTAGCCTGGCTGGGTGGAGGTGGGTATCGTCCCATAACCACCACTTGCTGCTACCTTCCCTGCTCCTGCAGAAGGCGGTGTAGTGGCCGCTACTGCCCTCTGATCCCTGCTGCTGGACACACACTGACACCAGCTCGTACGTCACAGAACTGAACCACGAGAGCGAAAGTTTAACGTTATTTGATGCTCTTATTCTCTTAAATGACCGACCCCCTTGTCTGTTCTCATGTTGCCTACATGCTGAAATTTACATTATAAAGTGTGTGTGTGTGTGTACCAGAACGCATTACTCGGCCTAGTTTGCAAGGCCCGATTCGCCTAATAGGCAGAGTAATTTTCAAACAATTGTTTCCAATTGGTTTATTTGAATTAATATTATTATATTATATTAAGAACATGAAATACTCACTTAATTATGTTAGTTTAGGTTATGTTAAGGTCGGTTAGGTTAGGTTAGGTAGGTTAGGTTTGGTCATATTTCTATGTTAATTTTAACTTAAATTACCAAAAAAATTAACTCGTATATAATATAATGGAAAGCTTTATCATTTCAAAAGAAAAGAAATTTAAAAAATATATAACTTCAGGGAAAAGTTAGTTAATTAGGCAAATCGGACAAATACATTCAGGGATCCCACATTTTATGCTACCCGATAATTTGTTCCACACACTAGCCACCCCCCCCCCCCACTTTGAAACTAGTATTAAGTCAGGTCTTCCCTGCATCTAAGCTTGTTGAGTGCTGTTGTCTGATCTGACCTACTCCGGGCAGTGAAACAGTTCCCCATCGATAACTCCTCGCTCATTTAAAATCTCTTTATCGAGACTTGTAAAATACTGAACAATTGGAAGAGGTTGATCCAGACCACTTCTTCAAAAGGTCACAGATGTAACACAAACAAGGCGCAACGGTTTCAAGCTCATGAAGCCACAATGTAGGACTGAAAATATGAGATCCTTTTTCACTCACAGGGTTATAAACCCATGGAGCCGCCTACCCGCTGAAGCCATAAATGCCAAAACTATGTTGAACTTTAAAAATCAAGCTTGAAAAAAATCATCAGAACAAATGGGTGGGATTTTTGACAAGCTGCTAGCTTCCTGTCATCGTCGAGGCCACTAGAGTGGTAGTGCCATCAAACATCCCCATCTCTCACACCTCACCAGCAACCCCTTTTTCCCCACACACTTTCCCCGACAGCCAACCCGACATCCTGACAGCGTCGCAATTTGCCATATACTCTACCCTAAGGCCAGAAACTGTCGCACTAAAAAAAATAATAGTAGCGGCTCGCAAAATTTATATACTGTCCCGTTTTCTGTTCTGGGTTTCTTGACAGTGGGAAACTTAGTTACCAGATAAAATAACAGAAAATCCAACTTACTATTGAGCTCTGCCGTCCACAACAGCGTCAAGGGTAAGGTTGCCGGCTGGGAAGTTGACTCTTGCCATGCTGCTGGGGTGCCTACAGGAGATGCCATAGTCAGCTATACTCAGGTGCCATTATAATATTTGGGAGCAATCGAGTAAAATTTGGTAGACTGATCTTATAGGATATCTGAAGGTGTAATATTCTTGTCACGAATGAGTAATTTATTGCCGGAGACTTACATAGTTCTTGTTGTCTAAACACGTGTGTGCATGTCACACAAATTTTGAATTATTAACACACCTGCTGAAACAATTAAAACACCTTACTACACACCTGCTAAAGTGGAGTGCGAGCACCTGAGGCAGCTTGTTGAGGGAGGCATAATGGAGACACTTGTGGCGTCGTCGACAGTGTTGGCACTCCCAGTCTATCTCCTGAGGCCGCAGATGGCTCTTCAGTAGCTCCTGCAGGAGGTAAGACCTTAGTTATGCCAGAGACGAAACTTCTGCTGCTAACTTTAAATCAGCGTATTTTATATCTTTGCTAAACTCCTGAAGGATGTAAAGAAAGATTAGCAGCCTTCAGCCTTAATTCACTATTGCCTACACTTACTGGCTCCTAGAGGAGGCAAAGTCTTAATAACCTTTAGTAAGTCTAGTGCTTTATCTGCCGTTTCTTATGGAGAAATTTAAGCTTTAAAAACCACGATATTAGATTTCTGTCATGTTAGATAACTAGAGTTCGTCTTTCTGAGGTTTAATTGGTTCGACAGGTAAAGGATGTTAAGTTACTGTTAAGAACTTGCAAAGTTTCCATTGATTAGACAGACAGAGACACTTTTTACCTGCAGTGGACGTTCCTCGTCTCCCAGGACAGTCAAGGTCAGGTTGTCAAAACTTTCATTGGCAATGGACGCAATTCTTTTTTTCTCCGGGCAGAATATTACCGACTCCTTGATGCCGTGGAAGGTTCTAGAGATGACGGAGGAGGAGGACTGCTGGCTGCTGCTCGCCTGGAAGTGGCCAAGTTTCAAGGTCGTAGTCATTCTCAATAATGCTATAAGTGTTTAGATGCGATAAGGAGTGATTATTATGACCAAAGCTTTGGCAAGGTAGGGGAAGGTAGGGGGAGGAGAGGCAGAGATGGGAGACGGAAAACAGGAAATATAGACCGAGTGGTAAGGTTAAATTTAGTGATGGATTCACTACATTGTAGTGTTAGTGGATCAGTCTCGAGAGAAGACGTGAGAGCTGGTGGGGCAAGGCCATTGTTCTGGTTCTAGGTTGCCGATGGCACTCAACATGTAGGTCCTTAATCACAGGCCAGTGCCCTCCAACTATGTGGTGAGAGCTACAAGCAAACAATGAGGCCTAACTGCCTTTCTCCAATATACAAACCATGCGTAGCATAATCTCTTTCTCTGTATAAGCCAGTGTTGCTGCCACATTAATGTAGCTTGTGTATTTACAAGTGTGCATCAGTGTGAAGTGTTCACTGCTCTCGTTATTGCTGTGTGTGTAATGGACATTACTTAAATAAAGCTAATTTCCAGGAACATACACTTTGATCTTAATCTAAAGACAGACAAAATATATACACCGAGATATACCCAGCTTCTTCGGTATGTATATACACCTGAGAGTATACTTTAGTCCTATGTTCAGGACTAAAGTATACTTACTGGTTGATCAGTAAGCACTTGTGGTTGCCTTAATAACCCTCCAGAGGTTGATGGGCCCAACACCAAGACAGAGAAGTGATTGCTCTGTAAATGATAATCACCTGAACTAGGTCGTTGTGGAGCCAGGTGAGGAGGCTGGCCAGCAGGTCGTAGGCCTTAGGCTGGTGATGCAGCTTGAAAACCTTATCCTCTCCCTCCACCACCATCTGTACATGGAACACAAGCACAACTATTTGTAATTTACAATTAAGTTATATCATTCGAACGGTCCATCGAAGCCTCTGTCTCTCTGAAGGTACGGTTACCTTGCGATGATTTCGGGGCTCAACGTCCTCGCGGCCCAGTCCTCGACCAGGCCTCCTCAAGAAGCAAGTAAAAGCAAAGCAAGAAAAAGCATAATGGTACCTAATTATGAGGAAGAGACATTAAACCAGAATCATTATATACTACTTGGAAGGTATGAGGACCAAGAACTGGGACATGAGGATTATCTAAGGGCTGGAGTGTGAGGACAGACTCAGAGATGGGATATGAGGAAGGAGTGAAGAAAGTGACCAAACTCATGAACCATGAGGTATCGAACCAAGAACCTGTAAGAAGCTGTATAGGCCCTTGCTGTAATGACCAGTGCAAGTTGATGAGTCAAGAGACAAATTATGGTTATTATTGGTGTTATGAATAAATAAAACGATTATTTTCGTGAATACTGTGGTCCAAATAACCAATATTTCTCAAACATTTTTATTCTACCCACTACTAACTCAAATTAGAATTAGGTCATTTTAGAGGGAGTTGTAGAGAAGCTAAGTTAATTAGGTTGTGTGTGTTTGTGGACTTTATTATTACAAAACAAACTGCCAATTCTATGGAAACCACATCTTCGCTTTCAGACCCATGAAAATTGCAGGAGATTACTATAGATGCCAATATTTCTAAAGGAGCTTCACTAGGGCCGACCCTGATTGGCGTAATTGATTGGCGTATTACACTTATCCATCATGTGTCATTTTGAAACTTTACGAAACTTTATATAAAACCTCAAGTGTCAGGCCTCCTACTTTGAACAAACATTCTGTTTTATAGATATTGATATAGACTTATGTAAACCTTTTTCTTACAGAACATATTTATTTACTTTATTTATTTTGCTCAAGTGAATGTCACCAGTGCACCAAAGATAATAAAATAAAAGTCAATAAAGCAAGAGAAATACCAATACATGAGCAAAATAGGCATCTCTCTCTCTCACCTTGAAGTGCCTCATGGCATCGTAGACCCCAGAGCCAGACTCCATTGCCCCGAACACCCCAGCAAGTGCCAAAGCCACTTGCCCTCCCTGCGCGCTGCTCCTCTTCACATCTCGCCTGCCACAGAATTACAAATATTAGTATGCGATTAGAAACACTGAGACGTAAAACTTGTCATAACATAGCACCATTTGGTTAACACTATATCCGACCGATTCAATTCTTTCTTGATTGTGCACCCCATATCCATCCCGTGGGTGGCGATGGAAGGGTTACAAACCGCGGCCTCAACATTCTGATGAACAATAGACAGGAAGTATTCACGGCCTGGTGTGTAAGTAAGTAATTGTCAAAAGAATGCACCAAGCCGGGATGGCTATGCAGCACCAGGCCTGGCGTGTACCTAGTAATATATATATAGCAGTGCTTGTAAAACAATCTATTTTCACCAACGACTCGCCGTTTCCTTGTTGCAAATACTCACTTATAATGGTCTTGGATGAAGTATTGTCTGAGTGTGTTGATGTTGAAGAGGCACTGGACGACGGAGTTCATATAGCTGGTGTTGCCCAGGTTAGGGAGACCCAGAGCTGATACGGTCTACAAATAGAGTCATGCATATTAAAAACACAATATTAATAATCCATAAAACGCTCACTCGGGCACGGATCGGTGGGAAAGGATGAGGGGGTAGAGAAACCCTTTTAGCAGAGCATTGGATTGAAAGATGGCAGTCCTGGTCATCTTTCTGTCCAGAAACACAGTACTGTCATTGTGTGTGTGTGTGTGTGTGTGTGTGTGTGTGTGTGTGTGTGTGTGTGTGTGTGTGTGTGTGTGTGTGTGTGTGTGTGTGTGTGTGTGTGTGCGCTCTGACCACATGTGACTCTCTTCCTCACATCACACACACGTGGAAGAGGCTATTATCACTAGCATTATCGAGTTCTAAAGTAAATAAGAATGCAAAATGAGGACTTACACGCAGATATGTACTCAAGGCTGTTGCAGTATATAAAACTTACAGCAACTCATACCGTCCAAAAGACATTTATCTGCAATAACTACCATAGTAACTGATCTAAATAGCCAAACTGGTTCCACTTCCTGACCTTAGGCCTAGGTTCAAACATAAAATCAATCTTACCATATCCTACGATAACTTGAATAGCAAGATTACACACCTGAAGTAGTAATGGATGTAAACATTTTTTCTTGAAAGTGCTGGTAATTTACATGTAAATGAACAGTGCTTTACTGGAAATAATTAATTAGTTTTGTAAATATTCTGAAGGATACAAATCATTTCGAACGTAAGACGATTGGAACCTACCTAAGATTAGAACCTACCTATGCTAACCAAGTCTTATCCAACTCAACGTAATGTAGCCCACTGAGCCCAACCTAACGCTATATTGTTTTCAACAATTAGAAAATGGAGAATAGTTCGATATACCATATGTTATTGACTGCACGCTAATCTGAAGTGGGTGGGTACTTACCTGTAGCGGAGGCACTGAGGGTGTCACCTGACTCTGGCGCCTGGCGAGCTCCCTATTTCTCTCCTGCAGCTCTGTCCTGAGGGAGAAGACCTCTCGTTCCTTCTTGGCCAGCTGCTCACGAAGGTAGCGCTGCTCTTGCCGCAGCTCTTCTTGCAGCTCCTCAATCTGCTTCTTCACCCTCGCCTGTGGGGTCATATCAGGTTTAGAGTGAAGCAACGACACGTTATGTGAGTGTAAGAGAAAGAAAGATACAGCAAGTATGAATGGGAAGATTCCTCCTAGGAAGATTTCTTTTGATAAGGATAACCATAGGAAACTTCACAGGCAAACAACGCCTATAGGAATGAGTCTCCAAGAACTGCTTCGCTAGAGAAGGCTCGTCCTGGAAAGATTCTAAGCACATTTATAGATAATTAAATGTATGTATTTAGGCCAAACATGGGTCTGTATATATTCCCTTCCCTTGGGCTCTAGGAGACTCGAACCGTGGTCCCCAGGCGTGTGAGGCCCAAGCTCTATCGATTAAGCTATTGAGTAGTCTTAATAAGGTTATTAAGACTACTTAATACTTGCTGCGTGAGTATTAAGTAAGTAATAAGTAATAACCTTATTAATAATAAGGTTATTAAGACTACTTAAAACTCACTGCGCGTACTAGTGGCTTTACAAGAATGTAATTACTATGCTATGTATCCTCACAATCACAATGTACGTTCTTGTATATATATATAAATAAATAAATAAATAAATAAACTCAATAGCTGGGTCGATAGAGCCTTACAGAGTTGGGGTTCGCGGTTCGAATCTCCTAGAACCTAGGTAAATGGAATGTTTATTTCCATAGAAGTGTAGATGACAATTTATTTTGTATATATTACCAGCTGGGGTGCCTGAAGGGGAGGTGCTGGGGCCTGTGCCTGGAGCCTCGTCAGCTCTTCCTCTCTCTCCTGCAGCCGAGTCTTCTGGGTGGAAATCTCTCGATCCTTCTTCGCCAGCTGCTCTTGATGGCGCTGCTGTTCCTGACGCAGTTGCCTCGCCTGGTGATCCAGCCGCCTCACCTGGTCCTCCAGCTGCTTCACCTCGTCCTCCAACTGCCTCACCTCATCCTCCAGCTGCCTCACCTGGTCCTTCAGCTGTCTCACCTCGTCCTCCAGCTGCCCCACCTGGTCCTCTAACTGCCTCACCTGCTGCTCCAGCTTCTCCTTGATCTTTACCTATAAGTTATGACATGATCTTAGTGGGCAATCCTCACAAAATAAGAGATGTCTCTAAGATATTAAACTAAGAGCTCCACAATCAACATTTGACCATTTCAGCAAACTGCACGACAGGATAACCCAGTTACAGAAACCTGGCTCAGTAACCTTAAGTACAGAACACACACACACTACCAAACAATCGCTTGCATACTTCTTATCTGCTACAAGGCTACAAGGTACACTGTTGCAGTGGATGTTGCCTTGGAGGGTTAGCCACACATCTCTACTGATGTCTGCAGCTCCGGCTTATCCCGCCAAACACATGACAAAACTAAGACGTTCCTACAAAGTTCGAACCAGTTTTAACACCTAACAAAAGGTGTTAGGTGTTAAAAAAATCCAATATAGCAAGTTGTAACAATGTTCTAATATGTCATAAAAACGTTATAACAAGATGTAACAACTTTATTACAAGTTGTAACAAGAGGAAAATATATGCCTATTGACCCTTACTTGAAACGTTTCTTTCCCACAACCTTGTTGAAACGTTAGTGGAGGTTTCCACAACGTTTTCAGTTTGCTGGGTAGGGACAGTTTCGTTTTGTGTTTGTAGGAATGTTGGTTAATGTTAGTGCCAACGGCATTCCCATGCTTCGAAGAAATATAGCTGCCTCATCTAAAATATTTTGTTTTTGCTGGAGATTTCTTCCGTGAAGATGAAAAGTGTCATTGAAACCAGCAACCATTTGTTTGAGATGTTACAATTCGTAGGAAAGGAGATATTTTGAGGCCTTACCTGATCTTGCCGTCTGGAGAGCTCGCTGTCTCTCTCCTGTAGCTGGCTCCTCAGGGAGGAGATATCTCGCTCCTTCTTCTCCAGCTGTGCTTGATGGAGGTCCTGTTCCTGGTGTAGATGATCCTGCATCTTCTTCAGTTTCTCCTGTGCCAATGCCTGCGGGTTGTGACAGATTAGCTATGCTTATAATCTCTAGTGTGGTAACATTATTCTAACAAAAACCTACTGCAGTCAGAATTTGACCATTTTACTGAGTTAGATATAAATACTTTTTTCCATTAACATCAGCTATGAATTTAAATTTTTAATTTTTATTTATTTATATATACAAGAGTTCTTACATTCTTGTACAGCCATTAGCACACATAGCGTTTCAGGCAAGTCCTTAATCCTAATTTTCCCCAGAATACGACCCGCCAAACCGTTTAACAACCAGGTACCCATTTTACTGTTGGATAAGCAGAGGCTACAATTAAGGATTGACACCCAGTAAATCCTCCCCGGCCAGGATACGAGCCCAGGACAAAACGCTCGGGAAACGCCGGGTAAGTGTCTTACCACTTCACCACGGGGACTGTGGATATACTTCTTTATTTGTATTTTTTTAGTGGTTTCCCATATCTCCTCGTCGGGGACAGGAAGCCTAGTGGGTTACATGATCTTTTTTCACCAACATCTAACCTTCCCCAGAATGCCACCCACAACAATCTATTATGTCCCCGGGTATCTATTTCCTTCTTGGTTAGTTTGTTGAGAACCTAATGAGCTAGCCACTACCCTCCCTCCCTGGCGAGATAGAAGAGGAAGGTAGTGAGAAGGGCGTTATTACCTGGGACTGACTCTTAATCAGGTCTCTGTCTCTCTCCTTCAGCTCCGCCTTCAGGGAGGTTACCTCTCTCTCCTTCTTGGTCAGTTGCTCATGGTGGCGCTGCTGTTCCTGCTGGAGCCGCTCCTCCAGCTCCTTCACCCGCTCATGTCCGCTTGCCTGCAGCCACGGTATTCAGTGTAAATGATGTGTTGTGCCTTCTCACCCAGAAACATAACTCAACTATTCATTCACAACTAGTTCTAGGTGTGATAAAAATTTTCATTCTCCTTTAAGAACATGAGCTAAATGTGTATTATGTCCTAGTTAGGAAGGGTTGTTATAGAGTCAAGTAATGAGTATTATGTCCTAGTTAAGAAGGGTAGTTATAGAGCCAAGTATGTACGATTAAGCACACCATCTCACCTCCTGCTTTCCTTCAGACAGTTGACCTTGGAGTTTATCTCTCTCCTCAGTCAGTGCCTCGATTCTGCCCTTCTGGTCAACGATGATGACATCCCTGGTGGTCTTCTCCTGCTTCCACCGCAGTTCCTCCTTCTGCCGCCTCTCCGTCAGCTCCCGCACCTCGCGCTTCAGCTCCGCCTGAGGGCACCGGCCCCTCTGTTTAGTGTTACTCTTCTTACTTTAATTGGGATATTATCTATACATTACTGCTAATTACTGGTATAATAGGGAAATAAGGCAGTGTGTACAAGAGCTAGAGCTTGATTCTGCAGGCAAAAATAGGTGAGAGCAAATTGGAGAGTACACAGAGAGTATTTCTAACATCAAGGAGTTAGAACACCTGTACTGCTGAAAACTGCTTCCGATGGGAGGAAAGACTTCTTTATATGTTGATCTATGTATCATAGTAGTGAGAAAGGAAGAGACAGAGGGGAACCTGCATTAGGGACTTGGCAAAACAAAGCTTGTGGGGATACTTGAGGCCCACAAATGCTCACTCTCTATCCACAGCGTTATTTAACCTTGCAGCAACGTTAATATGATAATGTCGACAGACGTCATGACAACGTTGTGTGTTTTCTGGGTTGGGATATCACCAGGGGTCTTGAAGGAAGTTGCTCAAATGCTCAGCAAGTTATTCACAGCTACATAAGAAAAATCAGGTAAGAGCAGTTAGGCACCTTCAGTTGTGAAAGAACATTCAGCAAGAATGGTTACGTAATTTCAGCAAAGTAAGATCAGCTAAGAACACACATCTCAGCTAAACTGTTAAGCTCAACTTACTTGAGTTTTAATAAAATTTTCTTCTATTTCCTCCTTGAGCTTCGTGATCCGCTTGACCTCCTTCCGTAACGTTAAGACAGTGTTGTCCTCCCTTCCCTGATTCCCTTCATAGTCTTGATCCCCTTCATGGTCCTGCCCCCCTTCATGGTCCCGCTCCCCTTCATGGTCTTGATCTCCTTCAAGGTCCTCCTTCTCCAAGGTGGTTACAAGGCTCTTCTCTTGCTCCTGGCAGGAAAAAGAGTTGGTTAAATTAGGTTGCATTATTTCTTTAGGGGGAGATGATTATTATTTGGTTGATATATATTAGAGGATCAGGTCGGGTCGACCCAAACACCAAGCCGACCTAAGCTCTGGGTCGACCCGACACTGAGTCGTCCCAGACACTGGGTCGACCCAGACATTAGGTCATCCTGGGCTCCCAACACTTAAAAGGCATAACCTTTTGGAGGTCGACCCGGGAACCACCAGGTACCCCATTTAGTGTATTTATATAACACAGATTGTATGTTCATTATCAGACCACTTGGCGTGGTTGGAGGATAAGTACATCAACGACACGTCGTTCTTAGTGTCACCTACGCCTACCTGGGTAAACACAGACAAGGCTTCGTCATTCTCCTCGTCGTCCTCCTCCTCGTCGTCGTCCTCGTCGTCCGTGACGCTGACAATCCTCGCTCTGTGCAGTACTGGCTTCTCCCCTCCTGACCCGCCCTATAAATCACGTTAATTGAGGAATAAAATATAAAATAATGTGATATATAATTACTGAATCACAAATATTATATGATGTACACACAAACACTTACAGGGCCATATATAAACCTCCAATGCATATTGAGTCTAGATTCATAATGATGAATCAATGAAATATTTTTTTATTGTGTGGGACTGACCTGGGTGCCGGGGTGAAAGTTGTGTCGGGAGTCCGAAACTGGAGAATGATCTGGACTGTCAGCAAGCATGACGTACGCGGGTCGGGCCGTGTGGACCACCTGCAGGAGGGAGGGAAGAGGACCTTCCATGATTGACTGATTAAGATTAAGCCTCCCAAGAGGTGGCACAGGCATGAGTAGCCTGTAAGGGAGTTTAACTCCTGGCTTCCCCCTTATATACTCCCAAAATGTCTGGATCAGCTTACCTGTTGGTCTCGTTGATCCGAGTGCGAGTCTGTGCTTCGTGTTTGGAAGTGCCTCGTCTGTTCTGAGCTCGCTCGAGACTGTTCTTGAACAAAGTGGTCTGATGAGTGCTGTTGTTGTTCTGCCAGACGGGTATTTCCAGTGGCAAAATCGAGGCGTTCTTGTGAGTTGTATCTGGAGAAGGAGGATAGATGATGAGAGCCGTGCAGTTCTTCAGTCTTGCTGGTGTGTCGGGCATACTCGTCCTGCCTCAGGTGGGAGATCTGAAGGTCATCCCTTTGGGTCGCTTGCTGCTCTTCTCTTCTCTCATGGACACGTTCTTGTTCGCTGGAGGCAAAATGTTCAGCTCGTTGGATGCTGTGCACGTCTTCTCCGCCGACTCGGATATCATCTTCATGACTGATTTGTCTCGACAAGAGGACGGACGTGCTGTAGTGATGCTGCTGCTCTTGGTGTTGTCTCTCAGAGCTCAGTGATCCACTGAGATCCCCCGTGCTGGCGTAAGAACGCCCCTGGGCGTTCAGCGACCCGCGGAGATCCCCCGTGCTGGTATATGAACGTCCCTGAGCGTTCAGGGACCCATTGAGCTCCCCCGTGCTGGTGAACGAACGCCCCTGAGAGCTCTGGCCGCCAGAGGAGCCAGACCCCTCGGGGACGTTTATATTTCCTACGCTACCGGAGAGACGCTTCTTACTCAGGATCTGCTTTGAGGTGCCCCAGGCGGGCGACCTGCCAGCAGAAGACGTCCGGTTCAAGCTGTCTCCACTGCTGGATAGTTGTTGCTGCGACCCGTATTTAGGAGGTTTCCATGTCACGTGACGCTGGTTTAGGTTTCCCTCGCTGCCATACAATTTTTCCTGCCGGGAAAGTTCATGATTTAACACAGGCTTCACGCCACAGACATACCGCTTTTCACAACATAGTTTCCAAACGTTGCTATCAGTAGGTTTTGTGAGTAATGATCTATCTGATAACTCTTTCAATGACCACCGCATGTGATAACTGTTATCACTGACACAATCAATACATATACACGCCCACACACGAACTCACGCACGCATGCATTCTCATAGGCTAGAGCAGCCGGAAGCACTCTTAAATTGATGAGAGTACCCAACAGATATAAGACAAAGAGTCATAGTGAGGGACGAGGAGGCGGGTTAGTGTTTAGTAACAAGAACACTTCCTCAAGAACACATTACACAGAGAAATTAAATACTTGCATGCAGTGGGACTGGCGTGGAGTGCGGTGAGCTTGAAGCAGAGGTGAAGAGCAAACATTATCAGGTAAATTCAGGTAAATTATTCACAGCTTCAAGAGCCAACATGGCGGAACCGGAAGGGATGGGAGGTGCAAATGCAAACACACACACACTTCACCAGTTGATTGAAAGTTGAGAGGCAGGACCAAAGTGCTAGAGCTCAACCCCCGCAAGCACAACTAGGTGAGTATACACACACACACACACTGTCCATCACAAGATAAAATAAGTTACGATACATAGCAAGAACAGTCGCGTACACAATATAAAAATATATCTAACAGTGAAATAAAATTGTTTTGACTCACGTTTATCTTGTTCCAGTAGCCGCTGGTCATTGTTTTACTTGTGGCAATTTAGGATATAAGGGAGATAACCTGAATAACAGGACACCAACAGGCAGACAACAGGTAAGAAAGATGTTGATAACGGGCAGACAACGGAACAAAACAGACAGGAAAGCTGTCAGTTGACTGGCCCGTTACAGACTGTTCACAACAGCGTAACACAAAGCAGGAATCAGATCTTTAACAGGAAGGAATGAATCAACAGGTAAATAAACGGAAAAAGACCTTGAACAGAACAGCGGGTAACGTACGGTTCAACAGGCGGGTAACAGAAGGATCAACAGGAGTGTAACATACGTATCAACAGGCAAGTAACAGAAGGACCAACAGATGGGGGGAACGGAAGGAGTGGCTGACCCCACGACACACAACCGCCAGACTGAAGTGGATGTCGCCAAGGCAGACGGATATCTGGCCACGATAGCGTCTACAGCGATAACACGAACGATATCGACCTGTTTCACTTGTATCTTATATCTAAACGTGAATTCCTGTCGATTATAATGTATGTGTGTGTGTGTGTGTGTGTGTGTATTCAGCTGAAGACTACGCAACTAATATTTCTTAAATCTTGCTCAATTTTCACTATGTAATTTCTGTGTTCCTTAAAGTTAAACGTGTTACAAGCATTCATAAATTGACAATTCTTTTAAATACTTATTTAATTATAAAATATAAAAAGTCAAGAATTATCGTGACAAGCGATACGCGTGTATGGAACTTGAAAAGTAATATCGGTACAAGGAACAAGGCTATGAGGACGCGGTGAAGGAAAAGGCTCCAGCGACTTGGAACATCGGGGAATCGAACGCTACAGAAGTGATCGTCGGTGCCACAGACCCTGCAGAAGTGGTCCTGGCCACTATCAGTTAATACGAACGCTTCATCAAAGTGGATAACCTTACGTGAGCCACACACATGCCACAACACTGAGCCCCTTGCTATCACAATCTTATCACATCACTGTATGATATAGTCACCCCGATACGCCTCCGTGCGTCAGTTTGTCCGTACAGTGTGGCATATCCGTGTGTCAGTTCGTCCGAACGGAGAATAGTTGCGTTCGTTTGAATGTATGTTCGTGACAGTTTCCATTCGTGTTCGATCGAGTGAGAGGACGGCGTGGGATACTTGTGAACGGTCCTGGGCTTCGTAGCTTTTTGGCAGGGAGGTGGTGCGGTGCTAGGAGACTTTACCTCCTTGAAACTGTTATACTGACTGTTTCAAGAGCCCGTGACAACTGACTGTGCCTGTGGCTGCCTGAGCCACATGCCAGGATAAAGAACAATACAAGAGAACAAGGAACACAAAAGAACAACGCAACATGACAGAGGCCCAAAGGAAATTTGTAAGTTATTCTCCCACGTGAACAATTGTAAAGAACATGACGTTCTTCAACAAATTTCGGTCAGTTTTATAAAAGCAGAACTAGAAATATTCTTTAATGAAATTAAGCAAATAAATAAATGCCTACCTTGCATGACAGTTGGTTGAAAAGTCAGCTGAGCTGACAGCTAATTACAGAAACAGATGTTTTTAGTAATAAACAATTAGATGAGTTATATATGTTACTGTAAGTACAAGACAACTGAACTTTGACCTTACTGTGAATGAGACTTTCTCTCATTTGTTGGTCATGATCATACCTTTCTCACTCCTCACCCCCACCTGGTATACATGCTCGCCTGCCCTTACCTATCGTATACATACATGGGGGGGGGGAGCCTGGTAGTATTGTGGATAGCGCGCGGTACTTGTAATTCTGTGGCGCAGGTTCGCTTCCCGCACCAGGCAGAAACAAATGGGCAAAGTTTCTTTCACCCTGAATGCCCCTGTTACCTAGCAGTAAATAGGTACCTGGGAGTTAATCAGCTGCACGGGCTGCTTCCTGGGGGTGTGTGTGGTGTGGAGAGAAAAAAAGTAGTTAGTAAACAGTTGATTGACAGTTGAGAGGCGGGCAGAAAGAGCAAAGCTCAACCCCCGCAAACACAACTAGGTGAATACATACACCTCTCCCTACCCAACCTTCACAAGTTACAGCCCCGCTCCTGTGCCAGGTAAGTCCACAACGGGCTCACCATAGCCCGTGCTACTTGGAACTTTTTGTTCCAAGTAGCGAATCTTAAACAACAACCCAACCTTCCAGATGAGGAGCGCCCGTCAGGGAGACCTGAGCGGGGTGCAGCGGGCCCTGGACCAAGGTCGGGGCCAGGTCCAGGTCAACGGAGTGGACCAGGAGGCCTCAGGGCGGGGCCGCGTGGCCCTCCACCACGCCAGTGAGGGTGGCCATCTGCAAGTGGTCCACCTGCTCCTCCAGGCTGGTGCTGACCTCAATATACACAGCAAGAAGTCAGGCGATCAGGGTCAGCAGTAGTAATATTTGTTTATATACTGATGGGGAAATAATCAAGCCTTAAAAATAGTATTACCTAGTGCTCCTGTGGGTAGAATAGGCTATTGTGGCTTATTTAAACCTAAAAATGTCCACGTTTTGCATTATATGAACTCTGTAGGCCTAACAATCTGAAACAAACCAAACATAGCCTTAATCTAAATAACCAATCCTAGTCCTACATACACAATCCTGGAGCTGTATCAGTACATACACATGTACAATACTGGACCTTGGTTAGGTTCAGGTTTGCCTTCTTTCTCAGGCTCTCTCTAAAATTAATAGTACATAACTTGAACTTTTATGTAACAGTCTGTAATGTGAATATGTCAACCACAGTCGCTATGGGGACTATAATTTTTGTGTATCAGGCTGGAATTTGGTTACTGGGAGTGTTGGTGAGCGTAGAGTTGGGAATACACATTAAAATCACAATACTGAAATATATATTTGTGGAATATTGTATGTGTGTGTCTATACTCCTGGTTAAGCTTATTCTGCTTCTGATCTTAGGTCCCGCCTCTTAACCATCAGATTGGTGTACAGGATCTATAGGTTTCTTAACAATTTGAGGATTGTCATATCAACATTTCAATCTGCAACCTTCATGTCTGCTTCTGCACTCTCCTCAAAACTTGCTCTTTTCTAACATTTCCATGACTATCACATGCACTCAGTTTCCACGTATGTCCCAGTGTCCATGTCTACTTTATCTCCCCTTTGAATTCCACCGAGTATTTTATATGTCGTGATCATGTCTTCCCTCGTAACTCATGCCTTTCAGCTCCGGAACTAGTTTGGTGATATACATCTGAAATAGCTCCTCCCTGCTTCATATATATATTGAACATGTTGATGCGTGTGTGTTCAGGAGGAACAGCACTCCACCTGGCGGCGGAGGCTGGCCACACCCACGTCATGGAAGCCCTCCTGCAGAGCCACGCTAACCCAGAGGCACTCGACGATAAAGGTAAGATGACTAAGATTTATATTGTAGACTACCTTACCTTGGAGTGTTTCCGGAGCTTAGCGTCCCCGCGGCCCAGTCGTCGACCAGACCTCCTGGTCGATGGTCGACTAAGGTAGAAGTTTGGGGTATTAATGCCTAGTAATAGTAATAATATCGCCAAATATTATTAATATCTTGTAATATCATCGCAAGATCGGGAGAAAACACTAATCCAGTAAGTCTATATAGCACTTGGGAGAGAAATAAGCACTTTAGTAGTGACCAATGACGTCATTACTACTTAGGAAGACGGAACAGCCCGTCTTCCTAATGTTTCCCAACGTCAAGAAACTGTCGTACTAAAGTGTCTTATCATAACCTTAAAGAGGACCCAAAACAGAAAACGGGACAGTACGTCACTTTCGCCAGCCGCTACCATTTTCTTGCACGACAGTTTTAGGCCATGAGTAAAGTATACGTCAAAATACAACGTGATATTAGGAGAACGGGTTGAGGTATACCCAAGGTTCAATTATTGTCAACTGAACGCTTTATACCCAATGATATCCCAAGTCCCACTAAACAAAGCAATTTGCTTGTCTGTGTTTGTGCCAGGCAGGCGAGCCATACACTGGGCAGCGTACACAGGTCAACTCAAGTCCCTGGAGATGTTGAAGGACTACAAGTGTGACCTCCACGCTCTGGACCACGAGGGGTCGTCGGCCCTCCACCTGGCCGCGGCCTTCGGGGACCTGGAGGTGGTCAAGTGGCTGGTGCAGAACAAGGTGAGCTGTGACCTCAGGGACCACAGGAACCGCCTGCCGAAGGACGTGGCCAGGGCCAGAGGACTCGTTGACGTCCACCACTTCCTCAAACAACACACCGCTAAGCTAAGCTTTGTAAGTGACAATATTACTTTTGTTTACCTTCCATTAGGGGCTTTAGGAGACTGGAACTTTTATATTATTTTGTTTACTTTGTTGTGGCTCCAGGACCACGATTTACCAAGCATTTACACGCCTATTTACGAAACCTCTACATCTTTCCCCAGTCGTAGTGGTATTTACATTTACCGAAGAGCTTATGAGCTGCGGTGCGCTACAGGAGGCTGTTTATAACAATAATAACCATGGATTGCAAAGATTCCAATTTCGTACACTGATTAATAAATGTAAAGCCACCATGGTTATAGAAAGATGTAGAGGTTTCGTAGGTGATTGTGTAAACCTTTGATGATTCTTGGCACTGAGTTCGTAACACTCTCTGCATGATGGCGGCTTCCATTAAACTGTTGGTGGTTGCAACATACTTTCTGCCGTAGGCACTGCAGCGTAGTCGGTGAGGTTGGGCTACAGTGCCTGGGCTGGGTTACAGTGCCTGGGCTGGGCTACAGTGCCTGGGCTGGGCTACAGTGCCTGGGAACCAGTTTTAAGAGCAGTGATAAGAAACTAGTGAACCGGGAATCATTATAATTTGTGTCCACCCTCTGAAAGGCAGGGGCCCAGGAGCTGACGCTCATCTTACAAGAGAACATGTAGGTCCACCAGTGATTCCTTCTCATGTCCACAGTCTTGGGGAAGAGCGAGGAGCAGGACGAGCCTCAACTCTGAAGAGGAACTCTCGCAAGACAAAATGGTGAGTAAGCTTGGTGAGTGCGTCTGCATGGTGAGTGGGTCGGGTGAGTGAGTCTGCATGGTGAGTGGGTCGGGTGAGTGAGTCTGCATGGTGAGTGAGTGGGTCGGGTGAGTGGGTTTGGTGAGTGCGTGTGGTGAGTGTGTCATGTTTAACGGGTTTATGAAGAAATTGCCTAAAATAAAGTGAAATAGGTTGTGTGTGTGTGTGTGTGTGTGTACTCACCTAATTGTACTCACCTAATTGTGCTTGCGGGGGTTGAGCTCTGGCTCTTTGGTCCCGCCTCTCAACCGTCAATCAACTGGTGTACAGATTCCTGAGCCTATTGGGCTCTATCATATCTACATTTGAAACTGTGAATGGAGTCAGCCTCCACCACATCACTTCCTAATGCATTCCATTTGCTAACTACTCTGACACTGAAAAAGTTCTTTCTAACGTCTCTGTGGCTCATTTGGGTACTCAGCTTCCACCTGTGTCCCCTTGTTCGCGTCCCACCAGTGTTGAAAAGTTCATCCTTGTTTACCCGGTCGATTCCCCTGAGGATTTTGTAGGTTGTGATCATGTCCCCCCTTACTCTTCTGTCTTCCAGTGTCGTGAGGTGCATTTCCCGCAGCCTTTCCTCATAACTCATGCCTCTTAGTTCTGGGACTAGTCTAGTAGCATACCTTTGGACTTTTTCCAGCTTCGTCTTGTGCTTGACAAGGTACGGGCTCCATGCTGGGGCCGCATACTCCAGGATTGGTCTTACATATGTGTGTGTGTGTGTGTGTGTGTGTGTGTGTGTGTGTGTGTGTGTGTGTGTGTGTGTGTGTGTGTGTGTGTGTGTGTGTGTGTGTGTGTGTACCAGATATAAATATTTTATGTATCATTAATGTTGGTCTATTTTCTCTAGCTTTGCCCTATTTACTTTCTTCTTTCATTTGTCCCTACCTTTCCCAGTCTATATCTTTGTTTCTGTGTCTCTCTATACCTCCCTATCACTTTTCTTATCTCTCTCTCTCTCTCTCTCTCTGAACGAGGTCAAGTTTCACGTGTCATCCACAGAGTGACTCCCAACACGACCCTCCTGCCATCCAGGAGGATACGAGCCATCATACTCGGAAGGAAGAGAGACGGACGAATGAGAATGAGCAAGAGGCAAGATGGAAGAAGAAGGAGGAAGAGGCCAAGAAAAAGAGAGAGGAAGAAGAAGAGGCGGCCAGGAAGAAAAGAGAGGCAGAAGAAGAGGCCAAGAAAATGAGAGAGGCGGAGGAGGCGGCCCGGAAGAGGAGAGAGAGAGAGGAAGCAGAGGAAAAGGAATTTGCCCTGGCGTCGCTGAAGGAGGAGGTCAATCACCAGCTGCAGAAGTTGGAGAGGGAACGCCTGCAGGTAGCGGCGGCTCAGGTGGGTTAAAGCAGGTAGTGTCGTAGTGGTCTTTCTTGGTGTTGGTATCTCTGTTTCACCAGCTCTTGGCTCATATCTCAGCTCCTTGTCTACAAATCCCAGCTCCTTGTCCATATATCCCAGCTCCTTGTCCTCATATCCCAGCTCCTTGTCCACATATCGCAGCTCCATGTACTCATATCCCAGCTCCTTGTCATATCCTAGTTCCTAGTCCTCATATCCCAGCTCCCTGTCCTCATATCCCAGCTCCTTGTCCTCATATCCCAGTTCTTTGTCTGTTAGGTTCCTGTTCCTTGTCCTCATATCCCAGTTCTTTGTCTGTTAGGTTCCTGTTCCTTGTCAGCTCCTTGTCCACATATCCCAACTCCTTGTCCTCATATCTCAACTCCTTGTCCTCATAGTAACATATTGCTTTTTCCTTCTAATTTACTCCACTGTCGTCCTTGCGTCGTGACAGGAGCGGCTGAAGCAGCTCCTTGACCAGGACATAAACAGCGACCAGACCATCTCCACACTCAGGCAACAGCTGCTCGACCAGAAGAGGACCAACGACCAGACCGTCTCCATGCTCAGGCAACAGCTGTCTCAGGTTACGAAGGAACTGGAGCAGATCAAACAGCATTACCTCGACACTCAGGTAAGTAGCGGCGACGGCTGCTTGTCGTTCTTACAAAAATACAATACAATTTATACAGGATATATTTATTCCACACTAAAAAAAAGTCGAAAAAGAACTGGTTTGTTGCAGAACGAGCGAGAGTGTAGGGATAATGTGATGCTGGAGCGAGATAAGGAAGAGAGAGAGGCGATGCTGAAGCAAGATAAGGAACAGAGGGAGGCGATGCTGAAGCAAGATAAGGAACAGAGGGAGATGATCACAGCTCTTCAAGAACAGGTTGAAGAGAGCTCCCTCAAGCAGAGGCAGTACGAAGAAGCCTTGACTCACTGTGAGGTGAGGCGTTCGACTTCAGTTCCAAACTGTATTATTGCGTTTCTCACGTAACAATGCTTTTGTGCTTGTCCTGTTCATCTGCGCCTTTGTGTGTATACAGGTATCCTCCTTATACTTTGAGCCGCTACTTTTCATAGTACTCTGTAATGTGTACATTAGGGACCATATTGAGTTGATAAACCATACGAGGCCATACAAGGCCTCTTGCACAAGTCTGTTTTGCCGTATTTCAGACAATATTTGTGGATTGTAGCCTGGTAAATGTTTGACTTTGGAAAACAATTTTTAAGTGCACCAATCATGAAATGTGTCACATGTAAGAGTGATTGGTTGTACTCTCCTGTTTACTACGCACGCCCACAGCTGACTACGCACGCCTGGGAGGAGATTCAACGTTACCCTTTTAAGAACTGCATCTGTACACACCACTCATGCGTATACATAATGCCTTTTGCTATTGAAAACTAACAAAATCTTTGTTTAATACGAGTATAACTAGTCTTGGAAAAAAATTCAAGTCAATTATCATGCGAAAGCGCATGTACAAATTTGCTTTCCACATCTGCCATTAATTGGCTTCCGCGTTAACCCAGGCACAGCTGCGAGAGAAGGAGAAGGACCTCAAGGAACACCGGCGGAAGGTGGCCCAGCTGGAGGAGGAGGTCCAGAGTGAGACTCGAAAGCTGGACGCTGAGACCAACACCCAGCTTACTGCTCTGGTAAATCATGTGTACCTTGAGGTATCGAGGGTCGAGGTGTACCTTGAGGTATCGAGGGTCGAGGTGTACCTTGAGGTATCGAGGGTCGAGGTGTAGCCTTGAGGTATCGAGGGTCGAGGTGTACCTTGAGGTACCGAGGGTCGAGGTGTACCTTGAGGTACCGAGGGTCGAGGTGTAGCCTTGAGGTACCGAGGGTCGAGGTGTACCTTGAGGTACCGAGGGTCGAGGTGTACCTTGAGGTATCGAGGGTCGAGGTGTACCTTGAGGTACCGAGGGTCGAGGTGTACCTTGAGGTACCGAGGGTCGAGGTGTAGCCTTGAGGTACCGAGGGTCGAGGTGTACCTTGAGGTATCGAGGGTCGAGGTGTACCTTGAGGTACCGAGGGTCGAGGTGTAGCCTTGAGGTACCGAGGGAGGTTCTTAAGTATTATATTATTAGCATTATAATTATTTATACATTTGTAACCTTCTATTGGCTGTTTTCAGAACTAAGTATTAAAATTTTTTAATACTATTAAGTATTTTTTTACAATACTAGACCTTGTGGATCCTCACTGAACACTGATATTTTCTTCTCCTACCATCCTTATATATATATATATGTGCAGGAAGCTTATATAGCTTCCACCCGTCAACTTCAATATAAAAATATATACTATTTATATGTTTTATTATAAGTAACGTGTTTATATTATAGTATAAAAGTAAATCATTTTTCGTACAAAAATAATTTTATGTAGATACAAAAATTAAATGTTTCTATAAAAATTGCTTTAGTTTGTATTTATCGGCTGAAAAATATCTAAGTATCCCACATTGGATTTGTCGTAACAGATTATATTTTTATTTTAAAGATTCATGAGGGTATGTATAATCTTAGGCTAGGCTATACACTATCGTTATATAAATGTATATTATATATTGGTGTATGTGAGCACCTAGACTGAACAATCAGCTTTTCTCAAGCGAAAGTTACCACATCATGACAAAGGAACAAATTCTAGTATTCACAGCTGCGGGAGCAGGAGGAGACGATCAGAGAGCTTCTGGTGCAGGAGAAGCTGCTGAAGCAAGCCAACGATGACATCAATACGAAAATCCTTCAGATGTACAAAAGATCAGAGCATCATGAAGAATCAGCTGCCCGTCTGCAGGTAAGGCT